AAACCCGCAGACGAAACCACCATGACGATTCTTAAGTGTACACATTGTTCGTAGTGACTCAGCTTTGCGAGGAGGGGGCATTAACGTCAACATTTCTTAATATTCTTCCGCTATCTATGACCTCAAAAATGTCGTTAGAGCAACCTGGTGTGAGGAATCAAGATCGAATAATTTTGATGATTTCGATTCAAGTTCAAAGTATTTTGTCAGGCACTCTTAAAAGCTCTCGCCTTCGGTGATGTGTGATGTTTGTCGTTGAGAGCAGAAGCTGGAGTCAGAGAAATTAAAAGGACAACAGGAAAGTTATTCAAGATCACGGAACCGTTAAGAGACCGGATATCCTTGAACAACTACCTGTCATGTGCGTGTCAGTCTCCTAGTCGTGTTAACAGTCCCACGTACATTGTTCTCATAGCAAATGATATTAAAATTTTAAACGTTTTCTTTTCTTTCTCGTACGTACATTTTTACAGTCGTTCATGCTAATTGTCCCCGTCAGGGGAAACTGATTGACAAATATTCCTAGAATGAGGTGGGCATGAGTTACTGGAGGTGCGAGTCATGATCAGAAATGATGACAAATACAGTGTATTCTGAATTATTTGCCTCAACAGTGTAAATTTCGATCAAATTAAAGTGCAACGAAGGATATTTTCAGGAAGTTTTATAGAAATACGATACACAGTAGTTGAAGTAACTCTAAACCAGCGAAACCTGATCTGGGCCGACATGTTTGAAACAAAAAAGAGGCAAAAAAGAAAAAAAACAAAATGCACGGCTGCTTCAAATTTGGACTGCAGCACTGTTTATTGAACAACATGGCTCAGTCAAGTTACCGAGAATAAACTTATGCGGAGAATGTCCTGAGAGAAAAGAAACTGGTGCATGTTGGTGGAAGGTCTGAGTAAACGAGGAATCGAGTTACCGGGAGGTCCGAGATTATAGCTATAATAAATGTATCAGGGAAATCCAGGAGAAATCAACTTTGGTTTTGAGTATAGGGAGTGTTTACGTAATTTGAGTGAATCAAGCAAAACATTGTGAAAAGTATACCGTGCATCCGAGTAATTTTTGCCGTGGCTCAAAGATAGATTAAGCGGGTATCATATATTAAAGTCAACTTGTCATTGTGATCGATTTTTGCCTCTGAAGAGATCTTTCACTATTATAACAGTCGTAAAGAGTTCTGCTTAAACGCTTAAACTTTTCTTCTACTTAATATGGCTGAGTTGATGTAAATGGCGAAATTCTAGTATCCGTTATCAGAACTCGCTTAACTTGAGAATGCATTGACTTTTGGTTTACCAACGTGATCTATTAATGATATAACTTTCTATTTAGTTTCAACTTCAGAAAAAAACAGGAAACCAATCATCTAAGCTCAACATATGAAGTTCCGCTCAGTAAAATGATACTTTTGGACTCAGATACTTACAATAGAACTCCGCTAACTCGAAACTCCCAAAGGAAACGAAAAATGGTTTGAGTCAGCGGGAGTTCGAGGAATCGGGATTGGTCTTGAATTTCAACTGTCCTGTTATTAATTCAAAATAAAGAATCATGTTTTTGCAATTTATTATATGTATATCAACGTTTAGTTTGGGAAGTTTAACAGACAGTTTTTCATAGATGTTATCACGTTGTATCAATTGCAACGTTGTTACACTTTTCACCTACAGCTCGAGTTCTCTGGCTAACTTTGAGCCAAGAGAAAGTACAATTAGTCGGGGAGTTCGAGTAAACCAAGTTTGAGTAAAAAAATAGGGTCAAATCCAAGGGAAATCGGATCTTGTTCGAGTTAGAGGGAGTTAGAGTTGACCGGGTTCGATTTAGCGGGGCTCCACTGAAGTCCTTGACTGATATGTGGCCCTATACTGTGCGAAACTAGTTGTACGCCTGAGTAATGTGACTCTTTGGTCTCAAAAAAGGACAAAATGTGTGACTCGCTGCATATCTATTTATTTTTTGTTTCTTTGTGGTCTGGCCTGCTATATTTGCGTCAGAGGATATGAAATTTACTTATTACTTTGTTTGCTACAAGTTATCCCGTGTCAAAGTGCACGTAAACACCACGGGCGAATAGAGATAAAATAGTTTTGATTTATTATTAGTAATTATCTCTACGTCAAGGAAACAATGACGTTCTTTCTGACCATAAACTGTTTTCGTCTTTGTTGGTTGCTGATCTTTTCTGTGTCATTGTGTAATTGGATGAAACGTAAATAAAAACGGTTGTACCTTTTTTATTATGAATATTTGTGCGTTGTTTTTGATGACAGTAATTTATAACTTATTTTGCATTAGTCAGCACGGATAGTAGAAGTAAAAAAAAAAAAGAAAATGAGAACGGTGTATAATTGTGGTATTTGAAGATCCATCAAGTACATTGATTATGCCCTCGCTATATCAGCCCTAAACGCTTGTATGTGATAAGTCTCGTTAATTACTTCCAGTCGTATTGAACTGCGACAGAACGTAGATATCGAAATAGGTCGTTGTCTCTTTTTCATAATAGACTAAGATGTCAATATTTCAGTGTCTGAGTGACGACAATAAAAAAAGACAGAAAAATTCATGACGTCCTCTAAATGACGTCCTTATGAATAGAATGGTGCTCAATACTTTGCCACAATTAATAACTCAGGTTAAATCTAGTTTGGCGTTAAACATCAACGGATTCTGTAAGTGTTAGTTATGCTCAAGCTTTTTTTTTTCGTAATTAGTATTATTAGTAACAGTATACTGAAGCTGTTCACAACAGGTGCATGGGCTCAAAATTATCATTAATGTTATTACAGTTATTTTTGTTATAACTATCATTCCTATTTTAGGGCTTTTTCTTCCTGCAGTTCCTATATTTGTTGTTTGTCTGTGTGGATGATTTACTCACTTGATATCAATGTTATTGAATTTGTATTTCATCACTAATGATCATAGTCTGATCATTTCATTAGTTGTTTGGCAAACGATATTTTTGGTTGTTTTGTTTGTCTTCAACGATTTATACGTCGGATGGTAAACAATGTCTCACGCCTTTTAGTTGTACGAAAACAACGCTTGTACTAATCTTGAATCCTCTTTCTGCGATGCGCATAAACCTACACCGTAAAGCACAGACTGTCACAATTAAGTCCGAGTTTTTTTAACAATCTCCTGCCTATTCCCTCTCTTCTTCTTTCATGTTCGTTGGACGTGAAAAACACCTAGCCCTAAATGTACGAAAAGTCGAAAAGTCATTAACCCTATACACCCCGAAAAATCATAATGTAGTGGAAACAACCGCACGTTTCCCATCATCTGCTGAACATTAATCTATCCAATCCTGATCTTTTGTCCGTGGTGGATTGAATAGACTCCGTGGTGGATTGAATGAAATCCACTGAGTAACGGCCGATTGAGCCAGGACCAAAGGTTCAAAATAACACCTAACTCTTCTTGCACTATATAAAAACGAACATTGACGCTTATTTTTTTGGGGGGTCCTATTTGAGTGCGTAGGTCAAGGAAGAAAGATTCCTGAACTTTTGATCAGGTATAACAACAGACCAGAGCTCAAAAGCGTAACGTGTCTCTGAGCTGGATCATTGTGCTCCCATCTCTTATGATTTACTCACGACTTACGACTACATTTGAAAAATCTTGGGACGGTGGTTAAAACCGTAGTTTGCTAGTTCAGAAAAAACAAAGGCGTGCATTGAAAATCCAGGCAATATCAAACGCTTCGTTCATAACCTCCCGCAAAGACAATTTATAGAAATTTGTTTCTGAATTTACGTCAATAACTTTCCTAATTAAAGAAATGTTAGAGTTTAATAAGCTTCGTGTTTACTGGGTTATACACTTGTCTTGACCGTTCAAATTTACATCCTATTTCTGCATTCAAAAATATCAGAAGTAGCCGTAAGCTATGAAAGGGTCGACATTGCTAGCCGCACGACTTCTAAATGCTTGCATTGTTAGTTTCAAGCAGCGCGTAAGCGAACTGCGATAAAGCATAATTTCAGAAGTGGTTTTTTTCGTTTCCATGATGATCAAATTAAAGATGTAGATATTTTCATATCATGACTAATGACAATAGCAACCAAATTAAAACACGCTAAAACAGCCTTTGACGTCTTCAATGATGTCTTATTCGCAAGATGTCATAAGTTCATGGTGGGCTGTGTTGATAAACAACTACCAATTACTCATTTCCATTAATTCTTCCTGCGTGAAGCTCTACCTGCGAATGCGGAAAAAATAGACCTAAAACATCGTATGACGTCTTCAGCAATGTCTTACAAGAGTTACAAATTCATTGCTATTTCCATAAGTTATTTAACAACATTCTTCTTGCCTGAAGCTCTTCGTACATACGGACCAGGAATGTACTTCAAATACAGTCCTGCTCCTGACAATGCCTATTAAAAGTTTTGATAGGCACTGTCAGGTGAAACATTTACCCTAAAGAAGCCTTTACACCCACTTGTCAAACACTTCTAAGTATCAGCTCACTCGGGGGTAATAGTTCTAATCCACAAACAGACATTGGTCATTCTTTTTTTCGCGAGAACTTAGCCAGACGCTAGGGGAAAGTTATGTGCAGGGGAGAGAGGGTAACTCGTCATTCGCATGAAAAGTGCTTGAAAAAATAGCGCCTGTCTTTTAGGGTAAAACAAATCCCGTGGAAAAGCCTTTTTCTCGCAGGGGATTATGAAGTAAAAACAGCCGATTTGTAAATAACATGTTGTATGCAGGAAAAGGTTACGATCTAGACAAAAGCCAGAGGAATAAATATTTTGTGACAGTTGTGCTCAAGTTAAACCATGATTTCAAGAGTTTTTATTACGTAAGAGCAAACAAGTTAGGGGGAACTCGTTATCATCTTTGTTATGATAAGAGAGAAACTGCAAAAGGCCCATGTAAGACTCCGAATTAAGAAGTCAGTCATTCAGTTCGTCTTAGACACCCATACAATTTCCATATCAATTCCCTTTCAACCCTTTCAAGCTTGCGGTCTACTACAATAAGTTTTTAAGTTTCTAATTTCGAACAACAATTTGCAATACTTTGGTGATACAGTCTGCCGATATTGGCATTTTAAGTTTCCATAGTACGCTTTTGGTTGGATACCAATGCGACAGTCGAGTTTTCAGAACTTAGTTCCATTCTATTAGTACCATAAAAATGAGTTCAAGCTAAACTTTGTTCATCATATTCAATCGACTTTGGCTGAGATGAGAACAATACAAGGAGTGTTGCTGGTTGCCTTCATTAACCAGGCCTGCGGGCTCGTAAAACACAATTGTACTTTATCTTTCATTATTCTATTTAATATTCGATTTCGTCATCAATCGCTGAACCCTGAGCAAGAGAAACTAATTGTTCATTTCCTCTGAATCTCCTGACACGTTTGAACATTATCAAGCTAATTTGTTTTTTCAAACAAAACAAAAGCAGACCAATGACTACTCCAACAGAAGAAATTAGAGTCAAGGTTGCAGCTAAGACAGTACTCAATGCATTGTTTATCAAAATCACCCGAGCGGGAATCCTTGGGTTATGATAACATTTGTAAGACGAACTTTTCGAGCCCCACTGTTCAAGAAAAACGTTGACATGTTTGTAAACGTCCGCAGTCGTTCCGCATTCGGAGTCTCTGAGTATATAAGAACACTCTTTGGTTATTTGCCGACGGTCCCTAACGACTAAAGCGTCATGTTCCGATCGATTATTGTAAGACACATAAATTTGCAGACAAGGATAATAAATTGTGCATTTTGCGTTGGTGTTTCGTTTGATACAGTCGCATTGAAGTCTCTTGTCTTGAGCTGTGATTAGTTTTGTGGCCGTGACACTACAAATTCCCAATTTAAATCTTGAACTTTCGATCTTTGGAAGCGTAGCCAGAACCAACACGAGAAGTAGAGACAAAATTGAAGTCACAAGGATTCCTTTGGCCACGCGTGTCACTTTCTTGATGAGATCAGCTTGTTGCGACCGGTGGATATTCATTTAAGTCGGACCAAAGAGAAACAGATACTTACGATGCTTAGTAAATTCTATACTTGTTCTATTATATGGCTGCCTATAGAGGATAAAACAAAAAGTATAAAACAACAACTGATTAGCTGTGGGCCACATTTTATTTCATTTCAGCTCGTTCCAGCACCGTGACTGTTAAGAAAGATTTATAGCCCGTGGCTTATACACTCGTATCCGTTTAATATAATGACTTATCAGTTCTATCTTAGATACCAGTTTTATTTTCTTAATCAGGTGAAACGAACGTGCAGCCGAGTGACGAAGGTCAACGGACACTTTATCAGAGAATTGATTAAACCCTACCACACATGTTATGAAAATTAATTCTCAATCGAAAATTTGGTGAACCCGTGCGGTTTCTTCTGAGGGGGAACAATCATTGGTATGGTTCATAATGTAATATTTAAGTGTCATTCGCGTAAAATTTCTGATGTTGTAAAACATTTCGAGAGTGAATGATTTAAACAGCAGATTCGACGTAATTAAAACTGAAGAAAGCGAGATGGCTGAAAAAATACACTAACAAAACATGTCTGCCGAACGTGTCAACCTGTAATTGTTTTATGTTCGAGACACCGCAGACTACTGTGCGTTAAATTAAAATTCATAAGTCCAACATCAAAACATTTAGAGCTCCTTCAACATCAGAGGATGAAGTGGTAAAAATGAAAATATTATCTAGAATACTCTTTAGTTTTCCATAATAATACGAGTAATAATATGATGCATTATAAATTGCAACGGCGATGATTAATGTTTGCTATGATTGTCGCTGCAATCGAATAGCGTGATTCGTCGAGAGACTTTCATTCAGTCTGTCGACTGGAGTATTCTTAAAGCCCAAATTTTCATATAAACACAACATTAGTTGCTTTACTAAGACTTACAACTGACATAATTACCAAAAAAGACAACAGATTCGTCGGGAGTTAACATAAATAACACGCGGAACATCTTACCTTAGAGAGCAGAGCCACAATCTTTCTTTTGAATATTTGATTAGGAACCTCTGGTATTTTAATACGTCAAAGGAAACAAGAAAAAGACAATTTTAGCATGTTCTAGAAACCTGAAAAAGAAAAAGGCAATCAGAAATATCAACTAAAGTCTAAAATTGATTGCGATTTGTAACGTTTTCTTCGCCTCCAGGCCATGTGAATTATTAACACAGTGATATTCAATAGCGGTTTTACTCTGCCAACACAAGGTTATATTGACGGCTTGGAGTCTGCTACAATAAGCTTTGAAGAGTTTCTTATTTCGGCCTGTAATTTGCAATATAAAGTTGATAGCATCCGTCGGTGTTTACATTCTTAAGCCCTTTATTACGTTTCCGTTGGTTACCCTGAAAGATGTTCTCGGTTCGCTAGAATCATAAAAAAAAATAAAGGCGAAAAAAAAACCTTACTCATCATAATCAATCGTTTGTAAGAGATGAAAGCCTTTCATCGACCAAGTAGCCTAAGGCGTGTGAAAGCTAGAAGCCAAAAGCTTTCTTATGGCCGGCCACATATTCGAAATAAAAGGACGGAAAACACACCAGGAGTGTGAAGAGATCTACGAAATATTACAGGAAAAAATGATGAAGAAGACGTAAAATAGTAAGTGGGACAAAGATATGAACACAAATACGAAGATGCATTGAAATATGAGATGTGAAGGCTTATTTGAACTAATTTTGAAAGCTCTCGATTCTCGGCCCCTCTGACTGAAATAAACATCTATTCTCTTATTAATTAGTTCTTATAATTTTGTGTTCGCTAGTATAGCAAGGAAGACCAGAAATAACACGACTTGCTGTCGAATTATTCCTGTAAACCACAAAAGATTGGGTTCGAACAGTTCAAGTTTAAGACCAGGTGGTTAGAATCGCCGAGTGTCTATGAGCTACAATCATCTCTAATACGAGTTCTTAACGTCTAAACCACCAGACAGCACTCAAATAATTTTGTAACAGACAAAACACATGTATATGGTCAATTAGATAAAAGAGATATGAAAAGAAATATGACTTAAAGCAAAAAATTTGTAGACTTATTTCCCAAGTCAAATATCTTGACCTTTCCATGTAGAAGTCGGCTGAGAAGGTGACGGTGTTACATTTAAAGGCATGAATTTTGCATAACTTTAAAGATAAGGCAAGATGGCTTTACTTGAGAAGCAATGGCTGTTGCTATCTTTAGGAATATTTCTTGCACACGCTCGGCCGAAAGGTTTGTTTTGTTTTCCCTTTTGATCCTTTTGTTTTGACTGTATTATCAAAGGAATCAATTAGATATGACACTAACAATGTATATATTTGTAAACAAAATGAGACAGACAAGTTATTAGGAGTGCTCGGTAGGCGAAAGTTTCCACTCAGTAGGTGACAGAAAATCATTGAAATGAAGGCCACATTTTATGATGAAATTGTTATGTTAAGTCCCTAAGGTAACCCTTTGAACTGCAAATAATTTTAGCCAAACGTATGGTATTGTTGACAAAACTGTTACTCAAGGATGGAAAAAAGATGGTGCTATTTGTTGTGACGACAGGTGACTGGTGAGGTAAAAAGAGCTTAACAGATTTCATTTCACGATCACTGCTCAATGATTTCATAAATAGATCTTCCTCGGGGATAAAAGAGAATGATTTAAGGTGGAATTAAATCGAAGCCTAACAATAGATCGACATCCCATGTTACTCGACCAATGCACCGATAACGGTTGCTTATTACAATTCAAAACGTCAAATGACCATATAAATGAGAAGTCAGCCAAAATGTATCCTTTTCTCCAACCTAAATGAAGTGAAACTTTCTTTCTTTTCCTAATATACTCCCAATTTTCAGTAATGCAGTGCATTTCTCTTTATCACTTACATGCCGTAGAGGAGTATTTTGTTTGTTTGTTTGTTTGTTTCTGTTCGATTTTTGAATACAGCGGAAAATTCATGGAAGTCAGTTTGGGTGTCTTTTACGAAGTGTTGTTGTTCATCTCTCAGTACCCGATCACGAAGACGATGTGCCCGAACTGTACGAGGGAGACATTGCACTAACTAAAGAACAGGCCGAAATTCTTAAGCCGTCACGGCCAACCGTCAACAAGGCAGTGGACTGGAATCAAGAGGCTCAAACGAGAGGCGCCATCGCAAATCCAGGTCCTGACTTTGGCCAGGCGGAATTGTCCCGTTTCAAATAAGTTATGCAATCGGTAACTGATCAGTTACTTATCTCCATGAGACTCCAGTCTAGAGCTTTATCAGTATCCTTACATTTATTATCCAACTGCACTAAGTAGAGTACAAATAACACTTGAATAGAGTAAAAAAAGAATCCTGCGATATTCAACGGTTATTTGTACAGTTGGTTATTTCGTATTGTAAAAACACCTGTTTAACCAGTGACTGCGCGTTGTTTGCATTTTGACTCGCTGTACGCGCTCTTCAAAATATGGCATAACTCGTAAAAATACTCAGCAATACTACACACGAAATAACGCTTGAATAGAGTAAAAAAAGAATCCTGCGATATTCAACGGTTATTTGTACAGTTGGTTATTTCGTATTGTAAAAACACCTGTTTAACCAGTGACTGCGCGTTGTTTGCATTTTGACTCGCTGTACGCGCTCTTCAAAATATGGCATAACTCGTAAAAATACTCAGCAATACTACACACGAAAAAGTCTTATAAGATATATTTATCCAATGTTGCATTAGCGCTAAATCTTAACCGAAACTTTTCGGTCCTACGCGTTGCCTTTTAATTCTTTCAACACATGAACTATTCTGATATTTGCCTTTGTAAACGTTTCTCATTCATATAATTAGACGTTAAAGGAAGGCAACTGATTAGAATCTCGATGAAAGTTGGATGGATCATGTTCCCTGTCTTCGATTGTGTTATTTTTCTACCAAGAATTGGTATAAAGGGTTTTTTTTCTTTGTTTTGTCGGTCACGTGATTTCGGATTTCTGAGTATGGTCACGAAACTTCAAGTTCTGGTCAATGATTCTTCCCTCGTAAGTTTATTATTTCTACATACTTTCTGTCGCTGTATCGCGGAGGTATGAAGATTTAAGGTTTATAATCTATGTATTTCGCTTAAGAGTGCTAAATGCCTTTGCCGCATTTAAGGGCACAAGAACTGGAATTGTCTGCCATTTAAGTCTCGCATAGGGACAGTGCTAACTTCACCTCACTATGTTTATATAGGAACCAAAGCTGACGGTAAAAAGCCAGAAAGCAAGCCACCCGGGCCTGAGCCAGGTCAGTTTTAAGCTTAAGTAACCCACCTCGTTTGTAGAGCGTCCCCCTCCAGGACAATAAAAACCGTCAACAACTCAACCGTGGTGAATAAAGAGTTTCCTTCACTATGCTACGTTTCATTTCAATGAAAGACAGTTGTGCAGTCGTTGTTCTTTCTATCCAGGTATAGAGGCTAGCAACACTATTGAAAGATAATAGCTTCATCTGAGTAGCATGTCTCTGAAAGAAGACTTGAAAACACTAGGACCCATTTATATGGTCTCGTTTCCTCAATGTTACGGACGAGGTTCAATTTTGAATTCAAATCTTTTCACAGCGGCACCTCCACGTCCACGTCCACATCCACATCCACGTCCAAGTTCATATCTCCCTCCTGATTATAAATGGGGCTAGACCACCCCTAAAATGGGTCGTTATCCTGTGGGTATTTTTTTTCAAGATGGCGGCCTTCAAGCGCACAAAGGCTTCCGGATTGAGAGGTGAAGGGATCAGGAGCCAAACGTGGCTTATTTCAACCGGGATTTTTGCAGCCTGATAACAATAGAGTAATAAATGGCGCCTTTCTTCAGATTTTCCAGGTCTATTGCCTTTTATTGATATGTAATGTGGGTATGGTAGTGAAAACTTAACCGAGAAAAGTGTTATGATTGGAAGCGAAAATTTCGAAGAGATTCCAGCCGAAGAGAGTTCAAGGTAATGCTTTTCAATCGAGATTTTCTCTGAAGATGGAAACTGACATTAAAATCGAAAGTCATACGAAGTTTGTTCATTGTCTCTTCTCATTAAAAATGTACATATTCAAAGCTTTTGTCCTAATATATTTCATTCGCATGAAAAGTGCATGAAAAAATAGCGCCTGTCTTTTAGGGTAAAACAAGTCCCGTGAAAAAGCCTTTTTCAAAGTTCACTTTCTCGCATGGGATTATGTAGTAAAAACAGCCGGTTTGTATATAACGTGTTGTATGCAGGAAAAGGTTACGATCTAGACAAAAGCCAGAGGAATAAACATTTTGTGACAGTTGTGCTCAAGTTAAACCATGATTTCAAGAGTTTTTATTGAGTAAGAGTGAACAAGTTAGGGGGAACTCGTTATCATCTTTGTTATGATAAGAGAGAAACTGCAAAAGGCCCATGTAAGACTCCGAATTAAGAAGTCAGTCTTAGTTCGTCTTAGGCACCCATACAATTTTCATTTCAACTCCCTTTCAACCCTTTCAAGCTTGAGGTCCACTACAATAAGTTTTTAAGTTTCTAATTTCGAACAACAATTTGCAATACTTTGGTGATACAGTCTGCCGATATTGGCATTTCAAGTCTCCATATTACGGTTTTGGTTGGATACCAATGCGACAGTCGAGTTTTCAGAACTTAGTTCCATTCTATCAGTACCATAAAAATGAGATCAAGCTAAACTTTGTTCATCATATTCAATCGACTTTGGCTGAGATGAGAACAATACAAGGAGTGTTGCTGGTTGCCTTCATTAACCAGGCCTGCGGGCTCGTAAAACACAATTGTACTTTATCTTTCATTATTCTATTTAATATTCGATTTCGTCATCAATCGCTGAACCCTGAGCAAGAGAAACTAATTGTTCATTTACTCTGAATCTCCTGACGCGTTTGAACATTATCAAGCTAATCTGTTTTTTCAAATAAAACAAAAGCAAACCAATGACTACTCCAACAGAAGAAATTAGAGTCAAGGTTGCAGCTAAGACAGTACTCAATGCATTGTTTATCAAAATCACCCGAGCGGGAATCCTTGGGTTATGATAACATTTGTAAGACGAATTTTTCGAGTCCCACTGTTCACGAAAAACGTTGACATGTTTGTAAACGTCCGCAGTCGTTTTGCATTCGGAGTCTCTGAGTATATAAGAACACTCTTTGGTTATTTGCCGACGGTCCCTAACGACTAAAGCGTCATGTTCCGATCGATTATTGTAAGACACATAAATTTACAGACAAGGATAATAAATTGTGCATTTGCGTTGGTGTTTCGTTTGATACAATGGCATTGAGGTCTCTTGTCATGAGCTGTGATTAGCTTCGTGGCCGTGACACTACAAATTCCCAATTTAAATCTTGAACTTTCGATCTTTGGAAGCGTAACCAGAACCAACACGAGAAGTAGAGACAAAATTGAAGTCACAAGGATTCCTTTGGCCACGCGTGTCACTTTCTTGATGAGATCAGCTTGTTGCGACCGGTGGATATTCATTTAAGTCGGACCAAAGAGAAACAGATACTTACGATGCTCAGTAAGTTCTATACTTGTTCTACTTTATGGCTGCCTATAGAGGATAAAACAAAAAGTATAAAACAACAACTGATTAGCTGTGGGCTACATTTTATTTCATTCCAGCTCGTTCCAGCACTCTGACTGTTTCGTTTGATACACTATGTGACTGTTAAGAAAGATTTATAGCCCGTGGCTTATACACTCGTATCTGTTTAATATAATGATTTATCAGTTCTATCTTAGATACTACAATGAGTTTTATTTTCTTAATCAGGTGAAACGAACGTGCAGCCGAGTGACGAAGGTCAACAGAAACTTTATCAAAGAATTGATTAAACTCTACCACACATGTTATGAAAATTAATTCTCAATCGAAAATTTGGTGAACCCGTGCGGTTTCTTCTGAGGAGGAACAATCATTGGTATGGTTGATTACGTAATATTTAAGTGTCATTCGCGTAAAATATCTGATGCTGTAAAAAATTCCGAGAGTGAATGATTTAAACAGCTGATTCGATGTAATTAAAACTGAAGAAGGCGAGATGGCTGAAAAAATACACTAACAAAACATGTCTGCCGAACGTGTCAACCTGTAATTGTTTTATGTTCGAGACACCGCAGACTACTGTGCGTTAAATTAAAATTCATAAGTCCAACATCAAAACATTTAGAGCTCCTTCAACATCAGAGGATGAAGTGGTTAAAATGAAAATGTTATCTAGAATACTCTTTAGTTTTCCATAATAATAAGAGTAATAATATGATGCATTATAAATTGCAACGGCGTTGGTCTAATGTATGCTATGATTGTCGCTGCAATTGAATAGCGTGATTCATCGAAAGACTTTCGTTCAGTCTGTCGACTGGAGAATTTCTGAAGCCAAAATTTTCGCATAAACACAACATTAGTTTCTTTACTAAGACGTACAACTGACAGAATCACCAAAAAAGACAACAGATTCGTCAGGAGTTAACATAAATAACACGCGGAACATCTTACCTTAGAGAGCAGAGCCACAATCTTTCTATGGATTAGGAACCTTTGGTATTTAAGTACGTCAAAGGAAACTAGAATAAGACAATTTTAGCATGTTCTAGAAACCTGAAAAAGAAAAAGGCAATCAGAAATATTGATTAAAGTCTAAAATTGACCGCGATTTGTAACGTTTTCTTCGCCTCCAGGCCATATGAATTATTAACACAGTGATATTCAATAGCGGTTTTACTCTGCCAACACAAGGTTATATTGACGGCTTGGAGTCTGCTACAATAAGCTTTGAAGAATTTCTTATTTCGGCCTATATTTGCAATATAAAGTTGATAGCATCCGTCGGTGTTTACATTCTTAAGCCCTCTATTACGTTTCCATTGGTCACCCTGAAAGATGTTCTCGGTTCGCTAGAATCATAAAAAAGATAAGGGCAAAAAAAGGCTTACTCATCATAATCAGGCGTTTGTAAGAGATGAAGGCCTTTCATCGACCAAGTAGCCTAAGGATTGTAAAAGCTAGAAGCCAAAAGCTTTCTTATGGCTGGCCACATATTTAAAATAAAAGGACGGAAAACGCACCAAGAGTGTGAAGAGATCTACGAGATATTACAGAAAAAAATGATGAAGAAGAAAATAGTAAGTGGGACAAAGATATGGACACAAATGCGAAGATGTATTTAGATATGAGATGTGAAGGCTTATTTGAACTAATTTTGAAAGCTCTCGATTCTCGGCCCCTCTGACTGAAATGAACATCAATTCTCTTATTAATTAGTTCTTATGATTTTGTATTCGCTAGTATAGCAAGGAAGACCAGAAATAACATGACTTGCTGTCGAATTATACCTGTAAATCAGTAAATGCGCTACAATTATCTCTACTACGAGTTCTTAACGTCTAAACCACTCAGACAGCACTCACATAATTTTGTAGAAGTAACGGACAAAAGACATGTATATGATCTATTAGATAAAACAAATATGAAAAGAAATATGACTTAAAGCAAAAAATATGTAGACTTATTTCCCAAGTCAAATAGCTTGACCTTTCCAAGTAGAAGTCGGCTGAGAAGGTGACGGTGTTACATTTAAAGGCATGAATTTTTCATAACTTTAAGGATAAGGCAAGATGGCTTTACTTGTGAAGCAATGGCTGTTGCTATCGTCAGGGATATTTATTGCACACGCTCGGCCGAAAGGTTTGTTTTATTTTCCCTTTTTTGTTCCTTTTGTTTTTACTTTATTATCAAAGGAATCAATTAGATACGACACTAACAATGTTTATATTTGTAAACAAAATGAGACAGACAAGTTATTAGGAGTGCTCGGTAGGCGAAAGTTTCCACTCAGTAGGTGACAGAAAATCATTGAAATGAAGGCCACATTTTATGATGAAATTGTTATGTTAAGTCCCTTAGGTAACCCTTTGCACTACAAATAATTTTAGCCAAACGTATGGTATTGTTGACAAAACTGTTACTCAAGGATGGAAAAAAGATGGTGCTATTCGTTGAAACGACAAGTGGCTGGTGGGATACAAAGAGCTTAACAAAGATTTCATTTCACGATCACAATCAATGAATAGATCTATGTCATGTAAATTAATTCGATTGATAGATCTTCCTCAGGGCTAACAGAGAATGATTTAAGGTGGAATTAAATCAAAGCCTAATAATAGATCGACATCCCATGTTACTCAACCAATGCACTGATAACGGTTGCTTTTTGCAATTCAAAACGTCAACCTAAAAATCTGTCCTTTTCTCCAACCTAAGTAAAACTTTTTTTCTTTTCTTACTATACTCCCAATTTTCAGTAATGCAGTGCATTTCTCTTAATCACTTACGGGCCGTACAGAAGTATTTTGTTTGTTTGTTTGTTTGTTTGTGTTCGATTTTTAAATACAGTGTAAAATTCATGGAAGTCAGCTTGGGTGTCTTTTGTGAATTATTGTTGTTCATCTCTCAGTACCCGATTACGAAGACGATGTGCCCGAACTGTACGAGGGAGACATTGCACTAACTAAAGAACAGGCCGAAATTCTTAGGCAGTCACGGCCAACCTTCAACAAGTCAGCAGACTGGAATCAGGAGGCTCAAACAAGAGACGCTATAAAGAATCCACGTCAACTTTGGCCAGGCGGAATTGTCCCGTTTAAAATAAGTTATGCAATCGGTACCTGATCAGTTACTTTTCTCCATCAGACTCTAGTCTAGAGCTTTATCAGTCAGTATCCTTACACTTATTACCCAACCGCACTGAGTAGAGTATAAATAACGCTTGAAGAGAGTACAAATATCCTGCGATATCCTACGGTTATTTGTGCAGTTGGTTATTTTGTATTGTAAAAACATATGTTTAACCAGTTGACTGCGCGTTGTTTGTATTTTGACTCGCTGTACGCGCTCTTCAAAATATGGCACAACTCGTGGAAATACTCAGTGACACTACACACGAAAATGTCTAATAAGATATATTATTCATAGTTGCATTGGCGCTAAATCTTAACCGAAACCTTTCGGTCCTACGCGTTGCCTTTTAATTCTTTCAACACATGAATCATTCCGATATTTGCCTTTGTAAACGTTCCTCATTCATATAATTAGACGCTAGAGGAAGGCAACTGATTAGAAACTCGATGAAAGACTGGATGGATCATGTTCCTTGTCTTCGATTTAAACAGAGAGAGTCAGAGAGAGGATACCTCGAGTTTGTCTACAAAAGGGGGTAAGTGGAGGGTCAAATTAACATTACGAAAGTAGCTCAAGACAGAACCGCTTCTTTGTCAGTGTGAAAAATTTCCGTAAATATAGGTATTTACTCCTTGAAGTAATAGTACGTACCGTTTTATTGTTAAACTTTAAAGTAATTACCCGGTGTTGTGTCTACTTTCAACAGCTGCTGGTCGTATCTTGGCCATATTGGTAGACGTCAAGAAGTCTCTATTGGACGGTACACTGAGTGAGTTATAAAAGGCGCGCTTAAGCTGCATCACCACTAGGAAACTACTGTTTGCGAGTTACATAAATCCCTCTTACCCTGCCTAATTGAATGGAGATCATGATAAGTTTACTTTTCCCTAGTCCAGTCTAATCTGATTGAAATACGCATTTTTCATCCGCGTTTCAGACACGTGGCAGAATTACTCACGTCCTCGTGTAAACTCTCGGACGAACTACTTCGCTGACATGCAGCCTCTCAAACTGCAGTGGCTACTGGCTCCACACTCGTTTATTATTATCTTAATCTCCTCTTATCAAATATTTCTGGGTTTTTGGTTCCACGTACAGTATCTCCATTGTAAACCAGTTTGTAACGTTTAACTTATTTGTGGGAAAGAGTCATTTGTTATGCTCAAAAATCATACTTACTTGTTACTTTCAAATAAATTTTGCAAATAAATCGAGCAATGATTGCTCTGCAATTTGAATTTGATAACTCTAAATTTACTGAGCAGCTAAATACTGTGAATTAACGGCTCAAGTAGCCTTGATAAGTTTAAAGAGAAGAAAAATACCTAAATGTGTATATAAATTTCAACTCGTTGAAGGGATCCCCCCTGTGTACAAGGATCAATCACTCACGAGTTAGGACACGCCATCGGATTTTTACACGAACAGAATCGACCTGACAGGGATGATTACGTCAAAATCAACTGGCATAACATGGCGCACGGTCAGTATGAACAAGTTTGATTATACTATTATGACTATATGTGGAGAAATGCGTTCATCATTATGAAATACAGTTCCATTTTGTTGAGGATTGGTGATCCTAAACTTTACCCACGTAGGGTATAATACACACCATTTGCGCTTACAATAAAAACAATGCGTGGTAAATATATTTGTTATTAGCTAAACCGATTAATTTTGTGTTACAAGTCGCCAAGATAACTTTTCGCCTCAGTTTCACTTTTTTTTCTCTTGATTAAAAAAACTATGAAACGTATATGACCTCCAAGAGACTTGGGCGAATGATCTGGCACACAGCGCATTGTGTTGAGCTTGAAACGAAGGTTCCTTTTTCTACTTTTTCTTTTGTGGTGGATTTTGATCCAACAGTTACATTTATGGTACAAAAGTATTGGATCGAGGTACGGTGAAAAGTTCCATCCATTTCTTTGAGCCATGATTAATTTAGTCTAAACTGGAGCACATCCTAGGGAGACGTTGTGTCACTCAATACATAGACGAGGCCCTTTTTCCTGGTTCCTTTTTTCAACGATAAGTTCAGGTTTAAAAAAAGCCTATTTTAATATTTCAACATAAACCGAGAGGTTGCATGCTCAAACACCGCAAAATCAATGACTATACCACGAATGCACATATTGTTATAAAATCATTAGTAGCGCGCTTATTGTGATAAGTTCAGTTGCACGTGCCTATGTTCCGGGTGATTTATGCCTGCATGCTTCTAACAGTATTTTCTCACACAATTCAGGAGCAGCAAGTCAGTTTGAAAAGGCTGACCCTAATGAGGTAGACTATCGAGGAGAGCCATATGACTACGGATCCATCATGCACTATTCCAGGTACCAAGGGAATAATCGTCCTAATGCCATGACGATGGAGCCTATAAAAGCTAATGCTGAAATTGGTCAGCGTAAAAGCCCCAGTAAAAGTGACATACGGCAAGCTCGGCTTATGTATGGCTGTGGCGGTACGTTCACGTGACTATGTCATGTAAATTAATTCGAGCGCGTAGTTACCGGGATGAGATCCTTTTCTTTTAAAATAAAACAATTATTATAACTTTTATTCATAATATAAATGTTGTGTTTTTTTTCTACCAAGAACTTCTCCTCTCACTATGTTTATATAGGAACCAAAGCTGACGGCAAAAAGCCAGAAAACGAGCCCCCCGGGCCTGAGCCAGGTCAGTCATAAGCTTAAGTAACCCCCTCGTTTGTAGAGTGTCCCCATCCAGGACAATAAAAACCGTCGACAACTCAACCGTAATGAATAAAGAGTTTCCTTTACAATGTTACGTTTCATTTCAATGAAAAACAGTTTTGCCTTCGTTGTTCTTTCTATCCAGGCATAAAGGCTAGCAACGCTATTACAAGGTAATAGCGTCATCTGAGTAGCATGTCTCTGAAAGAAGACTTGAAAACACTAGGACCCATTTATATGGTCTCGTTTCCTCAATGTTACGGACGAGGTTCAATTTTGAATTCATATCTTTTCACAGCAGCACCTCCACCTCCACCTCCACCTCCTGGACCTGGCCGTCCCCAACCTGGTTAGTTTTTAGCGATTTCAAGTAATTGACTATCATTTCGGACATACGCTTGATACGATAAAAACTAAGACGGGATGTCTAATAAGGTTTCGAGGAGGTCTCCAAAGGCTTTGGGTATTAGGTATCGCAGTTACAGTTAGTGAAATCTCTAATTGACCGTCGAAAGTAAACCTGGATATGCATTGGTTTTGCATGCCTTATTTGGCTTTCTAATTGGTCTAGAAGACCTGGAACTCTTTAACGGTGAATAGGGTAACTACCAATAAACAACTAGAGATATCATTTGAACGAAACACAGACAAAAGAAAACCCCGACTATCCAAGAGAATAGTAAATAAGAGCAAACAGCGTCACGGGAATAATGATCTTACTCTTTTTATGGCATTTTGCAGGTGGTCCACCAAATTGTATCGGAAAAACAGAAAATTCTGGACGAATGCAAAAAATAATCCTGGGTAAGTAAAGATAAAATTATTTATTTAACATAATAATTTCCTCCCTAGATTTGACTCCGGGCCGCGATTCTTATTTTCTACTTAACTCTTCCTCTTAGCCCCCAGAAGAAATTGACCTGAGACTTCTCTTTGTGATACCGATATGTCTTTTTACAATCTGGTTATGAGAAAGACAAGCTTATTAGCTTAAGGGTATTATGTTGAACACCAAACTACCTTGTCCAATTTTCGATGAAATTTAAGAGAGTAATACGAGAGAATTATTAATTGGATCTTGGATAGTAAATAGTTAAACCTTTTTTTTTCTGCTTGAAGTCTGCAAGAATCCCGACGATGACAAAACAACAAACACAACACAGGTCAGTCTTGAAGGTTATGGTAGTGAATGAGTAATTGAGCTGCCCGTTAAGGCTTCCGCCGAAGAATTCGTATTTATGATCCTGTCATATAATCGGTTGATAGCGTCGAGGGTTAAGCTAGAACAGTGCCACCTTAATAGATCCTTTCCGAAATGTCTAAGTTTGTATTTGTAAAGAAGAAAAACAGGCGGCAAGGCCAGTTCCTGTTGATTGTTAACTAGAGCCCTAAATTTATTCTCTCGACAATCAGGTGACTAATCTCAGCTCTTGGTTGTAACATTTTTGGTATCTCTTCGTTCTGTCAATTGACTTTGGAAGAGCTAGGTTACCAGATTTACTGGTTCATCCCTGAACAAAACTTTTCGGTAGTAACTCTTCTTTTACGTAGAAGCATTTATGGAAATCGTCGACATACGTTAGGATACATAAATCACTTCTTAAATTTAGATATAGATCTACTTATAATCAGCGTCAAAATTAGTTGACACATCATATTTGAAGAGTGTTATTTATGTGCAGAGTAACATTGACAAGACCCCCCCTCCCTCATTTAAAGTTGCCTTTATGTAGCTAAAAGTTCATGGAATCACACGACACAGCATTTTTTTTTGGGGGGGGAGGGGGCGAATAGGTTAACCTAACAGGGACAAAAGATAAATTGAAGTAATAGGGGGTTGAAAAGATCAATGTGTCAACAATTTTGTCGCTGATTGCAGGTTAAAAAAAACTAAACAAAAAGTAACCATTGTTTTTTTCGAGAGAGAGGAAAGCCAATCTTACATTTTTTTACCAACTCCTTATTCTTCTCCTTTTAGACCCAAGTGAATTCAAAGGAAACCTGGAACGGGGGAACGTAGTTGACAATGATGCATACATGAATCAAATTAATTGGAGAAAGTACAAACGGGATATCTGTCGCGTCATACTGCATCCTTGGCCTATAAAGGAGAATCTATTAATCTATTAACTTCAACCATATATAGAATTCTATGCACGTTCGCTGCCCACACAATAGCCCAGATATTTAATTCACTATTAGCACTTTTGTTTTTTCATAAATTAGTGAGAGAGGCAGGGGTGAAAATGTAAGAACTTACTGTTTCCTATCAGAAAAAATAAGGGCAAAAAAAGGCTTACTCATCATAATCAATCGTTTGAAAGAGATGAAAGCCTTTCATCGACCAAGTAGCCTAAGGAGTTTAAAAGCTAGAAGCCAAAAGCTTTCTTAAGGCTGGCCGCATATTCGTAGTAAAAAGAAAACACACCAGGAGTAAGAGATCTACAAGATATCACAGGAAAAAATGATGAAGACTAAAAATAGCACGTGAGACAAAGATATGGATACAAATGCGAATATGCATTGAGATATGAGATGTGAAGGCTTATTTTACCTAATTTTGAAAGCTCTCGATTCTCAGCCCCACTTACTGAAATAAAAATCAATTCACAATTCAATTTATAATTTTGTGTTCGCTAGTATGGCAAGGAAGAACAGAAACAACACGACTTGCTGTCGAATTATATCCGTAAACCACAAACGATTGGGTTCGAACAGTTCTAAGTTAAGACCAGGTGGTCAGAATCGACAGTGTTTATGATATGCTCAACTAGATAAAAGAAATATGAGATGAAATATGATTTCAAACAAAAAATTGTCGACTTATTTCCCAAGTCAAATATCTTGACCTTTCCAAGTAGAAGTCGGCTGAGAAGGTGACGGTGTTACATTTAAAGGCATGAATTTTGCATAACTTTAAGGATAAGGCAAGATGGCTTTACTTGTGAAGCAATGGCTGTTGCTATCGTTAGGGATATTTCTTGCACACGCTCGGCCGAAAGGTTTGTTTAATTTTCCCCTTTTTGTTCCTTTTGTTTTGACTGTATTCAAAGGAATCAATTAGATATGACACTAACAATGTATATATTTGTAAACAAATGAGACAGACAAGTTATTAGGAGTGCTCGGCAGGCGACAGTTTCCGCTCAGTACGTGACAAAAATCATTGAAGTGAACGCCACATCATGATAAAATTGATACAATTTTGGCCAAACGCATGGTATTGTTGACAAAACTGTTACTCAAGGATGGAAAAAAGATGCTCCTATTCGTTAAAACAACAGGTGGCTGGTGAGGTAAAGAGAGCTTGACATAGATTTCATTTCGCAATCACTGCTCAATGATTTCATAAATAGATCTTCCTCAGGGCTAACAGAGAATGATTTAAGTTGGAATTAAATCGAAGCCTAGCAATAGATCGACATCCCATGTTACTCGACCAATGCACTGATAACAGTTGCTTATTGCAATTCAAAACGTCAAATGGCCAAATTAATGATAAGTCACCCAAAAATTTATCCTTTTCTTCAACCTTAACGAAGTAAAACTTTCTTTCTTTTATTAATATACTCCCAATTTTCAGTAATGCAGTGCATTTCTCTTTATCACTTACATGCCGTAGAGAAGTATTTTGTTTGTTTGTTTGTTTGTTTCTGTTCGATTTTTAAATACAGTGGAAAATTCATGGGAGTCAGCTTGGGTGTCTTTTGTGAATTATTGTTGTTCATCTCTCAGTACCCGATTACGAAGACGATGTGCCCGAACTGTACGAGGGAGACATTGCACTAACTAAAGAACAGGCCGAAATTCTTAGGAAGTCACGGCCAACCTTCAACAAGTCAGCGGACTGGAATCAAGAGGCTCAAACGAGAGGCGCCATCTCGAATCCACGTCAACTCTGGCCAGACGGAATTATACCGTTTGTAATAAATTCACGAATTGGTACCTGATCAGTTACTTTTCTTCGTCAGACTCTAGTTTAGAGCTTTATCAGTATCCTTACACTTATTATCCAACTGAGTACTGAGTAGAGTACAAATAACACTTGAATAGAGTACAAATATCCCGCGATAATCTACGGTTATTTGGACAGTTGGTTATTTTGTATTGTAAAGAACACCTGTTCAACCAGTCGGCTGCGCGTTGTTTGTATTTTGACTCACCGTTCGTGCTCTTCAAAATATGGCACAACTCGTAAAAATACTCAGCGATACTACACACCAAAACGTGTAATAAGATATATTTATTCACAGTTGCATTGGTGCTAAATCTTAATCGAAACCTTTCGGTCCTTTGCGTTGCCTTTTAATTCCTTCAACACATGAATTATTCTGATATTTGCCTTTGTAAACGTTTCTCATTCTTATAATTAGACGCTAGAGGAAGGCAACTGATTAGAAACTCGATAAAAGATTGGATGGATCATGTTCCCTGTATTCGGTTTAAACAGAGAGAGCGAGAGAGAGGATACATCGAGTTTGTTTACAAGAGGGGGTAAGTAAAAGGTTAAATTAACATTACGAGAGTAGCTCAAGACAGAACCGCTACTTTGTCAGTGTGAAAAATTTCCCAAGATATAGATATTTACACCTTAAAGTAATAGTACGTATCGTTTTATTGTTAAACTTTTAAGTAATTACCCGGTGTTGTCTCTACTTTCAATAGCTGCTGGTCGTATGTTGGTCATACTGGAGGACGTCAAGAACTCTCTCTTGGACAGTTCACTGAGTGAGTTATAAAAGGCGCGCTTAAGCTGCATCTGCATTATGAAACTACTGTTTGCGAGTTACATAAATCCCTCATAACCTGCCTAATTGAATGGAGATCGTCATGATAAGTTTACTTTTCCCTAGTCCAGTCTAGTCTGATTGAAATATGCATTTTTCATCCACGTATCAGACACATAGCAGAATCACTCTCGCCCTCATGCAAAATTTTGGACGAACTACTTTGCTTACATGCAGCCTCTCAAACTGCAGTGGCTGCTTTGCATCTCTACATTCGTTGATTATTATCTCAATCTTTTGTTATCAAATATTTCCGGGTTTCCGGTTCCTGGTACAGTATCTCTATTGCAAACCAGTTTCAGTGTAACGTTTAACTTATTTTGTGGGAAAGAGTAATTCGTTATACTCAGAAATCATACTTAATTGTTACTTTCAAACAAATTTTGCAAATAAATTTAGCAATGATTTCTCTGCAATTTGAAGTTAATAAGTCTAAATTTACTGAGCAGCGAAATACTGTGAATTAACGGCTCATGTAGCCTTAACTGATAACTTTAAAGAGCAGAAAAACGCTTAAATATGGATATATATTAATTTCAACTTGTCGAAGGGATCCCCCTTGTGTACAAGGAGCAATCACTCACGAGTTAGGACACGCCATCGGATTTTTCCACGAACAGAATCGACCTGACAGGGATAAATACGTCACAATCAACTGGCAGAACATCAGGAATGGTCAGTAGGAACAAGTTTTATTATACTGTTATGATTATATGTGGAGAAATGCGCTCATCATTACGAAATAGATTCCATTTTGTTAAGGATTGGTGATCCTAAACTGTACCCACGTAGGGTATAATACAAACCATTTGCCCTTACATTAAAAACAGTACTTGGTAAAGATATTTATTATTGGCTAAACCGATTAATTTCATGTTACAAGTCGCCAATATAACTTTTCGCCTTAGTTTCACTTTTTTTTTCTCTTGATACAAAAACTGTGAAACGTACATGGCCACCAAGAGACTAGGGCGAATGACCTGGCATACAGGGCACTGTATTGAGCTTGAAACGAAGGTTCCTTTTTATATTTTTTTTCTTATGCGGTGGACTTTGATCCAACAGTTACATTTATGCTACAAAAAAGTATTGGATCGAGGTACGGTGAAAAGTTCCATCCATTTCTTTGGGCCATGATTAATTTAGTCTAAACTGGAGTTGTGTCACTCAATACATAGACGTGGCCCTTTTTACTGGTTCCCTTTTTAACAATAAATTTAGGTTAAAAAAAGCCTATTTTGGTATTTCAATATAAACCGAGCGGTTACATGTTCAAACACCGCGAAATCACTGACTATACCCCGAATGGGCATATTGTTATAAAATCATTAGTAGTGCGCTTATTGTGATAGAGTCAATTGCACGTGCCTATGTTCGCCGCTGTATATCTAGCCCGGAAATTTATGCTTGCATACTTCTAACAGTATTTTGTTACACCCTTCAGGGGCAGAAGATAACTTTAAAAAGGCTAAACCTAATTCGGTAGACAGTCGAGGAGAGCCATATGACTACGGATCCATCATGCACTATTCCAAGTACGCAGGGAATAATCGTCCTGGTGTTATGACGATAGACGCTAAGGATCCTAATGCCGAAATTGGTCAGCTTAAAGGCCCCAGTAAAAGTGACATAAAGCAAGCTCGGCTTATGTATGGCTGTGGTGGTAAGTTCACGTGACTATGTCATATGAATCAACCCGAGCGCGTAGCTACCGGGAAAAGATCCTTTTCCTTTAAAATAAGACTGTACCTGTGACTATTGTTAACGATATAAATGTTGTGTTTTGTTCTGCCACGAATTAGTACGGAAAGTTATTTTCTTTGTTTGGTTAGTCACGTGATTTGGGATTTCTTAGTAGGGGCACGAAATTTGAAGTTCTGGTCCGTTTTTATGATTCTTCCCTTGCAAGTTCATCAGTTCTACATATTTTCTGTCGCTGTATCGCGATGTGAAGATTTAAGGTTTATAATCAATGTATTTCGTTTGAGAGTGCTAAATGTGCCTTTGTCGCATCTAAGGGCACAAGAACTTGAATTGTGTGCCATTGAGTCTCGCATAGGAACAGTGCTAACTTCACCTCTCACTATGTTTATATAGGAACCAAAGCTGGAGGTAAAAAGCCAGAAAGCAAGCCCCCCGGGCCTGAGCCAGGTCAGTCATAAGCTTAAGTAACCCACCTCGTTTGTAGAGTGTCCCCCTCCAGGACAATAAAAACCGGTAACAACTCAACCATAGCGGATGAAGAGTTTCCTTCACTATGCTACGTTTCATTTCAATGAAAAACAGTTGTGCGTTCGTTGTTCTTTCTATCCAGGTATAAAGGCTAGCAACGCTATTGCAAGGTAATAGCGTCATCTGAGTAGCATGTCTCTGAAAACACTTTTTGATTCCTTGTCTTTTTACAGCAGCACCTCCACGTCCACCTCCACCTCCTGGACCTGGCCGTCCCCGACCTGGTAAGTTTTTAGCGTTTTCAAGTAATTGGCTATCATTTCGGACATAAGCTTGGTACGATAAAAACAAAGATGGGATGTCTAATAAGGTTTCGAGGAGGTCTCAAAAGGCGCTGGGTATTAGGTATCGCAGTTGCAGTTAGTGAAATTTCTAATTGACCGTCGGAGGTAAACCTGGATTGCATTGGTTTTGCATGTCTTTTTGGCTTTCTAATTGGTCCAGAAGACTTGGGACTCTTAAATGGTGAATAGGGTAACTACCAATAAACAACTAGAGATATCATTTGACCGAACCACAGACAAAAGAAAACCTCGACAATCTAAGAGAAAAGTAAATAAGAGCAAACGACGTCACGGGAATAATAATCTTACTCTTTTTATGGCATTTTGCAGGTGGTCCACCAAACAGTAATTGTATCAGAAAAGTAGTAAAGTTTGGAAAACTGCTAAAAATAATCCAGAGTAAGTGAAGATAAAATGATTTGTTTAACATAATAATTTCCTCCCTAGATTTGACTTCGGGCCGGGATTCTTACATTCTATTTGTCTTATCCTCTTAATCCCACAGGAAATTGACCTGAGACTTCTCTTTGTGACACAGATATGTCTTCTTGCAATCAGGTTATGAGGAAAGACAAGCTTACTAGCTCAAGGGTGTTATGTTGAACACCAAACTACCTTGTCCAATTTTCGATGAAATTTAAGAGAGTAATACGGGAGAATTATTAATTGGATCTTGGATAGTAAATGGTTAAACCTTTTTTTTCTGCTTGAAGTCTGCAGGAATCCCAATGATGAAAAAACAACAAGCACAACACAGGTCAGTCTTAAAGGTTATGGTAGTGAATGAATAATTGAGCTGCCCGTTAAGGCTTCCGCCGAGGTATTCGTATTTATGATCCTGTCATATGATTGGTTGATAGCGCCGAGGGTTAGGCTGGGCTGTGGTTCATCCCTGAACAAAACTATTTGGTAGTAACTCTTCTTTTACGTAGAAGCATTTATGGAAATCGTCGACATACTTTAGAATACATAAATCACTTCTTTAATTTAGATATAGATCTACCGATAATCAGCGTCAAAATCAGTTGGCACATCATGTTTGAAGAGTTGTATTTATGTGCAGAGTAACACTCCTGTTTCTACCACATACTAAATCATTGACAAGACCCCCTCCCCTCCCTCATTTAATATTGCCTGTATGTAGCTAAAAGTTCATGGAGACACAACATTTTTTTGGGGGAGAGGGGGCGAATAGGTTAACGTAACAAGGGCAAAAGATAAATTGAAGTAAAAGGAGTTGAAAAAATCAATGTGTCAACAATTTTGTCGCTGATTGCAGGTTAAAAAAAGCTAAAAAAAAACCGTAACGAATTTTTTTGGAGGGAGGAAAGCCAATCTTACATCATTTTTTACTAACTCCTTATTCCTCTCCTTTTTTAGACCCAGGTGAATTCAAAGGAAACATGAAACGGGGGAACGTACTTGATAATGATGATGATGCATAAATGAATAAAATTGATTGGGGAAAGTACAAACGGGATACCTCTTACGTCACGCTGCATCCTTGAATTATAAAGAAGAATAATGCACTTAATATATTAACCTTAACCATGTATAGAATTCTATGCACGTTCGCTGCCCACACAATAGCCCAGATATTTAATTCACTATTAGCACTTCTGTTTCTTCAGAAATCAGAGAGGAGGGCAGGGGTGAAAATGTAAGCATTTTCTCATCATATTCAATCGTTTGTAATAGATAAAAGCCTTTCATCGACCGAGTAGCCTAAGGAGTTTAAAAGCTAGAAACCTATGGCTTTCTTACGGCTGGCCACATATTCGTATTAAAAGGAAAACTCACCAGGAGTAAGAGATCTACGAGATACTTCAGGAAAAAAATGATGAAGTGGGACAATGATATGGACACAAATGCGAAGATGTATTAAGATATGAGATGTGAAGACTTATTTGAAAGCTCTCGGTTCTCGGCCCCTTTGACTGAAATAAACATTAATTCGCTTATTAATTAGTTCTAATAGTTTTGTGATTGCTAGTATAGCAAGGAAGACCAGAAACAACACGACTTGTCGTCGAATTATATCTGTAAACCGAAAACGATTGGGTTCGAACGGTTCTAGGTTAAGACCAGGTGGTCAGAACTGAATATGTCTCTAAGCTACAATTATCTTTAATACGAGTTCTTAACGTCTAAACCAATACCAGCAATAAAGCACTTAGATACTTATTTCCTAAGTCAGATATCTTGACCTTTTCAATTAGAAGTCGGCTGAGAAGGTTACGGTGTTACATTTAGAGGCACGAATATAAGGCAAGATGGCTTTACTTGAGAAGCAATGGCTGTTGCTATCGTTAGGGATATTTCTTGCACACGCTCGGCCGAAAGGTTTGTTTTATTTTCCCCTTTTGCTCCTTTTGTTTTGATTTTATTATCAAATGAATCAATTAGAAATGATACTAATAATGTCTATATATTGTAAACAAAATAACACACACAAGTTTTTAGGAGTGCTTGGTAGGCGACAGTTTCCACTGACTCAGTACGTGACAGAAAATCATGAAAGTGAACGCCACATTTTATGATAAAATTGTTATTTTAAGTCCATAAGGTAACCCTTTGAACTAAAAATAATTTTAGCCAAACGCACGGTATTGTTGAATAAAACTGTCACTCAAGGATGGAAGAAAGACTTTCCTATTAGTTAAAACAACAGGTGGCTGGTGAGGTAAAAAGAACTTGACATGGATTCTATTTTAGCTTTTGCCTCCATAAAACACAGCACAATCACTGCTCGATGATTTCATAAATAGATCTTCCTCAGGGATAACAGAGAATGATTTAAGTTGGAATTAAATCAAAGCCTAACAATAGATCGACATCCCATGTTACTCGACCAAAGCACCGATAACGATTGCTTGTTGCAATTCAAAACGTCAAATGGCCGAATAAATGAGAAGTCACCCAAAGATTTATCCTTTTCTCCAACTTTAATGAAGTAGACCAATTTTTTTCTTCTTAATATATTCCCAATTTTCAGTTGCGCAGTGAGTTTCTCTTTATCACTCACAGGCCGTAGAGGAGTATTTTGTTTGTTTGTTTGTTTGTCTGTTTTTTCTGTTCGATGTTTAAATACAAGTTGCAAACTAGAGGGAGCTGCAGTCAATCAGCTAAAATTTCATGGAAATCAGTTTAGGTGTCTTTTATGAACTAAAAATTTCCAGCATCTCTTTGTTGTTTATCTCTCAGTACCCGATTACAGGGACGATGTACCCGAACTGTACGAGGGAGACATGGCACTAACTAAACAACAGGTCAAAATTCTTAAGCCGTCACGGCTAACCTTCAACAAAGCAGCGGACTTGAATCAAGAGGCTCAAACTAGAGGCGCCATAGAGAAAGTGCGTCAACTCTGGCCAGACGGAATCATCCCATTTGAAATAAGTTCACAGATTGGTACCTGACCAATTATTTTTCTCTCATCAGTCGCTAGTCTAGAGCTTTATAAGTATCCTTAAATGGATTCATGGTTGTATTGGCGCTAAATCTTAACCGAAATCTTTCGGTCCTCCGGTCTGATCCACCACTATTTCAGGGCTCCCATTGATAAAATACAGCTTTTTGCATCTGAAGGGGCTACCCAGAGCGGTATAAATCAATAAAGGTTCCCTTTAATTCTTTCAACATATGAATCATTCCGATATTTGCCTTTGTAAACGTGTCTCATTCTTATGATTAGACGCTAGAGGAAGGCAACTGATTAGAAACTCGATGAAAGATTGGATGGATCATGTTCCCTGTATTCGATTTAAACAGAGAGAGCAAGAGAAAGGATACATCGAGTTTGTTTACAAGGAGGGGTAAGTAAAAGGTCAAATTAACATTACGAAAGTAGCTCCAGACAGAACCGCTACTTTGTCGGTTTGAAAATTTCCCAAAATATAGATATTTACTTCTTAAAGTAAAAGTACGTATCGTTTTATTGTTAAACTTTAAATTGTAATTACCCGGTGTTATCTCTACTTTAAACAGCTGCTGGTCGTATGTTGGTCGTATTGGTGGACGTCAAGAAGTCTCTATTGGACGGTTCACGGAGTGAGTCATAAAAAGGCGCGCTTAAGCTGCATCTCTACTATGAAACTACTGTTTGCGATTTACATAAATCCCTCTTAACTTGCCTAATTGAATGGAGATCATGATAAGTTTACTTTTCCCTGGGCCAGTCTAGTCCGATTGAAATACGCATTTTTCATCCGCGTATCAGACATATACCAGAATTACTCACGTCCTCATGAACACTTCCGGACGAACTACTTCGCTGACATGCAGCCTTTCAAACTGCAGTGGCTGCTTTGTATCTCTACATTCGTTGATTATTATCTCAATCTCCTGTTATCAAATATTTCCGGGTTTCTGGTTCCTCGTACAGTATCTTTATTGCAAACCAGTTTGTAACGTTTAACTTATTTTGTGGGAAAGAGTCATTTGTTATGCTTATAAATTATACTTAAGAATAAGTCTCTGTAAAAATCAAACATCTTGAGAAATGAAAATTTCCAACCCCCCTTCAAATTTTGCATGCAGTTAGGCACTCAGGGGGGATGCACAAAAATGCCCTTTTTAAAGGTCGCAGCACTCTTGTTGCCATAGTAACAACGGCTGCTTGTTCGGGGCCTGAGGTCTCATTATTATACAAAAACGTCGCAAAAAAAGAGTGAAATTTTTATTTCTCTATCTCAAGCTAAATACAACATTACAAATTGGCACTTCTACCTTACATAGTAACATCATTTGTCTTCACTTTAACAAATTTAATTTTCCCTGGGAGGGAATGTGAACACACCAATAGATTATTCATCTCGGTACAGTTTCGGTCATTTTTGTTGTTGGGTAAAACAGGGAAAACGTTTATCTGAATTTCTCCAAATGTACACCGATTCTGGAACTGAAACTACCCACCTGGCTGGTTATAATATTCTAGTTTTTTAATATGTAAAAATCTCTGCGGGCTTATCTCTACTTTTTATCAGGGCAATTCGCGAAAAAAGTTCAAAATCAGATATTGCATAATTTGGCCATGTTTACATCTAATGTTCTCAACAGCAAACACTTCAGATAAATGAAACGTGCGAGGCCTTGAAAGAAGAGAAATCTCACCTCTGGTTGTCATCTTCTAAAAAATTTGATCAACCCTCATGGAGGACAACTCGACGTAACTACAAACATATACCTCAAATCGTGTGCATATCCAGACTCCGAGTGCTGCACCTTTCTTTCATGGGAATTTGAGCAATCCGAAATCCTCTGAAAATACGCTGTTATACTTGTATGTCATTTGAAACATGTTGAAGTCGGCGGATCTACACGAAACTGTCCTCACACCGGTCATTTGTCATAAACATGTACGTTATCACGACGCTGTATTTCTCCGTGAAGTTTCCATCGGTCGCTCCAAAGAAGACGAGAAATGAATATTTTTCATATATCTTAGCAGATTTCCACTCTCTGAAGCAAGAACAACCGAAAAAAAAAAGCAACGAAGAAAACTTAGATTGAACGCTCGTAAACACTGAGAATCTGAGAGTAATATAAAGATTTAGGCAAGCCTAAAAGCAGAGCTCGCATTTTTTTTTCCCGCACGTTTCTTCAACAATACTAAAGCCCCTATTATGGATAAAGTGCGTGGTTATATTAATGGTTTTCATTCGCAACTTCTCCGTGTCCGTGTAGAGGACTGATTATAAGATAGTGCACGTGGTACAGTTGCCCGCGCATGCTAAAAGTAGTACCTTGTGCGGTCGGTCGTACGGTCGTAGGGTCGTACGGTTATACATCCAAATTTTTTCGGCTTGATGGGTTACTACTATTTTGTATAATTATGGGGCTACGCTCCGCGAGCTCCGCTATAAATCGTAACTTGTCAGCGGCAGTACTACTAAACCCAGTTGCAATTGCAATTTGAACGACGTAGGCATCTCCTTACAAAGAGCAGATTCGGGCAGTTATCATTTCCTTGTGACAGGAACTGAGATATTTCGAATCATCTGAAAACTGTCAGAAAACTGTTAGAAAATTTGCATAAGATATGATGAGGAGAGACTTATCACCGCCGCAGTGCAATCGAATCAATCAATGTTTCCTTCCATGTCTTGATAAAGAGAAAGTCATAACAAAGTTCGAAATAAAAGATTTAATGAAATCATAATGTCATAATTCCACCTTTCAAACAACTTATTATCCACACGTAAATCGCAACTTGTCACTTGAACGAAACTCCGCTTGGTTAAAATGTAATCTGGATTGCTTCATGTCCTTCAGGAAAAAGAACAGCGATTTCATCACCATTATTTTCCATACTTTTCTCCCGGATATCTTTTACAAGCTTAAAGAAAGATGAATATAACGCAATCTCCCAGTGATTTACACGAGAGGAAGTCAAAGGTCTCTAATTTTCCCCTGAGGTGGCCGGCTCACTAAGAAGAAAAAGGAGATCGTTCGGTCCAATAACGTTGTTCTGTAGAGATTATCAAGCTGATAACTGAGAAGATTGTGCCCTTTGGTTCATCAGTGACAGCATTAATTATTTCAAATCTGTATTTCTCGGTCCAAGCGACACTAAAAATAGTTCCTTTGCAATTTTGTAAGCACTTTCTATAGCATTTTATTGTCAAGGGAAATAAATCTCAAGGCTCAAAGCCAATATAACGTTCGAGCACGTGAAAGACTTCCCGAAAAAAGCTAAATTTTTGGAAATTGATTGTGATGAAATCCCTGTTCCGCTTGCTGTACTGCAGGGATACTGAGTAGTTCAAAATCTCCACTTGGTGATGATTTTCGTGCGAGTCGTCCAAATTGCTCTTGTGGCGACTGGGTTTTACATGTATTACTGCCGCTGACAAGTTGCGATTTCTGCTCTCAGATTCTCAGTGTTTACGAGCGTTCAATCAAGGTTTTCTCCTTTTTGGTTGTTTTTACTTAGAATGCGCGGAAATCTGCTGATATATCGAAAAATGTCCATTTCTCGTCTTCTTTGGGGCGACCGATGGAAACTTCACGTCACAACGTACATGTTTATGACAAATGACCGGTGTGAGGATAAATGAATAAAGGGGTAAGTTTCTAAAGAAACTGTGGTGCTGCATCGGTGGGAGAGTATAGCAGGTAATGAAGTGTTAGCAACTGAGTTGAAAACGTAAATTAGCCACCGTAAAGGGTAAAAAAGCTAACGTTACGAGCGTTAGCCCTTCGTCAGAGCGATCGGAGGAATTGTGGGTTGTGTGTGGATATCCGTTGTGAGGATAGTTTCGTGTAGATCAGCCGACTTCAACATGGTTTAAATGACATACAAATATAACAGTGTATCTTCAGAGGACTTTAGATCGCTCAAATTCCCATAAAAGAAGGTGCAGAACTCGGAGTCTGGATGATATGCACACGATTTGAGATATATGAAGGGTGATCAATCTTTTTTAAAAAATGACAACCAGAGGTGAGATTTCTCTTCGGTATATTGCTCATAAGATAACATTCTTTCAAAGCCTTGCATGTTTCATTTTTCTGAAACATTTGTTGTAAGAACATTAGATGTAAACATCGCCAAATTGTGCAATATCTGATTTTTGAGCTTCGTTCGCGAATTGCCCCGATAAAAATTAGAGGCAGGCCCGCAGAGATTTTTACATATTTAAAAACTAGAATATCATAACCAGCCAGGTGGGTAGTTTCAGTTCCAGAATCGGTGTACTTTTGGAGAAATTCAGATAAACGTTCTCCTGTTTTACCCGACAACAAAAATGACCGAAACTGTACCGAGATGAATAATCTATTGGTGTGTTCACGTTCACTCCCAGGGAAAATTGAATGAATCAATATGAAGACAAATGATGTTACTACGTAAGTTAGAAGTGCCAATTTGTGATGTTGTATTTAGCTTGAGATAGAAAAATAAATATTTCACTCTTTTTTTGCGACGTTTTTGTATGAAAATGAGGCCCAGGCCTCGAACAAGCAGCTGTTGCTACCATGGCAACAAGAGTGCTGCGACCTTTAAAAAGGGCATTTTTGTGCATCCCCCCTGAGTGCCCAACTGCATGCAAAATTTGAAGGGGGGTTGAAAATTTTCATTTCCCAAGATGTTTGATTCTTACATAGACTTGTTCTTAATTGTTATTTGAAACAAATTTTGCAAATTGCTCTGCAATTGGAATTTGATAACTCTAAATTTTTTCTGAGCAGCGAAATTCTGTGAATTAACAGCTGTAGCCGTAACTGATAAGTTTAAAAAAACACTTAAACGTGGATATAAATTTCAACTTGTCAAAGGGATCCTCCTTGTGTACAAGGAGCAATCACTCACGAGTTAGGACACGCCATCGGATTTTTCCATGAACAGAATCGACCTGACAGGGATTATTACGTCAAAATCAACTGGGAGAACATCGTGAGTGGTCAGTATGAACAAGTTTAATTATACTGTTTGTGAATATATGGAAGTCATATATTTGAACTGCGGTTAAAGAAGTGAATGTGAAAGCGATCTTCGTAGTAATGAACACTACTTATTCACCACTTCACGGGTTTATTTGGAACCAACACAATAACCAGCTCCCAGTTGGCTCGTTAGCTCAGTTGGTAGAGCACTGCACCGGTATCGCAGAGGGCATGGGTTCAAATCCCATACAGACCTGAATTTTTTTCAGGCCTTCTTTTTCACTACTACTTAAGTAGTGTTCATTACTGCGAAGATCGCTTTCACATTCACTTTAATTATACTATTATGACCATATATGGAGAAATGCGCTCATCATTATGAAATAGATTCCATTTTGTTAAAGATTGGTGATCCTAAACTGTACCCACGTAGAGGATAATACAACCCATTTACCTTTGCAGTAAAACAATGCATGGTAAAAATTCTGTCATTAACTAAACCGATTAATTTCATTTTACAAGTCGCCAAGATAACCTTACGTCTCAGTTTTATTTTTTTTCTCTTGATTAAAAAAACTGATATGTACATGACCTCAAATAGACTAGGGGGATGACTTGGAACACAGTGCGTTGTGCTGAGCATAAAACAAAAGTTTCTTTTTCTACTTTTTTTTTTGTTTTTTCTTTTGTTTTTGTGGTGGATGTTGACTCAACCAGTTATATCTATGCTACAAAAGGTCGAGGTACGGTGAAAAGTTCCATCCATTTCTTTGGGCCATGATTAATTTAGTTTAAACTGGAGCACATCCCAGAGAGGAGTTGTGTCGCTCCATACAAAGACGTCACCCTTTTTTATGGTTCCCTTTAGGGTCAGACAGAAACTTTGAAGAAGTTAAAGATAGTATGATAGACAGTCGAGGTCAGCCATATGACTACGGATCCATCATGCACTATTCCAAGTACTCAGGGAATAATCGTCCTGGTCTTATAACGATAAAGGCTAAGGATCCTACAGCAGAAATTGGTCAGCGTAAAAGCCCTAGTAAAGGTGACATAACGCAAGCTCGGCTTATGTATGGCTGTGGCGGTAAGTTCACGTGACTATGTCATGTAAATCAACCCGGGCGCGTAGCTATCGGGAAAACATCTTTTTTTCTTTAAAATGAGACTGTAATTGTGACTATTATTAACAACATAAATGCTGTGCCTTTTTCTGCCAATAATTAGTATGGAAAGTTGTTTTCTTTGTTTTGTCGGTCACGTGATTTGAGGTTTCCGAGTACGGTCATGAAATTTCAAGTCCTGGTCCGTTTTTTATGATTCTTCCCTTGTAAGTTCATCAGTTCTATGTATTTTCTGTCGCTGTATCGCGGAGGTGTGAGGATTTAAGGTTTATAAGTGATGTATTTTGCTGGAGAGTGCTGAATGTGCCTTGGCCGCATTAAAGGATACAAGAACTCGAAATCCCTGCGACTCACATATATACTTTTAGGGGAGCCTATGTCTACGTAGATTCACAATACACCATAGGTATTCTCTGATGCCGATGCATAGAAAGTACCATTCCCTTTCCCATTAGAAACTTATATTACGTCCCATGCAGATGCCATCGTTAGAATTAAGTAATTAAAAGAGTTCTTACGGTTTTAGTTTGCCTTTGCCCACTTAATTTGTGTTCCATTAAAGTCTCGCATAGGGGCAGTGCTAACTTCGCCTTTCACTATCTTTATATAGGAACCAAAGATGGAGATAAAAAGCCAGAAAACAAGCCCCCTGGACCTGAACCAGGTCAGTTATCAGCTTAAGTAACTCACCTCGATTTGTAGAATGTCCCCCTCCAGGACAACGAAAACGTCAACAACTCAACCATAGTGAATGAAGACTTTCCTTCACTATGCAACGTTTCATTGCAGTGAAAAACAGTTGTGAGTTCGTTGTTCCTTCTATCCAGGTATAAAGGCTAGCAACACTATTGCAAGGTAATAGCGTCATCTGAGTAGCATGTCTCTGAAAGAAGATTACAAAACACTTGGACCCATTTATATGGTCTCGTTTCCTCAATGTCACGGACGTAGCTCAATTTTGATTCCTTGTCTTTTCACAACGGCACCTTTATATCCACCTCCTGGCTTTGGCCGTCCCCGGCCGACCTGGTTAGTTTTAAGCGATTTCAAGTAATCGGCTATCGTTTCGAAAATACGCTTGATACAATAAAAACTAAGACGGGCTGTCTCATAAGTTCTCGAGGAGGTCTGAATAGGAGGTCTGAGTTCGTCGTTATTTCTATTAAAGTATAAAGGCTAGCAACGCGGTTGCAAGGTAGTAGCTTCATCCGAGTAGCATGAAAAAAGATTGGAAAACGCTTGAATTAGATTGTAGCGGAAGATTTGAAAACACTAGGACCCAATTAGATTGTCTCGTTTCATCAATGTAGCAAACGTGGCTCAATTTTGATTCTTTGCCTTTTCACAGCGGCACCTCCATATCCACCTCCTGACCTTGGCCCTCTCCGACCTGGTTAGTTTTTTAGCGATTTCAATATAAATCTACCCATAATTACCGTCAAAATTAGTTGACACATCATGTTTAGAAGAGTCCTATTTGTATAAGTAATCACATGATTTCGAGTGTAATTTGGGATAAATAAGCACGAGTAAATTTTTTTTAGGGCGAGTGCAATTTGTGGTCTTTGAAAAAATTAACAAGTGATTGTTATTCCAAATTGCACGAGAAAAATCATGTGATTACGTGTTAATAGTATACATGGAAAAATACGAGATGGCTTATTATAATTAAGCATAAGCAAAGCGCGCGCATTAAGTGCAAAAATAATTTATTCAAACCGTGCGTTCGGTCAAAACAACCGCGTACGATCAAAACAATAATATGCAATGATATCTTCACATCTTTAAGGCGCGAAAAAGTTTAAAGTCCGGCTAAACAGTTCAAGGAATTGTTCAGTCTGTGTCCGAATCATTTTCGATGAAATGGAATCGTCGTTTCCGAGGTTTAACCATGTTTGTTTTTAATTTCGGCGTTGGATCGCTCGAGCAAAGTGTTAAGCTGGATCGACTAAAAATTTTCGATTTCCTTGGGAATTCCCTTCTCTAAACACCACTTTTTTCAAACCGACAACCAAAAAGCAGTGCTTTTTACAGTGTTTTCGTTGTTTGAGCTGTTTTTCAGCTGCGGTGGCGAAAGAAAACCTACTTAAAACGCCGGCCATTGTTTCGTTCGCAAGTTTTCAAATTTCGTTGCGACATCCAAGGCTCGCATTTGATTGGCTGTCTGTGAGTTTCTTTGATTATTGACCAATCAGAATGTCTGATTTGTTACTTTCTTTGCACTGAATTAACCCTCTTCTGCACTGAATTAACTCTCTTCTGCACTAAATTACCTGAAAACTGCATTTATCTTAACCAATCAGAACTGAGTAATTTTTCCATGTATATTATTAATGAATAAAATAACACTCCTGTTTCTACAACATACTAAACTCAATAACAAGACCCTCCCCCCCTTCCCCATTTAATGTTGCCTGAATGTTGCTAAAAGTTCATGGAATCACGACACAACATTTTTTTTGGGGGGGGGGAGTGCACGACCAAGTAAGACAAATTGAAGTAATAGGGGGCTGAAAAGATCAATGTGTCAACAATTTTGTCGCTGATTGTAGATTTAAAAAAAAAAACTAGACAAAAAAATTACGGCCCTTTTTTCGAGGGAGGAAGGCCAATCCTGCATTTAAATTTCTTTTGGGATTTTTTTATTCATTCTGTTTTTGATAGGGTCTTTTGCATCATCACATTATGCCACTTGTCGACAATGGCAGTCCACTAAAGTAGACTTATAGAAAGACAAGATACTCTTTGCTATTGAATTTTTTTGCTAATATGTGATGATAGAATTCCTGTCAACCTTGACCTATTTCATTTACTAAAAACAGACAGGTATTTATGAGTGAGGGTGGGAGGGAGGGGGGAACCCTGTATGGGTGTTTCCAAGCTTTCTACTGACTCCTTATTCCTCTTCTTTTTTTAGACACAAGTGAATCCAAAGGAAACTTGAAACGGGGGAACATAGTTGATGATATAGCAAATGAATAAAATTAACTGGAGAAAGTGCAAAATTAAAGCATGTATAAAGTTCAATGCACGTGCGCTGCCCACATAGTTGCCCAGATATTGAATTCACTATTAGTACTTTTGTTTTCTTAGAAATTATTGAGAGGGGGAGAGGTAAAAATAAAATAACTTACTGTTTCCTGTCAGAAAGTGGGATGTCGTTTAATTATATGATGCTAATGATGATAAATATTTACAGGATGAAATCTGTGCCTTATTTGCACGTTCGGATACCGTTGAATACAAATGGCCAAAATTAGCATATTTTTATTTCAGTTGGCGTATACTAACCCCTGAGTAATATCATACTACTACAGTTGTTTATTAGGGCCAAAAATAGCGGTGTTATTACACTACTACGCTTTCAATTACGTTTAGCAATTGCTTCACAGTGTTATTTGTTATTATTTACTTTTTTTCCCTTTCAAGGATAAAACTTTAGTGAGCTAAGACAGGTCGATCAAGGGGCTCACGGCAGATAAAGCCGGAAGTGTACATGCGTCGAGAAAAAATATATATTTTCTCAGTTCATAAGCATGTTTTGAGGCAGTTATTATGTTGTACGCAAAAAATATATTTGCGCCAAAATTACCAAGGCCCTCATTGGCCAGATGGAGAATAAAACACGGCTCAGAGGCATTAATCGACAACAATATATGCCTTCGTAAACATTAGATTTCTCCTGTGGTCCTTCAATAAGTAAACACACATTGAAAACAGAAAAAGCTTTTGACATAACTGGCTATCACTTTTATTTACTATATTTTCAGATGGAGCCTATATACAGTGCACGATCTTCTCACGAATTCAACTTATTCAAAGGAAACTATTTTTGAATTTGCGAAACTGTCACGAGCCCAAAGGCTCCCTTTCTGCGCAATATTGAAATTTCGAAAGCTTTGAACGACTAAAATTTTGAATTGTCATTGGTTAATCAGGCAGCTGCGCATACGTGAATGGTCTGTGGCTAACGTGTTTGATACGTTAATGCCTTTAACAAACCTATTCCAACACTCGAATTTTTATCAGTAATTTATGACAACACCAAATTATGTCTACATCATCACTTCCCTTTGAAGGATTTCATGTTTCAATTTTATTTGTTTCACTATTTGGTTTAGTTTAATACTGAGAAAATGTTCAACCACTTAGCTGCTGTTGCTGCTTTCTATTATGATAATTCCTTTTTAACTCACCAGCCGGTAGCATGACTAATGAAACCGAAGTTCTGCTAAGCGAATATATCTTTTATAGATCTAACAGGCCGCTCGTTCGCGCTTTTATTTTCCGTTGAATCGCTCAGATCAGTTTCGAGGCTACATATGACATGATTGCAAGAGTATTGCGACAAGGGCGCTGCAAAAGCCTTCTGCCATATGCGTTCAGGAAAGATGAAATCGTGGTCGAAGAATGAATCACGTTTCTGCTGAAAACACCGTCGAAGGTGGGTTTCTCCTGGAATTCGGCGAAGTCAAACTGATATCTACCGTAGTAGATCCTCTGAAAAAAAGTCTTCTGAAATTATTTCTGTAATTCGAACTCTGAAAGCCATAAATAAATGGATTTAGCATTGAGTTCACGTACATGATAAACCCAACAACTCGATATACTTTATAGAGTTCTTCGTAGTTCTCCAATATTCTCTGCTGACTTTGAAAGGCTATGTACAGCTCAAACATCAAGAAAGGCAGATAACACAAGTGGTATGCCACAGTTACAGTCAAGGAAATTAGAGCAAGCCTTCGCTTCTCTTTCAAGTTAGATTGCCTCATTGAGGCAACCTCTGATGAACAAACAGTTTTATTCACAAAGATTCCCCTTAGAATTTGAAGATAGCAGTAAAGCAAAGCGCCAGAGAACAAAACAGATGCAGAGAGATATAAGATAGCAATCCACCTGAACGTACCAGCTTTCTCAAGAGTCCAAGGATCCAGGCACCTTCCAAGCTTTTCATCGTATTCGCTGAAAATAAATCCAGGCAGGGAGCAAAGGATCGCCATGATCCAGATAGCTAAAATAGCATAGAACATACGATCATTCGTCAGCATCAGTGCATTGTTGAATGGTTTAACAATCGCATGGTACCTCTCCACAGCCAACACCACTAAACTCTGATATGTCACTGAAACAGTCAAACAGGTAACTGAGTAGCTTGTAAAAAATTTACACAGATAATGTGCTTTTTCTGAAGATATTCGCACATTGCAAAGGCCCGCTATCAAAGGAATCGGACACCATAACAGAGACACGATATCGGCAACAGCAACATTTGCCAGCAAAATATTTGTCGAAGTGAACATAGATCTTGTTTTGAACACAATGGTGACGACAAAACTGTTCCCTGCCAAGCCTACAAGCACTATCGTCGCATAAAGTATAACCAACGTCACATTGAAAGATGATGTTGAACTGTAGAGGCTTGTATGAGCAGAGAAATTCCCTGGCATTTTCCTCAACACGCAACGACCAAAGAAATGATTAAAGAAATAACAGTTCCTGGTGGTTTGATATTTCTCGACGTCTACCAGAACACTTTGAATATCACTTGGATCCAAAAGTCTTCATGATGACCTTTCAGTTTCATTTTGACCCAGCTCTTGGCAAAGTGATATTCGTTAAGGGTTAAATTAGCACCGCTATGGGTTAAATGAGTCGTAGAAAATATCGCACATCACAGGCTATGACGTTAGTAATAACATAATTACTCCTGCCGTATGGCTGAGTACGTGTTATCCGATGCCGCAACAGGCGTCATGTTTACTTTCCGCATAACCGTTGGTGTCAGTGATATCACACCTTTATTAAACTTAATTATACCAATTCAAAGAAAAATCCTTTACGCAAATCCGAAAGTCTTTTAGAGTTTTAGTGTTCTTCCTTTCTTACTCACTCAATATTTTCCTAAACTCACAACTTGACAATGACTACAAATTGCATCCAAGATATTACACATGAACCATTGTGTATACTAACAGTATAATTTGCATTTTAGCTTTAACATGTGATAACCTTTCTAAAAAAGTCATTGGGAAATAAACGTAGGCGACAATATTAGATGAAAAAACAATCACTCAGCCCGATGTCCATTTAATTTTGACAAACCTGGTTATGATCTTACATCAGTTTTCGTTGTATTCGCGAATGTGCCATGAAACCAATGTGCTTAGTAGTTTAATTAAAAGGAAGCACAAATAACATCCGCTTCTGGCGAAGATATCAACAATTGTGCGTAAATCAAAAAGATATGTGGTGTATGTTTTTTTTTTCGCTAAAACTGAATGTTAGAAGATCAGACCAAATAAGTCAACGGTAATGAATCATTGTAACGTTCTACCGTATTTCGGAAGCGGGTTTTTCATTTTCGGAAATATGCATGAAAGGTTGTAAGCTTAATTATGAACGGAAATGAACTCTAAGCTGCGTCTTTTATGGAATTAATTAAGTACTTCAAAAAAACCTGGTTTGGAATGGCAATATCTAACTCAGCATAATTTCTTAGTTACCCGTACAAAATTTAATCAGTTCACTCCTCTTCTACCTAATTGGTCTATAATTTCGTGTTTTTTCGATGGTAAAAACATTGCGAAATTGAAGACATGTGAATAAAAACCCTTGCCGAGAAATTTGGTCCGCTATAGAAAATTTAAAGCACACAAAAACATGATCAACTTGTCATGACAACAACGTTTACAGGTTGTTTATCGACAAATTCACAAAGTACAAACCGGTCTTACTGGTAAGTTCTGTTTTGCATGTTCTGTTGTAAAATGACGCTAATTTGCAAAGATTTTGCGGATGGAGTAGAGAATCTAGTTATCATCTTCAACTGAATCGCTAGATTTGTACAAATTCCTTAAAACATGCAACTTTCGCGCAGTCGCCAAATGTTAAAACATTTGGAAAAATGAAATGGAGTCGAGAAAGCTTGAATGGCGAAATTTAAGGTCCCTTTTTTCATACTTGCCTATTGAAATCGCGAAAATAAAACCGAAATTAAGTACCCGCGAAATTAAATACTATTAAGGTACAAAGAACCCTATCAATCGCTAGTGAAGAAAAAGAGAGGTCTGTACATCATGCAGAATTCGAATATTTACCCGAGAAAACGGCGAAAATCAAGTGTACTCTCCCTCAACCGAGATGCATGCAGCAAAACGTTACTCTGATATTGAACCTGCCTTGATATCAGTCGAGATCAAACTTTGGTCTATCTTTCTGCGTCCTAAATTCCGAATCGAAAATGGGGGTCCTAATACTCTTTTGTGAGGAGCAGTATCACGTCCTGTTTTTGATACGCATTATAGTACTCACTGTAGTCCTAACTATTGTACCACGGCTTATGTAAACAAGTATTGCGGTTTTTTGTTTTTCTTGCGATTGCTTCGATTCTGTCGTTGTATCCGGGAAATTTCCCCTACAGTTCTTCAGAAGGAGAGTATTCACATCAACCAGAGAGAAAAAGAAACTGTTTATGCGATCATTAAACATGTTTTAAGAAAAGATGAAAATTTATATCTATGGCTGGGATTAAGACCGAAAAAATCGTTTTTTCCTAAAGGCCCGTCTTCTAAGAACAGAGGGCGACCACGATACAATACAACAACGAACTATACAATTGCGACTTTTCACTGGAAATTTCGCACGGCCCGCCGACATTGTATACACAAACACTAATTCGGGCTGTAACAGCCGAATTTTGAGCTGCCATGAACCATCTCATGCAAGCTAGCAAAAGCCTCACAGACAGATTCTGATCAGTGACACTCTGACATTGAACCTCTCCGCATGCAGGAAGAGATGGAAGGCGAAAATCTGTACACCTTATTTGACGGTAGCGTCATAATTACGCTTTCACTTACTTTCATGTTCTCTATAGCGTATCTAAAATCATTATAGTATTTTTCAAGTGCAAGAGACTATAAAAGTGAAAATTATGATCTCTTGTCATTTGTAATTGGGTGTTTTTAAAATTATATGCGATTTTCATGTCAGTTTTGTCACAACTTGTGTATTGCAAAGTTACACTCGGCATAAATCCAGATCGCTATTTCAAAAGATTTTCAAGTTCTATTGTTCAGAGCCTTTGTCTTAGAAACATACATACAAATCTGAAAAACGTCCACAATTGACTCGATTATCAATCACTATTTGAAAAATTGGTTCTGATGGATTTCGTATATTTATTTACTTGAGAACGTAGTGAAAATCAAGGTTTTCTTCTTCAAATGAAACGAGCACCTAAGGATCGTTTTTCTGAAATAGAACTGACCCTATGATCAGCTGCGCTCAATCTGATTGGTTGTTTATCTAGTAGGATTATAGATTACTACCAATAAAAATCTACTACTATTCGGAAACGGAGGTTCCTTTTGGTCTCTTTTAGAGCACCAGCATTATTTCCTATTCTTTGATACGCGATAAATCCTCGTTAAATTATTTTGTTGTATGCTAAACGATTATTGCGTATACAGTGGGTCTCTTGCAGTTGTTCCTCTACCGAAGCCGGAATTTACCTGTAGAGTTAAGCAATAAAAGTGTCGCACCTGAACTTAAATCGAACTGGACAATCAACAGTTTTTACGCAAATAACGGTTTACAGGCAATATTTGCCTCTTGCAAATTCTTCCAACGCAAATCACACCACCGATGATATGTAAAGTTTTCCGTGCTTTCTGAACACAAACAAAAGATCATTTGTGGAGGGCATGAGCTGAAAAGGTCATCATCAAGATTTTTCTTACTTTATATCGATGTAGATATGAATCGAATGTACTTCATATTACTATTATTAAGAATAATTTATAAGTCGATTATTGATCAAAGTAGAATTTGGCAATTGTAATATTATAGCCGCTGAATTGTTGTTGTGTTTTTTTCGCATTGTTAATTTGAATTTTTAATCGTGACCTAAATCTTGCTTGATAACATCGTAATGCTATTGAAACAAACGACCTACTCTGGAGCTTAGGTATTTTTCAAGACAGTGCTCTACGCTCAATTTGTCAAAAATGCCTTTGTCTTGTTTTCGTGAAGCTATCTCTTGTTTTTCTCTCTTGTTAATGGAAACGTGCTCGCATGATCGGCATTTGCATCCGACAAAGTTTCTTCTCCCCAGGGAGATGAGGGAATTGTTTAAGCCGCTAACGACCGTTCGAACATCACAAAACATCGTTAAACATAACTGGATTTTGTGGGCCTTTTTTGGCTTAAGGAGCCATACAATTGTAACCAATATGAATAAGACGGCAAAAGAGTATGTGAAACGGGGAAAGAGGAGAAAGAAAGTAGCACCCGCTCAAGTGGAGGCGCCGAATGAAAAGAAAACATTTGACAATAGATTCGCTCTTGAATCTCCACGATCGAATTCTACAGTAAGGAATACAGAAGATAGGGAGAAAGTTGAAGTGAAAAATTCGCGCAGCCGGCGACTTCCTCACATAGCTCCTCTTGTAGCACAACTCCCACAAACAAATGATACTGAAATTCTCGAGCTGAAGAATGGTAGTGCGGATATCACGAGGCATGTTGACACTTCATCTGAAGTCGACACAGGAAGCCTTCCAGTTGTCCGCACTTGCACAGAAATCGCGTTTAGTCCCGCTACGACAAGACGGAGGAACGAAAATATGACGAGCTACGAGAGAATGCTTCAACGTGAAAAACGTAGAAGTAGGAAGAAGAGCGTGCGTTCCTACACTATTTTACATATGGAAACAGAAGATCAGGAGACTGAATCCATTGAAGGATCGACGCTGCATGTTGTTGAAGATGATGCCGTGACTGCTCAGTCGAGCGTTTCCGTTCGCAGTCGCTGTTCGAGTTTACAAGACCCGAACCAATGTTTGCTAAAATATGTTGCTAAGCTATCGAGCTCTCCTAATTTAGAAGATTCCTTGGACTTGGAGTACATTAAGTCCTTGATACGCGAAGGAGCATCCGTGAACACGTGTGACAGATTTGGTCAGACCTTACTTCACGAGGTGTCCAAGACTTGGGGAATTGACGTGGCGCAGTTTTTCATCGAGCAAGGTAGATACTGTTTGTTTGTGGGTATAAATTTTGTGTTGACCTCCTCACATTTGTCCATATTGATCACCACTAGAATGGACAAGTACACTAGAATGCTCCTCTAGCAGGGTCAAAAGGTCACTCATATCGAAGATCAATAAGGATTAAAGTGGCGCTTGTAAATCCAACTTATCGGTAATACCGGATGAAGAACACAATTTAAAGTCCAAAACACTTCGGATTCTCTCAATCATCGGCGTTTTCTTTTGTTCTTTCTTTCTCACTATTTAATGGAATTTTCTTACCAGGTAATGAGAAAGTAACCTAAATGCTAACTGTACATTTATATTACCTTTGTGTTAAAACTACTCGGTAAACTTGAACAAAGAAAGCTGTACTTTTCCAGCAAGGGAAACATCGCAAACGTACTGATTGAGTCTCATCTGATATAATTTCATTCTACTCTGCGTCAGTGGCACGCACTTGCAACTCCAAGCGGCTCATGTATGCGCATTGGGGCTATGATACACGCTCCTTGTTTTGATACTCTAAAGACTGCTTGGTTGGACCTGCTATAGTTCTTTTCTCAGTCAGTAACAAATTAGTGTCCGTTCACAGGGGCTGACATCAACAAAGCCGATGACTATGGTAGAACACCTTTACACGTGGCAGCCTCGGCTGATTATTCTGAAATGGTCAGATTTCTTATCGATAATGGTGCTGATCTTCACATGAAGACTGCAGGTGAGGACCAGACTCCGTTGCATTATGCCGCGAAGAATGAGGCTAATCAGTGCGTTAAGATTCTGCTCGTTTGTGGAGCTGATATCGATGCTAGAGACTACAAACTCCGTACTCCCCTGCAGGTTTGTTGAATACTTATATCTAGAGCTTATTGGCTCGACATTTTGTTACTCCAAAAATGGACGTTTAGGCCTGAAGAGGGGGGAGAGGGTTGGACTATTTTGGGCGGATCACATGGTTTTTAAGGGGAAACGTAGGAGGGGGAGGGGTGCAATCGCTGCAATAAACAGAGTACGAAGAGGTGACTATAGTAGGGGGATCATTAGAATACTACAGGTTCAGGTCAATTTTATTGTGACTGAAATAACCCCCTCCCCCCAGGTGATAATTAATGGACCGGTGCCTTATTCTCGTGTATTATGGTGTTTTTTTGGTTGTTTTCTTTCTTTTTTTCCTACTATAACTGACATTACTTTAGTCGCGTAACCAAGACTTCTGAAAATGCATGAGCAAGATGCGTCTGTGGAAAAAGTTGAAAGTGCTGTGTCTATGGAAAAACGTTGAATGAGTTCAGCTTTTACTAATACGCACCAAGTCGTCCACTAATTCTCTAAATCCTTTTGCCTCTTATAGTCATTTAAATACATGGCTGGTGTTCCTCATAAAATAACCACAACCGTAACCAAGACTTCTGAAAATGCATGAGCAAGATGCGTCTGTGGAAAAAGTTGAAAGTGCTGTGTCTGTGGAAAAACGTTGAATGAGTTCAGCTTTTACTAATACGCACCAAGTCGTCCACTAATTCTCTAAATCCTTTTGCCTCTTATAGTCATTTAAATACATGGCTGGTGTTCCTCATAAAATAACCACAGTTTGAGAGATAGGGCAGTCAAGGAGACAACTTTTGGTTGCTTTCCATCAGTGATGCCTCTAACTTTTTACTATCAATTTGACAACAGTGCGTTTCTCTGGAGCTTTTTGCATAGAATTGAGTTCTCTTACGACCATTCGGTTTTTAACCAATGGAGGGAACTTTGGGGAAACTTGCTTGGTGCTATCAACAGGTCCGCTGTCGAACGTTAATTTTTTTTCTTGTTATCAGTTGTTACTTAATTTACGAGAGAAACCCCAATTGTTGTCTTGTCTGTAGGTTGCTGCTGAATACAATAGTGCTGAGGCAACGCGGACGCTTCTGGATGAGGGAGCCTCGGCCGGCGTCAAGGACGATAGTGGATTGTCAGCCCTTTCGCTACTTATTTCTCAGATGCCTGTTGTGGTGAGTTGTGTGCTTTACTATTAAATGATATTCTACAGTATCAAAATGGCTCTCAGCAATTTCATCCATGCGACTCAATCCATGCTGCAGACGCCTAAGAACTCGTATCAAACGATGAGTCCTTCAAATTCGTTCTGTATTGAATTCGAAAAAAAAAAAAAAATCAAGGATTTCCCTGGACATTGTCGGCAGGGTGCAAAGCAAACTCCCACTGAAAAAAATTTATCTTGCGTATTACTTACAGGCTTACAAAGCTCTAGACCAGTTCCACTCAGTCGACAGAATTCATCGAAAGCAACATTTTTATTTGAATTTCCTGGAAAGTTGCCACTCCCCCAAGGGGTGCAATGCCTTCGCCCCCTCCCCCTTACAAGCTGTTTCGCAATCGAACTGTCTTGAACTTATAATGCATCCCATCTTTCAACGCCTCATCGATGTAAAATGGAGATATTTTCGAGCCGAAGCTTGGTTAGATATTCTACCTAACGTGTTGATGGCTATACTATACACAATATTGGCGTGTTCAGTACCCCAAAACGTGGACAACTTTTACACTCCTCTGAGTAAGAATTGGTGGAGGATAGTGATCGAGATAGTTTTTCTTGCCATAACGCTTAATGAAATCAGAAAGGAAGGGAAGGAATACTACCGATCCAAGAAGCAATCTAAGAAATTGATGAAGTGGAGAAGAAAGGAGGTGGAGCGCGACTTTGCATTCTGTCATCCCAGGTGGCCTCAGGAAAGAAACTTTGTAGAGCAAGAACTTAAAAGAATCAAGCAGGATAAGGGGAACAATTATTTCTCAGACGCTTGGAATTTTGTAGACATTATTACCTATGCCATGCTTGTAGTCGTTACCATTCTACACATGAGCAGTGTCTTTGTCGAGAACAATCTCTGCCATGATGTCTTCCTTCGTATCTTGTCTTGCAGCGTGATCCCCGTGTGGGTTCGTTTGCTCAAATACGCCCGTCCATTTCCCAACCAGGGGCCATTTGTTGTGATGCTTGACCACATTGTCAAGGACAGTGCCAAATGGTTGCTCGTCATAATGATGATTTATATTCCATATGGGGCCGCCTTCTGGATTATGTACGGTCAGAATTCACAAACCCCCGTCAAAGGATATAACGACACAACGAGTTTAATTTTCACCATGCTCCGCATGCCTTTGTTAGATGACTATAATTTCGCTCAGCTAGAGAAGGCTGCCCCCTATATGGCACGCGTTCTTTGTGGCTCTTTTATAATTATATCCGCCATTGTTCTGATGAATCTATACATCGCACTTTTGTCCAACACTTTCCAACGGGTTTATGACAACGCACGCGCGACAGCTGCCATACAGCGGGCTCGACTTCTTCAAGATCTGGAGTTAGACACTTCAGAGAATAAGCTTAGGCGCTACAGAGAATATATAAGAGAGTACTACAGTCCCGAAGAAAATGATTATATTGCAGTTTTCTCGGAAGAAGAAGAACAGAGCCGGAGACAGGATGAGAAAGTATCTGAAATTCATAACATTGTGAGTAAACGCTTCGGAGGAAAGAAGTTTGGTAAACTGGAACGAAGTGAGTTCGATTCAGTTTTGGATGATTTAGACATGCTCAAGCGCTCTCATGCAGAGATAAGACGCTCTCTTTCTTTGCTTACTTCAAACCTGGAGGAATTGACCAGATCGAATGCATTGATAGTCGACGAGCGCAACCGAATCGATCGTTTTCAAGAACAAGAACACGTTTTAAAACGATTAGATTGTACAGTTGCAAGAATAGAGGCGGTGTACGATATAGACAATGGCCGAAATCCTGGAAAACCACAACGATACCACAAAGCAAATCAAACCGAATGATATCTTCGCTGACAACACAGATCACGTAGCGACAATTTAATTAAAGTTAAAAAAAATCACTGTTTTTATTTTGATACCTGACTCAAACAAATGGATTATGTACCAGTGTCTACTGAAAAGTTCTATCGAAGATTTTTACCTGTGAAAGTTACGTTAGAAAATATATATATATTTGCTGAAAAACTCGCACAGTTTTTTTTTAAAATTCTGTTTTATGCTATGTTGATCATTATGCTTCCTCTACTAATCTTCAGTGTTGGCCAAACGTGTTTAGTATACTATTGTACTATTTAAGGTTTATAATTTTACGTCTTTGGACCAGGAATGGAATATTTTAAGATTTATTTAACAATTCAATACTCAGGTAATCATTTTCGTAGTATACCATTACCTCTAGGGCCTAACACACCTCCTTCTTTCTATCATTATCCGTTGTCATATTCACCCTTAGATATCTACCAAGGAAATTAGGAACCCCCCAAAAAAGCACTCAAATGCGAAGTGCATCCCTATCCATTTTCTGAGATTTGTAGCACCGGCTATAACTCCTCGTTTAGATTCCAGTGTGGTGAGATTTCTATATGTTGTGTTACCAGCTGATGTGGGATTGTCTGTTGTCACGCTAGTGAATTGCTTAGTGCTTGTCACAATTACTGGTTTTCTTGGAGGGAAGACATTCTTAGCAAAGTAACCTCGTACGTTACCACCGGGAGAATATTTTACAACCACGACCGTTTTGCCATCACGTCTAGTTTTGTAGAAAGCGCCAATGTACTTTGTATTTTTCCAAACAACCTAAGAAAGAGGAGAAAAACAATACTGTATTACTTCCTGCCGTGAGATATGTATCGTAGAGCCACAATTGAGGGGAAACCGCCTAAAAAACTCTTGCACGGATGGTTTATTTTACCTGAGTGAAGTGTCCAGCGCCCATAAACTGCTCCGGTTTCCTGTAATCGTACAATTTCTCCTCAGTGTAAAATGCTTTCACCGCAGCGGCACAGGGCTCGGCAGGTTTTCCTGGAGACAAGTAAAGATTTCCTGGATCCTCTTTTTCATGAATGAATAAATTTTTTTCAGCTAAATAATCCGCCCAGTCTTTAGCCTTTTTCCTTAAACCCCATGACCACGAGACATTAGGAACCTAACGGGAAAAAATCAGAAATGCGTTAGTAAAGTCCACGATTGAGATTAGGTGGAGGTAGCCTAGCCTCCAATCCTTTAACCCCAAAGAGTGACCAGCATCTAATTTCTCCTCACAATATCACCCCCCAATCACACATTAACCCTTTTACACCCTAATATCAGTATACATTCTCTCCGTACTGTTCTCTATGCATTTCCTATAGTGCTGACAAAGAGAATTTGTTTAACAATCAAGAGATTCCTTTTTTCTGATTATTTGCCAAGCACCATCACTAATTAGTGATCGTATAAAAGGACCGCTTGTTGCAGCGTTTAGATCACCCCTGATGAAGGCACTAGACAGGAGTGTCGAAACGTTGGGTCTATGAATCGTAACTTCTTCGGTTACATTCATTAAATACATAAACCAGAGTAGCTTCAAACCATGTCTAATACAGAAACCCTACCTCTGAATAGCCGCACTAACCTGGTGAATTCCTCTGTAGTAATTATGCCATAACAACGACTGTTGTCTGCAGTTTAAAGAGCCTGTGTATAAATTGGATGAACAAAAAAGATTGTCATTGATCGAGACACTAACTGATTGATCAATCAAATGACTACTTAACTTACTGACCAAATGGATGGATGAATAAATTAATGGATGGATGAATTAGTGGATAAATAGTTGAAAGAAAGAACGATTGGAGGACTGACTTAAACGAGTTTCTATCTGTTAAACTGACCCTTTGACTATTGGACTGATTAACTGACTGACTGAGTGAAAGCTTTTTTGGTGACAGCAACCATAATCATTCATCGTAAAAACGCTTAGTTCCGTTTGCGATAAATAAAAGATGGTATTCTATTCACAACATATCTCCAAGACCACTTAACTAAAATAAACTGTCGCTCTGGATCAAAAAAAAAAAAAAACTTTTGAAGAAACAAAGTGTGGCACGTCCGTCCTCTTAAAGAAGGTACGGTGTCAAACCAGTCAAAATATTTTCTGAATGAGTCTCTCTAACTTCCTTTGGCAACTGAAGAATGTGATCCTTTATTAATTCTGGCGTTTGGATGTAACTGAATTCATCAAATTGAAGAAAGAACATAAATGTCTCTCGCATCCTCTCATGAAGCTTCTAAATGTTCTTGAAAAAAGGACAATTTAGGCAATATTTTGGAGTTATTTGCCTGTGCGAAAGTAAGAGTTGATAACATGTCAAAACATTTGATTAGAAAGTCAACTTATGGGACATAATCTGAGCTTGTTTACTCTTTTTAAGATTACTTTCTTTGTGTTGAGTCAAACTAGTAATGCTAAAAATGCAAATTACGAAATAATCTTCGATGGATCGAAAACAGTGATGCAAATATTTTGTTCAGTTAGTTTTTATATCCAAGCCGACACTATAGACACCTGAGAACTAAATCAATCCAGAGCATTTTGTTTATATTAGATTCACTCCACTAGATTACAAAAAAAGACACTAAATTGTATTAAATTTATCACTACATTAAAGAAACATTTTGGAAAAGGAGACAAACAAAAGCGCTGACGCACCATGCTACGAATGTCCCACTAATTAAGATGAAAAAAAATGCATATTTAAAAAAAAAAACCTTAAATAATATAGCTACAGGCTAGTATACTTTTACAATTAGATTTCCAGCCTTACTGCTGACTTAATACAGTCAACTGTTCTGTTCCTCGCGTTATTGACACATTCCTGGAGACTCTCAACGGTGTCGCCAAGCTGCTTTAATAAAATGTAATCCTGTGAACTGATCTGCATGATGTGAATGTGTTATATTACTCACCTACATTCGTAAACACTGACGAAGATATCACCAGACTACAAAAAAAACCAAAACCACTACTCGACGTTACCATTATGTGTAGTTATTACCCTACGCAGAAATCTATGTTCCTATCTCTGTTCTCAGTAAGTGGTATTCGAGACGTGTGGAAACTGAGTAACTCAACATCTTATAACTGATTAGTTAGTTTACACACGCCCGTTTTCGAAAGCTTTTGTTAAAGTTGATTTAATTATGTTTTGTTAATTTGTTTCAATGTTGACACTGAGTTGTTGTCAAAAGTGCTTGCTGAGCTTTTGACATTTAGAAACTGATGCGACCATTGGTTATAATCACGCCCACATTTTTTCCAGCGTAGTCATATCCAGTAGATTATAATGTAAAAAATGTAGCAAAGTACACGATGCAGCAAGTTCTGCTTGCTCTGTAATCAAATGGTATTAGTTCTTTGAGATAACTTCACTGCTCCCTCCTTCATAAGCAAAGGTGCTAAGTACCCTGAAAAAGTTGTAGTGATGCATATTTCTCTACATCAAAATGCAAAGGGGAGGAAGATGGCCACGTGACAAAAACTCAGCAGTTTACAAAGTCGGAGAATGCATTTGGGTTAAACATGGAGTCTTGAGACAACTACAGCACTGTAAGAGGGAAGTAGTGAGGCGTTAAGACCGATAACCGATATGTGACTTGACTTGTTGAGGTCTATGATGAAGTCAGGGAACTGGGTAATTGTGGCGGGACACCCTCTACAAAATTTCAACAACTGAGTCTGATACGCTATAGTTTCTTGCACGCTTACGAGGTTCTACAACACTTTTAGACATCGGTAGCTAGAAAGAGGTTAGTAGAAAAGTAAAAGAAGGAGAAGGGAAAGCAGCTATCCCAGTTTGTTCCACATCCAAACATGACATGCACACAGTGCACGTAGTAGACAAAGAGGGGTACATACGCTTTGAGACTAAACAAACGTTCTCACCTGTCTGTGCAAAAGAGGCATATATGGAGTGGTTGTAAGAATCATAGTCCCACACACGTCATAGTTTAGACACTTAAACAGTTTTAATTTCATTGCTTGAGTTTTTAACATAATTTACAAAGTAGGTTGAAGTAATCATCAATGTTCGTTATCATATCATTTCTGTGCATTACTTCATACTTGTGAGGAAAATCATATATTAGTTGTTCGATATCATCCTCCCATCATCCGACAGTCGTTATATATTTATGTACATTCGGCTGAAGAAAAACATACCTGATTGTGCTTTGACTGAAAACGTGTTACTTCGTCAACCCTTTAACTTCCAGAGGTGATTAACATGTAACTTCTCCCAATAATATCCATACATAATCCAGTACACATGTAATGAGAATATTTAAACTGTTCAGGTAATAGCTGTTATCTTGATTTAACACCAAATTCTCGTAACTAATTTACAAGGAAATGTTGAGCAGCTACAGAGGATAATTAACAATTACATCTTAAGAGTTGAAGGGTTAACCACCGGTGGTATTCCGAAACTGTGATTTTTGATAATTTTGCTCTTCTCATGAATTAATTGAAATTCATTTTAAGGAATAATGGACGGACAAACCCCCACCTCCCCGACCAGTTTTTATAATTGTCCTTATGTCATCCGTTAATACAGATTCATCAGAAGTGTTTCGTTACGAAACCTTACTCTAACTCTGGTAAATTAATCCTTTTTACCGTATATCGAGAAGTGTAACGCAGATAAATATTAATAGCTTTAATTATAACGTTGTAAATATTACTTTACGAAATCATTTATGATAGGGGAAAATGGGAGATGCCTGCACCGAGGCTAATCATCATCAATATTATTACTCGCATTCGTCCTTCTCACATGCAGTGTAATTTTCAATAAATAACTTAGTGTTAACTAAATATTCATCGGAAATTATCTAATATTTACAATAGAAAGCTCGCTATTTCCAAGTCAAGAATCAGCATATTGAATCTGCTTGTACTCTTCTACGAAAAACGAACTGCTCTACCACAAAACTTGGAGAACCGTATCGTACGATAGAGTGCGATTCGTGCTTGGAAGACACTGAAGTCTCAAAGGGCAATCAGTAAACGTTTCAAATATTCAAATGAATTAGTTTCCGTTTACCAGAAATAGGTTGCAAGTATGACAAATGTAATGAAGAGGTCCAAGCTAATGCAAGGTCTTTCCGCTGCTGCTCTCACATGAGGTCTTGTTGAAATGATGGACTCATTAGTGGGACGTGTCACAATGTTTTCTCTTGGACACCTCGAAGATTTAGGAGGGGTCCGCAACCAATCTGGACCCAAAGTTTCCGCAAAGGGAGGGAAAACGTTGTCTTCAAAATTACCTTTGTCGTTCCCACCTTCGGAGTCGTACATGACGGCCACAATAAGCTTTCCGTCCTTACGGATTTTCCAGGCGGCGCCAATTTGTTTCGTGCTTTTCCAAATAAGCTAAAATTCAGATAAAGAAGAGTTAGGAGTGCACTATTTAGGCTATAAACAATTTTACGACACACAATGTGGGCTGCTGAACTACTTACTACCGATATTCTATAGAGTAACATTATTTTTCATGGAAAGGGAGATGTGTGGATCACAAAAATGCAATTCAAAGCCCGCTGAACTTTTTTATTTTTGACTCACCTGCGTAAAGTTTCGTGCTGCTTTGATGTAACGAGGATTTTTGTAATCGTAATATCTCTCTTGGCCATGGAACCACCATATAGCTTGACTACAGTACTCTTTTGGTTTTTCCGTTGACAAGTACAAGTTCCCAGAATTATTCTTGAATTCAAGCTTGTTGTTGTCTGCTAGATACTTAACCCAGTTTTCCGCCTCTTTTTTAAGGCTCAGCGACCAAGTGACGAAAGGAACCTTAGACATTTGAAACACAAATTGGCAAAATTTAAGAACCCGTTGTAGTCGGGTGTTAACAAAATCTATCTTACTATATTTATGCCGTTAAGATAAATATAATGACGCGCTATTTCTTCTGAGTGGATTACAGTAAATAACTTCGAATTGGTGTCGTTTTGTAGGTACGGTAAAACTACAACATAACAGTGATCAAAAGTGTTTCTCATTGTTTTTAGTCCTTATGTTATTAAATGCGTTCCTCCTGGAAAAATCGCTTTAAACAAAGTCTATTTACCTCATGAAGGGTCCGGAAGTAATTGTGCCAGTAAAGACACTGATCTCTGAATGGCAATGTACCTAGAATAGAAGAGAACATAATGATCAGATGGGTTCACCACTTGAAAGTCACTTTGAGGTCTCCTTTAACATGAAGTTAATTGTGCACGCTTCTGTAAAGAGACAGCCACATTTCCTATACTGAAATGAATGCGTGTTGCGTTAACTGAGTCAAAAAAGAAAAGAACATCGCATGCGTAAAAGGAGCGTAAGGCATCAAGGGATCGACTGTCATGAACACTTAATGAGGTGAAAGGTCAGTGGAAGTGAACTGTGGGATTGATTAGACGGGAAAGGAGCCACTTTCTACAAAATTGACTCCCCTAAGTTTCAGAATAATCCTACTTATGTAGAGATACATAACTGCGCCTGTTATACTCGTGCTATGCATAATAATTATTTATGATCAATCATATATTATTTCTCGCGCACGATTGGTCTAAACGCATCACGTGACCGAATATCTCACAGCCAGAACTAGCGGATATCCGAAGATATCACCCAATCAATAAGTCTTCGTTTAGAGTTTAACTCAAAATGAAAGAGCGTTTAGTGGTTGCTACAAAAGAAGGAAAATTTTTGTTTGCTCCAAAGTCATATCAGAGAACATTCAAAAGAAAACATCCCACACAGGAAATAGGAGGCTATTTGTAAAAATTTTGTAACGCGCGTTGCAAAATATTTGAAGGATAATGAACGTAATAGTCTCAAGTTCGCGCGAAAATATGCGCGTATATTTGTCCTTGGACATTACCTGTTCCTCGAAACTCACAGTTTTCGCATCTCGGAACAGATGATGTCCCCAGACATATATCCTTGCATAATTTTGCACTAAATGGAGGCTATTCTTTATATTTTACCTCCTGTATCAGGCTTAGTAGGGATGGGTGTAGTAGTTGGCGGGATGGTAGTAGTCGGCGGAATGGTAGTAGTTCTGATTGGACATCTGGAAAATCTAGGAGGAGCATACGGCCAGTTGGGTAGAAGAGCGGCGGTTGGTGGTTTGACATTTTTACGAAAGTAGCCAATGACATTACCACCTGTTCTATACTTGATCGATATAACAAGTCTACTGTCATTTCGAATGGCCCAAGCAGCACCGATTTCTTTCGAGTTCATCCAAATCACCTGAGATGTGACAAACATGATATAAGGCATGAATAATGTTCCATACTAGGAGCCCGTTATTATGGACTCCTGGCCACACTTATTGACTATGATAACCAAACAACAGTTCTCAGGTGTGCTGTCAACAATACTGTTCTATCCCTATACAGACAAAGAGTAAACCGAATAGTGCGAATTCCTTTTTGTTATCATCATAACTTCATTTCAATTTTGTAAAACGGGCAGAAGGGCGCTTTCTGTCAATCCGCCGGGTGTCTTACAAAAAAAAAAACTGACTTTTTTCTTTCTTTCCAGCTTAGACACGCGTGCAAACACTACAAATTATAAGGAGCTAGTTTTCTATTGGATAAAACAAGAGGTTCTAAAGAAGGATTGCACACAAAAAAATTTAATTCAAGTTATACAAAAAGCTTTTCTCGACCATTCAAAGTCTTTAGGGTACGACGTTTATGAAGCTTTTATCGTAAAATAACAACAACATTACAGCTTTTTTAACTCAATTTGTCCCCAACTCTTGAATCACCTGTGTGAAATGTCCAGCTGCCTTGTAGTATTTAGGATTGCTATAATTATAAAACTTCTCCTCCCAGTGGAACCACTGAACAGCGTCACTGCAATACTCCTTGGGTCTGTCACTTGCCAGGTACAAATTCCCGGGATTCTTGGCACTGTGATGAAATTTGTTGTTTTCTGCCAGATACTTTACCCAGTCTTCCGCTTCTTTTTGTAGACTCATCGACCACGTGACATTTGGAACCTTAAAAACAGAGTCCAAACGTTACACTTAAATAAGCATTTCTCAGTGTGATAAAACTTGAGGGAGTAGCTTTTGAGTTATGCTGTGTGCAATGATCATTTACCCTCGAATCTTTTGTTTCACGTCATCTACTTTGGTGACTTAGCCGAGCTGTTCGACGCACCATATATTCGAGTTCTATTGTTTTGTAAGCAGCGATGAAGCTGCCATTCGAAAACTGCTATGAACACCTGCATGATCAAATTTTGAAGCAGTGATTACGAGGGTCCAATGTCTGATTGCATATTAATTGACTGCAATCAGAAATAATTATACTAAATGTCATACATGTCAATCCAGTTGCCTCTGTTTCTTTTCTTACCTGATGAAGTGTCCGAAAATAGTTGTGCCAATAAATACACTGCTCTTTAAACGTCATTGCTCCTGCAATCATGATTGTTATGAATTTATAAAAATTAGTAAAAAAAAAACAGAGCGGAAGCGTCCTTATTGAAATTTAATGAATCACTTGTCTCAAAAATCTGGACTATTGTTCTTAATCTTCACGTGACAACTTAAGTTAACTTAAGTCTTTTAATCTCAGAGAAAACCAACTTGATAACAAAGAAATTCCCTCACCCGCTAGTCAAAACATAGAAGACAATGGTGAAAACGAGTTGGAAAACAAAACTTGAAAGAGTTAACCATAAAAAGGGCGAAGAACGCCTGAGTGTTGAAAAGTTACGATAAGCTTTGTTTATAATTGGTTCACTTTCTTGGTAAGATACGTTAACCCCATTATTTTACATAGTAGCCACTGTATGGTTCATAAGATAAAATAATTTTATTGATTTACAGAAAGAAGAATTCAAACAACGAAGTGTGTCAGTCTCGGTCAATATCCTTATTTCTATTTTTTTAACCTCTTCGAACTAAAATACACGAAGACTTAAGTTATTTAAAATGAACAAAAAAAACACCACCTCACGAAATTAGAGAACCGATGGCGGTCCAAGTCATAACTTTCAATTTGCCCCTACTGCTGGAACTGATTTGGTCTGCGAATAAGATCTTTCAAATTAAGGTGAAAGTGTGACAAAAAAACGTTCCTCGGCAATAAGAAGTAAACATAACAATAAAATCAACAGACACAGTCAACCAGGTTAAGCAAAAGCATATTATTTGCCTATCGTTTGTGAGTCTGTGTGTACGCTAAGTCTTACACGCGTTGAAGAACTGAACTTCTTGTCTCAATAAAGTTGACTGTCAAGAATCATCTCAGCGTATTTTGAAGGAAAAGCCAGTTTCAAATCAGCTCAGTATTTGTTTGGTTTCCGATTCCATTCATTAAGGAAACGGTGCGAAGTATAAACACAATCGCAAACTCTTTCCAAAGGAATCATCCGGCCCTTTTTTTTATTGTCCACGAGATAAGTCACGGTATTTAAAGTGTGGAAATCATATACACAGAGGCAAGTTGTGCGTCACTCTTTCAACTGGGCGAGGCGAAGAAGGAAAATACAATGCTCGTGTAAGATTGCACAATCTACCGCCTTCAAAGCTTATTTATAACTTGTCATGAAAGGTTTGAGGTCTAGAAATAATATATCCGTAGAGAAGATTGAAAAAGCGATTGTCAAGCAGCATTGCTTTCGAGCTTCCTTCGTTGCATATTTAAGGATTTCACGAAGTTGCATGAGCAGTTACACATCGCAAGCGATGCTTCATTTGATGCAGGAAATTCATGATTACACTTCCGCTATATTTCGTTTCCAATCTTGGATTATTTGGTCAGTTTAGATAAACTTGACTGACCAATAAAACAAAACTGTAACTCGGAATAATGGACTCCAGAAAGATTTTTTTTACAAGTCGTAGACAAATCAGTCATCTACTGTCAGATTGCGTAAAAAATAACGAAAATACACAAGATTTAACACACACATACCTGTTGCTATTGGCAGAATGGCAGCCAAGGCGGTCACCAAGAAAATAATTTGCATGGCTTCACTCAGCATATTAAGTCGCACAGACCACTCCTTTGGGTCAGTATATATATATGCAATAAATCTAACAGCTCTTTCCCTCGCGCTCTCGATTCAAGTTTGAACGTATCAAGTTCTAGTTGTTGTAGCTTTTATCCAAACTTGATTCAGGTCTCAGTGACGTACGTCCATCGGTAAATGATGACATACTTTGACAGAAAATTGGCTCAAACCGATCTTGTGGTCTATACTGGATTATACCACTTGTCGATTCCTGAGGTTCTGGAATGTAGGAAACCGAATCATCACACTTTCCATTTCAGTTTTCTTTACCGATTTCTGATGCATTAAGTTTTGTGATCTTTCATTACGAGACCTTACTTTTTTTGATGAATTTATTCACAGTTTTGATTCCTTTTTTTCACTATAAGTTGAGTCAGCGAGAGGTCAAGTACTTGGTTGAAAGGAATATGTTTACTATGACTCTGTTATAACCCACTTTTATCACGTCTAATCAAGGAAAAATCCCAAAATTGTTTTCATGAGTTAATTTACTTGTAAGAACACCGAGTAGGAAAAAAATTATCTGAGAATAGAAATCAACTGCGTATATGAAAACAGATTTTACCTCGAACTTGAGGACCGGAAACTCAGTGAAATTTCGTTCCTTTAACAAGTAGCTTGTTCTAAGAGAGCATCGCTAGGGTCACAACAGAATTCAAAGACAATTTCGTAAACTCCTTCCACAAAATGCATGACACATGTACTAAGACGAATATATTTGCCTGCTCTGCGTCGTGTTCGTCTCGTTGGGTTGAATGGTACAGGATGAGACCTGCAACTTAATATTTTTCTCCTCGTTTTGATTCGTTGATCTAATGCTTTAACGTTATTGACAGTAATTATCAAAACAACTGTTACCAAGGACACCATTAAGTTATAACATGAATCCGCAGGACTCCACTGAGCATTGAGCTCAACTTTAAGATCTGTCTACAGCTAGTAGCTCAACAAATCAGTCAGACCGGTCTGATCTTGAGAAGTTTATTAGAAAGGGGTCCCCTTCCTCGTCATTCAGAATTTCATCTTTACGCCGCATACAAATTGTTTCACATAGGCTTATCAGGATCACTTTTAAGTCTTAGTAAGCATATACCCGTACATGGAGTAAATTCCTTCTAAATAGGTCTGAGCCAATTAGGCTTTTCATTAATTTTCAGCGAGTAACATTCATGAAAAGTTAAAAAAAAGTGTTAAGTCTACTTACTTGCTTGCCAAAAGCAACTTTTTCTAATGCATTTTTGACAGACTAGCACAAAAAAATGCATCCATATTTTTATATCAAACTTCTCCCTCTTAGTCTTAAAGCAATGTTAAGGCCGAAATATGTCACCCAGCCACACTTATCCACTTAAAGTGTCATCAAGTTTAGTCTAGGTGTCATACGAGTCTTATTCACTTTCAGAAGATCAAACATGCCTAAGAGAAAAATCTTCGATGGGATTTATTTCTTAATTTAGAGTTACGAAATGAGAAAAGAGATATCATTAGCAAGTAAAATGAACTTTTTATGAAAACGTGATGACTTTGAGGGCACCACTGTTTACACAAATTGCCTTAAAACTAGCATAATATCGATCATTTGTATCTCATCGAAGAAAGAAAGCACACAAGACTCAAAGACAAAGCGTAACGTTTAAAGACAAGCACTTTAAAATGGAGAGAACCCTCGAGAAATTTATATCAAGCGTAGCTTATAAAGTTCTTTCATAAGCGACAGGGCAGTCAGGTTTAGAGAAAATAGATGTGAATACCCACGATGCTTTGCAGACATAAAACCGACTTAAAAATACCGGAACTAGCGGTCTCTATATATTGAACTCTCCTGAGTGTTGGCAACACAATGAAAATCAATGAAGCGAACCTCTATAGTTGAAAATAGAAAGATCGTTTAATTTCGTTGTATTCTTTTCTTGATGCGCGCGTGTGATTGCGCCAAGTTATTCACCCACAGTAATTTGCTCCTTCATCTGCCTCATCTCTCCTTGTGTATTTATCAATGCAATCGATGACCAGCGATTAAGAGTGATCAATAAAATATGCATAAGAGGAATACATATAAAAAGAAAGGCTATTTAACAAAAATTATTTCTCAGCTATAGTTTCGCTCTTCGGATTACGAGACCGAAGACCTGACCGTTTTTTTTTTTTTATAAAGCCTCATCGAAGTATGGCGGTTTTTATCGCGGCAAATTTTAGAGACATCCTACGCAGCTGGAGCAATTAGCTCACTCCGATTATGCAAGATCTCTATTTTCTACTTATGAAAATTACTCTATATCGTCGGCATGATTCCATTTAGTTTGAACTGAATATTCTGTCACGATTGATTATTTTTATGCTTACAGATATCCAGTTGCCTAGATTAACTTCTTCCTTACCGCTTTCTGAATGTTTTTTTTGTCCCTCTTCAGATAGTATTGTACATGCACTCATATCATATATTTTAAGCAGACACAAGGTACACACATACACAAGGAACGTAAAGGAAAAATAAATACCTGAGCACAAATTCAAGAAGCCTGTAAACGGAATCACCACAACTATAAGCTGTGATATCTTCATTGGTTTCTTGGTTGTACGACTGAACGACGACTGAAACGTTCGAGTGAAATGGCAGCAGCTACAACAGAAACAATACCGAAAGAGATGTCACCACAGGTTCGATTCTTGTATGCATATCTCATTACGTTTCAAGCAGACTTGTTGAAACGGTTATATATTAACAGTAACATGTGACCGAAAATATGCCGCCTGGGGGTATTTTGTTGGACACTACGTACAATAATACGAAAACACCTAACACCCCTCTGGCTTTATGAGTCTTTGATTGAGTTTTTTTTAAGTCTTAAAATGCTCGAAAGAAGAAAGTGCTCCTCAAAAAAGATAATACCTAACGATCCCGACTTTTTCTTAGTTGAATCACAAATAACGCTACAAATAAGTAACTCGAGCATGCCTCCTTGCGTTTGAACAAAGGGTGAAGCCCGGGCACAACAATCCAGTCTTAGAGAAGAATATAGAGAGTTGACACTTTTCCTTACCACTGAGTTAAGCATACATATACCGTATAATACCAAATGGCATCTGGTTACCCCCTCTATCTACTATACTCTTAAGGACCGCGTCCAACCCCATGGGAAATACTACATTGAGACTGCATTAATTGAACGTTGAAATGTACTGGCGAGACTTTGTTGACTGTATCAATATTGTACTCTGTTCCTGTTATAAAAAGTATATGAACTTGCCTTTGCAAGTTCTCCCCTAGAAATTAAAGCTGCAGCTTAGATATTCTTAGAAACTAATCTGTGAAACCGTCCTAGAAAAATGAACGAAGGTTTGGAAAGGGCAATTAGATTCTATCCTATCAGCAGACTGATAGCCCTTGTTAGCACTTCACACACTAGCCTTCGCTAAAGAAAAGCCGGGAATGGCTTATTATCTCAGTTTGATATATGCGAGTGGCCTTTTAGGTTAAGTGTTTTGGCAGAACAGTGAGATAACTTTTGGAGGAAGACTCCTAAAATAACTCAATGTCACTGCCGGACACCTTAAACCATGTATGACTAGCGCAGATGTCTTAACATTTCATGCAAAGATTTTATCTCTCGAGTCACAATTTTCATAAACAACAAAATTAATACTCCTAAAAAGCAATAAAGGAAGCCATGCCCCCCCTTATCTTAGTTATGAAGTGTGTCAATGAACAAAAAGCTTAACATTCTTGACATTATTGAGGGAATTGGATCGGCGTAGAATAAAAGGAAAACAGGAATAAATCTCCGACCAAATACCGAATACAGAACTCTAAAACAGAGAGAGAGAGAAGTCAAACTATCCGATACGAAGAAGAAATACAAGAAGCTCATTTTCCACGTTTCCGCAACCTAGTCGTTGTCAAACTATTTGGGAAAGCACAAATCGTAAGATGTACCCGACATTGTTTTCAGTGTAGATATTGATCTGTTCAGCCAGGAGACTTATAAAGCTCTAATATGATCGAGACTGTTAGTTAAGTTTTATCAGTCCAAACGATGCAGCAGTAATTATACAATCCGCGAAAACTATTCGAAACATGAAACGGCGTGTTCGGCAGATTATGTTGCGGAATTGTTTTCAAAGACTTTCCAACAATTTGGACCCAGATTCGCTCATAACTCTTGACTGCGAAGAACATTGTCACTGATAGATCTTACCTGCCATAGGAAGTTCTGAAAAAAGAAAAAGAAGCCGAAGACTTATTGCGGTCTAATGATACCTGGCATATTAAAGAGATATAGCCGGCAAATAAAGGATTCAATTCAGATGTTTTTTAAAATAATTTTATATCATAGACGCGATAGGGCAGGCTTACTCAAGACGCTAACAGTAATCAAAGAGCGAATACAATAGCTTGCAACGATCGTTGACGTTACTCAGTCAATCAATGAGGAAGATCTTGGTTAGAGTAAGAAAAAAACATTTTCAGCACGCGTCATGAAAAAAAAACCCTTGACCTCTTACCACTATTCACGCCTTAAATATCCGGCTGAGTCAGTCCAACTCCTCCCTAATTACCAAAACACCTTAAGTCGAGCTTAGCACTCGTATGGACGATAATAGATCGCAAAGATCCTTTTTCAGTGAACAGCTGACGGTTAAACCACATTGAAACTCTCAAATTTACTACACTCACCGCGCTCTCTCCAAATGACAAAGACAGTTAGTGGGTGTTAACTAGTCCTGTGCTTTTTTTTAAACCTGATGTGTATGGTGTAGCTTGCTGTTATTTACACAAAGTCAAACAACTTTACGATGACTTCGCTAGAACATTTCTATGACTGCTGGCTTATTGTTAAAGCGGAATATATTCAAATGGATGTGATAAGCTGCCGGTACTAAGCAGAAAATCAGACTAACATGTATTCAGTTACAAGCGAAATAAGTAACCCTATTAATTTTCAGAACCATACATATTACATTGGTAACGTAATACTTTGAAGAATGGAGAGGAAAGCGTAGGAGAATGAGTGCGTGGGATGTACGAAAGCCTTGAAATTTTGGGAAAGGGAAATCGACACCCCGGAAGTGGAAGAGCTGGTCACATCGAACACTTAATTTAAGTTTCTCTCATCAATCACATAAATTATATTCATCAATGAAAATTTATTGATCCATTTAAAATATTTTTTCAATACTTACATGTAATGGAGCTTTGAAAACATTATTAACGTTCCTTACATTGGAACAGAGCATCTTTTTATGTTGTGTTTGATTTGTACATTACCATGCATGACAGGAAATTAGTCAACATCCACATTCCTTTAAAGACGCTGCCTCGCTGTTTGTGAATGTATGAAGCTAAGCCCAAAGTTCTCAAGTTTTTCGTTTTCAATCCGTGCTAATTTCCCTTTATTCTTAACCCTCCTCATTTCGTTTTTGCTTATTATTCTCATTTTGTGTTTTTTTTTTCTGCCTAAGCAAACTAACTTTTTAAGATTCCCCTCATATTCTACATTGGAACAGACTGCTGATAGTATTCCGAGGCAATGTCTGCAAGCACAGCGCCTTAAATATTGCCTTGCCAGCGCGCGCCGTGATCGTCGTATGAAACAATTGTAATCGCTTATCTCCTTTCTAAGTGGTTCTATTGAATAGTGTTCAACTCGTGCTTATCCACAATATGTCACCATTATTCACCTCAGTATAAGACAATAAATCTTGTGTCTGGACCTATTTACAAGTTATAGGGTAGTTTAGTATTATCAACTGAATTGATAACGTAACTTGGCCACCATAAAGCTTTTAAATTATTTACGGTGGCCAATTTACGTTATCAACTCAGTTGATAATACTAAATTACCCTGTTACACTCTCCCAACGACGTAGCACCATAGTTTCTTCAGAAACTTACCCCCTTACTTAACTTAACTTACTTAGGTATGAACAATATTTGTACTACTGAATCTTGTTCCACCTTGTATACAATTTCAGAATTTTTGCATTATTTCCGATTAAAAACCTGGAACTAAAAACCCTCCGTTTAAGGTGGCAACCTGGCGTTGTAAAAGTTTTCATATATCTATATTTGAATTAAATAAATAACCATTAAACTCAGAGATGTGTCGCTCGGAAACCATCTACCCAAAAACACAGGGTTAGCAACTAAAATTACTTGAAACCAGGGAACCTATCCATCCGTGCGGGGGCTTACAAAGTATAAAGAATATTAAGAAATTAACATTGCAAGAACAAGAGAACCGGTAAAGTTCACAATATTTGACACAGTCCTCTCTGATGCGGCGAATATGTCCGACATAGTTCCCTCTTCCTTAGTTCCCACTTTCTTAGTGCCAGCAGTTGTAGTAATCAAACTCGGACACCTAGTAAACTTCGGTGGAACTCGCGTCCATTCTGGTCCCAAGAGAGCAGCGGTTGGTGGAAGAACATTTTTACCAAAATAGTTGACGACGTTACCGCCAGGTTTGTACTTGATCGATATAACAAGCCTTTTGTCCTTACGAATAGCCCAAGCAGCCCCAATTTGTCTTGAGTTTTTCCATATCACCTGAGAAATCGCAAAAAAAAAAAGAAGTGTACTCATAAATAGATATTGCTGTTAAGTAACAATCGTTTTTAACGGGAAACTGATGCGGGTAGCGGCTATGCATAGTTTTATCTTGGAACAAAGATCCCATTTAAACACCTGTTCACGAGCGAATGTTGCTGATATGAATAGCACATACACATATTCCCCCCTCCCCGTTCCCTGAGGTGATTCTGTTAAGGTTATGATTTCTATTGCATATAATTAACCCCTTTTCCCAGGATAAAAGCTTTTTAAACTAGAATCACAGATTACTAAATGAAAATGAAACTTTTAAAAGGAAAGCAAACCTGATTCAACATAAAAAAGTTTCTAAGCTATGACTGAAATAAATACCTATTTTCGAAAGAAGGCTTGTGCACAACACATTTTAACGCACTTTACAACTTCCATATCGTATGCATCTTTACTTTGACTTAACTGCACCACCCCAAATATGAAGCAACCCATACATCTGTATTTCCACTAGTATATCTCTACCGCAGAGCCTACCTGTGTAAAATGTCCAGCTGCCTTGTAGTATTTAGGATTGCTATAATTATAAAACTTCTCCTCCCAGTGGAACCACTGAACAGCGTCACTGCAATACTCCTTGGGTCTGTCACTTGCCAAGTACAAATTCCCGGGATTGTTGGCACTGTGATGAAATTTGTTGTTTTCTGCCAGATACTTTACCCAATCTTCCGCCTCCTTTTGAAGTTCCATTGACCACGTGACAAGAGGAGCCTGTAGAAACAAGCATAGGCCACTTGAAAAAAATGCTTGGTGCATGAGCTTCAAACTAATAAGACTGTTTTATGGATATGGCTGACACAAAATATTTTCAGACTGGGGAATTTTGCCAATTATTTTATCTCTGAAAATGAACTAGAGGGCCCTGAGACTGTCCAGAAGAGTGGCCCTGACTGGTAATGGGCGTTGAAAAGTTATATTGTTATCATTGTAGGTTGTCACTTTTGTAGAAATTTTCGATCAAGGACCTGGAGCTTAAAACTCCTCCGCGCTTCCCCCCACACCCCCCCTCCCCCCTTACAAACCTCCTCGAATGCGCCTTTGAGATGAACATGAAGTCTATGGAGAGGTCGAGAGATGTCTCGTAACTGGTCCGCTTAAGTCACAGGCAGTGAGGGACTATGAGAATGATGGTACATAATGGTTCGGGAAATTTTCGTTTATACTTTTGGGGCTTAAAAAAGGAACGACAAACGCATCTTTGAGGCGAGTATGTTGAACATGCGCAGGGAATTAAGTGCATTTACCTGATGAAGTGTGCGGAAGTAGTTGTGCCAGTACAAACACTGATCTCTAAATGGCATTGTGCTGGCTGCAATCAAACAGTTTTGTACATGAGTGACAAAGAAACAGTAATAATGATTAAGTTTAAACTTATTTACAACTTGATGATATATTTATTGTTGACGAGTTAAATAGCAAATGAAAGATATTCCTTCCAGTATATCCTCCCTTCAACCTTCGCCGGGTCCCAATATGTACAGCCTTATTCTATGCACATTTCTTGAAGGTCTGTTATGAGAATTTTTTGTTACATCTTCACGTGACCCCATACTCCTAACCTTATTCGACGATTCTCTTCTTCTCGTCACCTTAAAGATGTTAAGATGTATGCATGCTGACTGAGATATAGGGTGTTAATTACTCGTACTTAAATTTGATAAAGTCATTTGAGAAAATAAATGTAACTTTTTAAAAAAGAGGGAATGATAGAAATAATATAGCGTTTTTTGTACAAGTCAGTTTCGTTTACAACCGAAAAACGAAGCCCCGGCTATTACGAGCCTTAAATTTTGGCCAGAGAAAATTTTAATTTATCTTCAATCCTGTCAGCCATGTCGGCGTAAAGTTAAAAGCTGGACGAATTTGAAACCTGAAAAAAACATTCAGTTTGAATTCGCTATTCCAGCAATAAAATTTTTTTTCGTTAGTGAAATAACACGGCTAAGGTATTTGTTCCACCGAAGTAAAGCCGACGTACTACTAATTCAAGGTAAAATTCCTGGAAAAGCGATTACGATAGGCAAGGCAGCAATAAGGCGTTCCTCTACCGTCCCAACTCAAAAAATGTTTGACAGTTTACTTCCGTCGCAATCAGAGCTGCAAAGGCTAAGTTCGGACGTTAAAAATCCCGAAACGAAGCGAGAAATCAGAGGCACAATTTCCTCCCTCGCGCAAAAAGGTCTGGTTAAAACTTACAGCTCTGAAGGTTGCCGGTAGGTTACATGAGTGTTCATCCATTCTATTTATTCCATTTTCTATCTAGTGGGTCAAAAGTCAAAAGAATAAAGATAAAATGCCACCTTTGGCGGCGCTTGTTTAAAAGTTTGCCTAATTATCTTTCACAACTGAAAATGTGAAGAAAGCATACAACAGTGTCTTGTGTTTAGCACAAAGGAAGCTTCAACTTAAACAGTTATTTTTGGCACAATTGCAATTAGACTAAATATCAGCTTTCATTCATGCCAACATCATATATTCATTATTTTGTTTGTGTTTGATCGCCAATCCAGCAACAACATTTATGTGTTGTAATTAATTCCAAACATTTCCAAATAAACACAGGCCACCTCTGAAGGTTTTTTTTGTCGGTCATTTCTGTCCATCGCTTTTGCCTGACGTGCAAATGATTCCAAGTCATTCGATTTTCTTGCCAGATTAGACGATTCACACAAATATTTCATTGGAAGCTATGTACACATTCGGTCCGTTGACTGAGCACACATTAGATATCGAAAGATCGACTCCTCTTCGAAGACTGAAGGTAGTAATCGCCTCTTCAACGACTGAGCCCCGCAAAGACCCGCAAAATTAGGCTAAACCCTCGAGAAAGACGGTTTGATAGGGGCGTCGCGTCGAGTATTTTGTGGTCGAGCAGTGAATTATATATTGTAGTCGTTTGATTACATAACGCAGAATAAAGTCACATAAAAAATATGCGTGCATACCTGTGGCTGTTGTCAAGACAGCAGCTATGAAGAGAAGCATCACATCGTGAATCTCCATTGTTAATGGCTCTGTAAAAGTGAAAGGGTATTCCAGTTTTCATATATTTCTAATGTCGTCTCAAGCGCATCACATTTCGTTTCTATCAGGAACGTCTTAGGAATAGCACATAAGCGGTAATGTATGTATATCTTATATGTGTTCCAATGACGTATAATGTAATAGATATTGAAAGGCTTAGCCCAAGTGTCTTAAGTTCTCATAAAATATTCCATGAACTCGAATCATCGCTTATCGTGAACAAATACTACGCACCGTTTGCACTGTAAAACCCCAGCAATCACAACTGCCGAAGACCAACCTGAAGTCCAACCGCCTTTACTTACATTGAAGAATATTCAAGATTTTATCAGGTTCAGTCACAACGCGTCAGTTAAAACTCGGATAACTTTTCATTCGTATCATTCCAGATGACTTCCTCTCTTTTAGGACATGAATTATCAAGGCGGCCAAATATCGTTTTTTATTAATGACCCAAATATGTGCGGATTGTGTTTCCTGTAGTTGTTGAACAGGAATTTGTCCATACTTGAAAACAAAAGTAACGACGTCATTGTTTGGTTTTCGGTAAATAAGGGCAAACACCAAGTCATATGTAAGGATGTCACCTCCAAAAATAACTCTAAATACCCTATAGGGAAGCTCCTGTTCATCCTTATACATAAGCTATTGACAATGTGCATCTCATACGTTTCAAGAAATTACAACACGCGGTGTATGGGTAGGAGAGTATTTTAAAACTTTCTCGTATCACAAAGTTCTGGAGAGAAGTGTGTAAATGGAGATGTGAAGAAATTAACATTGACAGATCATATTACAAAAATGTTATTCGTTTCGTTAGTTCGGTTTAAAAAAAAATATGAAAAACAAAACAGTTTTTAAATGTATGACACGATTTTCATCCGTCTCCCAAGCAAGAATCAGTGTAAAAAGTTAAACTTGCGGGTCACACAGTCTCAATATCCCTAACAACATTGTTGATGAGGACAAATTAATTCGAGATACACTTATGACCATGCTAATTTCGCGACTTGTGTGCTTGTCTGCACGCCGGGGTTTTCCATGTTCATGGCTAAGATTAAAACATGGGGAAAAATGAGAGACACGTGCTAATTAAACAGCTCACCGTTCGCTCTTTGATAGCCTCTTGAAGTTTCTAAATCTTACACAGGCAATAGAAGACACCCGAGCGGAGTTAGTCTCTTTATGTCTTTCTCTACCAAAATATGCCCCACGAGACGTCAGATCGGTGATGAAACCATGAGGGAAATAAGCACATACAATCAGATACAGTTTAATCTTTAATATTCCCTCCGCTATCTTCAAGGAAACCTTCGATCAAGATGTTTGAAGCCAGAGAGAGGTTCTTATTTATTACAACATCGATTCGACAGTCACTCTGTCAAACCCTTGTGTGACCTTATGGCTGGGTTTTTTTTTTTTCAAAAATTCAGTATTTATCAATTTTCTGGCGAAAGTGGGAAAAAGAGATAACACCCCTAATACTGGAAAACTAAGAGAGACATCGTTAAATTTTTGGAAGATGTTATGTATAAATGCCCGATTGAGCCATCCTTTAAGTAGCCGTTATGTGTCCTCGGAGCAGGCTATCTCGAGCTAAGTGGAAAGTACATGCACTAGTTATAAGAAAGAGCCCTGATTGAGCAATAGTTTGAGAAGGAATTGTAAAATTTTGAATGTCTCTGCTATGACAATGTCATAAGAGGGTAATGCCTAGGTAACGGGCAAATCCAATGAACCGATTCTTTTTTTTCTATTTATTTATTTATTTTTCATTATGCGCACAGAAGAAATTTCTTTAATTTGTCCTCCTCGATTTTGATTCTCGTCTCTGAATATCAAAGTACTTCAAATTATCTTCTCATTGATCGAAACGAACGTTTTTGATAGGCGGAGATCTATCGGTTAAAATTGAATGATCGTTCTTTCCCCTTCGTTTTAGTAACAAATAAATTCTGTTTATGTTCAAAAAGTGACATACTATAGCTCTCATAACATACTGAGAAGTCATGTGGATATCACATGAGGGCTGATGAATCGGCTTTTTCTTTAAATAAAATAAGTAAAATTTTTACTAACCTTGAATATTGTTACGTCTAACGTTGAGAACACGTCTCTAGCAAAGCTGCAACGTAGACTCTTCAGGAAAGAGGGCCCAACGAACAACTGTCACTAGTGCCAGGTACGATCAAGAACATTATGGAATATTTTTGTCACGAAAGTGACAAATTCGTCCTGTCACGCAAGTTGGAAAGTAATCTTCTACACAAGACATCCTAAAACTTTGGTTCTGTCTTGGCCACTTTACCATAAAATTAAAATCAAGTTATCTCTTTTTGCTTCAAAATATTTTGAATCATGCCCGAGAAATTTCTCTCGGTGATGTCAGAGATGTGTTATTTTTGGTTGTAACAAACTCTGCGACAGCTTACGTAACTTCCGGAATTGAGAAGCGGCCTTCTTTGAGAAAATGACCCTCTCTTTGATTGCACGGCAGAGTAAGACGAACTTCATGAACGCTTAAAGAGAGCTCGTATAAGGAGAAGTTTCTCTTGGATGAGAGCATAATGGATCAGAACGTGAGCATAAAACGAGAACAGGTGGACCATGGAGTAGGTGAGTTTTTGATTCAGGTGGTTTCATCGACTTAACAACGAGCTCACTTTTCCCTGCAGACCACGAGGTTGACCACCAAGTATGCTCTGTCTGCTTTATTTTCTTCCCTCCTTTAAGCTGAGATTAATTCGTCGCAAGTGTAGCCGTTTCTGTAAAATGTAAACACACACTGAGCGAAAAGGAAAGCCAATTTTACTTCAGTAAAGGCTGATCTCTGGCTGATACGTTGTTTACGAAGAAAATTACCAATTATCAGTCATCAAAGACTTGATGTCCCACTGAGAGTTGAACCAAAGTAATTAACCATAAATTGGATGATGTTCACTGTATCCGATTTTAACATTACTACGAGATCACACTGTCTTGATACACTATAGCGAAAGTATTTCAGACCTTGGACGCAACAGAACATATCGTGGGATTATCTTAATTTCCACGCCTTTCCTTTGATTCGCTCTGCTTGATGGGCTGTAAAAAATGTTTTGCTGATGCATTTTGTGAACTGGACAGCGCAACTTCCCTTTACTTCTTTTCGTGCTTTAACACATCATGAACTCTATACTCGTATTTTGTGTTATTTGAAAAAACTCTTAGTATGGAAAATAACTGTGTGCTTCGTGAAAAATCCATCTATCTGGTAAATCACTTGCTTCCATAGCGCTTTCTCTTTTGTAACCTTCGTGGAACCCGCCCTCCTCTTTTCTTAAATGAGATTGGTAGCCGTTGGGAAACTGGCGTCATGTACCATTCACAAGTTGTGAACTGAATCTGATATACTGAAAGACGTTGTTTTTAAATTGTGAGTTTGGGCCACTTCCTGATTGGTCCTTCTTTCTCTCCCCCGTCTCCCCCTCATATATTAGCTGTACAGTGATCTGGACAATCATCTTTCAACACTCTTTTGAAAAAACAAACATTAGTTTTGATGAACCAACTGAAAAATTTGTATCGGCTACCTGACTGTTTACAGAGTCAGAGACTCCTAGCTCTGTAACACAGCCGCCCAATTATTAACAAACGGACAAATAAAAAATTCTCTTAACAGATGAGGGAAGTTTAAGGCAATCAGGAACTGTAGGAAGGAAGGCACCGGGGCCAAAACAGGACAGAAAAGGATTACGTCGCAAGCGAACAGCCTTCACAGTACGGCAACTGGAGAGGATGCAGTCGGTGTTTCAGTGGAATAAGTATCCCGGAGTAACAATTCGTGAGGCGCTAGCCGCGGAACTGGGAGTCAGTGAGGCGTGTGTACAGGTCAGACCTTGTTATTCAAACATTTAAATTTCCAATATATTATTGTTAATTCTTCTAGTTATACATTTTTCTCGATGTTTTTAGTAGAATGCTTTCTAATGCCACCGCTAATTACCAGGTTCCAGTATGAAGAATAAATACGTTCATTTTCAGCTGCTTTACGTCATTCGCTCAACTTTGACATTCTAAGTCAATCTTTATTTGAGTAGCCGCTCGCTAAAAGCTGAAGCTAGGATTTCCGTCATCTACAATTTTGTCAAATGAACTTCTTAATAGACCTCGCTCACTGTGGAGTCTCTTTGGCTCAGTGGTAGAGCATCGGAGCGCGGAATCCGAAGGTTAGCCTGCAAAGCAGGCGTAATTTAGGCTAGCGAGTGCTAAGTAATTTCATAACGAATATTATGGTCACCATCTTTGATTTTAATGGCAGCGGAAGGCTGGGGAGAGGAAAAATTTATACCAAGGGGGCGGTCGACGGTCAAAAATAAGGAGAGGGATGGGGGTAGGGAAGTGAAGATTTCTCCCCTTCCCCGCCCCCCGTCCACTCTAACTGCAAATCAAAAATCGCCGGTGGAACAAACGATCGCGAGCTTTTAGTGTTAGCTCGCACTAACAAGACGCCTGTACTGCAGGCTATCCGAAGGTCTGAGGTTCGATTCCTCATGGGTACTCAGAATTTTTCTTTGTCCCACGCTGGTGACAAGACGAAAAACATATTTCTTTAATTTTAGGTTTGGTTTCAAAATCGTCGATCCAAATGGCGCAAGAGAGAAAGCAATATTCGACCGATACGCTGCGAGGAGCGTCCTGATGTGTGCGCATTTTATACCTATAATAACGCTGAGCGACGTTGGCCTCTTCCACGGGCGCACAATTACTGCTCGTGTCAAGTTAAGTCTCATACCGTGTTTGGAGTAGCACCAGTTACAGCTGGCTCCATGAGTGCTGGCTTAGCTACTGACAGCCGACTTACCACTTGTCCTTCTTTACACCCGATGCATGTACTGTCAAATGAGCAAGGAGAAGAGAGAGAAGAACGTACTGGAATTCTGAAACCAAATGGTGCAGGCCCGAGATTCACTCATCCTAGTCTAAGTTCGAGAAGTCAGAAAGAAGTTTTTTCAGGAGAGCGTTCAGCAGATGAACTCATCAGTGCAAATGGACTTCTGTGCATGTATTCAATGCCAGGTAACTAAGTTCAGAAATCAAAAGGCCAAGATGTACGAGAAGAGATCAGAAGACCCGTCGCAATTTGCTGCAGATCCATCCTGAATGCCTGTATATATGTAGGCATCCTGAACATTCAATTACAGTATAAGAGAAATTGAAGCTATGTAACCAGAATTTGAACCTACGTGCATTAACGATATGATTTAATCTTGGGGAGGATTTATCATTATAATGAACATTATAACTTGTGTTATTAGGCTTTGGTATTTGTCATGTAGTTTGAGCCTCGGCTATGCCTCCACCCATTTAATTCCTATGATGATTGATCAAATTTTCTGATAAAAAAAATGTATAAGCTCTACATTTTACGAGAGAAGGACGAAGCTAAAATCATCTGCCTGGAAATTATATGTCTGAGTCATCATTAACTTATCAGAACGAAAATTGCCAGAAATCTATGTCAAACTTTAAGGGTAACTGGTAATGTGTTTAGATTCACGTACAATATTTTGTTTAATGAGTTTAGCCCGCTACAACATACTAAGTTTTTCTGATCCAGTCTTAAGCGATCAGTTTCTAGGTATCTACCCACTCAAAAAATTGCTCCAGTTGTTTTCTCTCAAAAAATGTCAAAACGCGTCTGATCATTTCCGATTCCTTTTGGAAATATGCCTTAACCCTTTAAAACCTAAGAGTGACTAAAGTCTAATTTCTCCTCACAATAAGACCCCCGAATCACACATTAGGGTCACGAGAATAAAGGAAATGATCAGCAGCCAAAGAAGCCCTTGATTGTTCAACAAATTCTCCTTGTCAGCGCGTTAGTAAGTGTATAGAGAACAATACGGAGAATATGCAAACTAATGTTGGGGTGTAAAGAGTTAAGGTTGGTGATGGTTCAACATAAGACTTTAAAGGTTAACCTCATCTTTTCTCTTCCATATATTATTTTCTTTTTAATTTAGGTGCATCTTAAATACTCTGCTATGTTACGCTTGGAGTTATGTACTTATAAACTGCTTTAAGGCACTAAAATCACTCATAATGTAAATACTGCAGAAAAAGCTTCTCAAGTTACCAGTTCTCTACTGGCCAGCAATATAATATCGAGGACTTTCTCTTTACGAGAGAAAATTCGTCGTGAAAAACGCTGTTATTGGTGGTGAAAAATATCTCAAAAGTGTAGTTTCGATGGAGAAAGTGAGTCCAAGAGAAGGGCACCCTAGAAGTGGAATTAGGAATAATTTGTCAATAAAATTGCGGCACGGTGCAACTGACCCTAGATACGGAAGACCGTCTCGCATTTGTGATAAATTTTCACTTGGGTTGTTTAATGTAATCCGAGATTGCATCAAGCTTGCCTTACTAAGCTCAGAAGGCTCACGCGGCCCTTTCAACATATACCAATCAGAATCAAGCTACAACCAATCTTGCCTTGTTCACCTGCGTTTTCCCCGCGCTTTATGTAGCTTGATTGCTTTTACTTTTAGTTGTCTTATTGTAAAGTTTTCATTGTTAATGTTTACCTTCGTTCTGAAGGCTGTTACGCTAACATCGATTGTGGTTTTACCTGAGCGGCGCACTATTACCACAAAAAATATTTCAATCAATTTTATCAGACAGTCGGACAGAAGCCGAAATGTAACACTTCATCCATTATCTACCCAGTTTTCGAGTAAATAATAACCTCCAACTAATAAATTTCTTTCGGACTATCCTCGTTTGTTTACTTCGTTTAGTTTAATCAGCTTTTTTAAGTAAGTGCGAAAGTCGATAGCTGAGTAAATTAATAAAAGGGGTAAGTTTCTAAAGAAACTGTGGTGCTGCCGCGTCGATGGGAGGGTATAACAGGGTAATTTAGTGTTATCAACTGAGTTGATAACGTAAATTGGCCACCGTAAAGAGTCTAAAAGCTGATGTTTTGAGCATTAGCCCTTAGTCAGAGCGATTGACAAAGGACTAACGCTCGAAACGTTAGCTTTTAAACTCTTTCCGGTGGTCAATTTACGTTATTAACTCAGATGAATATATTACCTTGTCCAGTCAAGAGCCATGTAACTCATGGCTGAAATTTGTCTTTTTCGAAAAGTGAAATGAAATAAAAAAAACATATTTTGATTTGTTCTGCTCTCAAAACAAGAATAAGTCTTATCTTTTTTTAGGGGAGTTATAGGGCAATTTTTTTTCCAGTTTCAAAATCGCCGGACTCACCATATCATAGCAAGATTGAAGAAATTTTCAAATGATTTCTGGAGCCTAATATTCAGTTTACAGAAGTTATTATTCATACTGTTATTAAGGCTTTACTCAGGGCCAGAAATTAAACAAAATTATCTACTTGAGTACTCCATGAGGTGTTTCAATCTCATGCGGAGAAACCACTATTGTCGATGTTGGTGTCAGGCAACTAGAGGACCTGCAGAACTTACGAACCTATTGATCGACATGGGTCAAATGAATAAGGAAATTGGAAAAATTATTAAATTTTTATTCTCTTTAACCTGCATCTTTAAAGACTTTTTTTTAAACGGAGGGGTTCTATATCATAGTGTTCACATAATTATCTTCCCAATGGAATATTGATTTTTTTCTTTAACCGTGGATTCACATGGATACACATGAAGGACCTCTTCTAACAAGAAAACTGCCGCACTCTCAAAGTCATCTTTTTGCGTGCGCGTCCAGACCACGTGCAAAGCTTTCGCTGCAAATGAATGATGTGAGGTGGACTGACAAAGAACTTTTGAGAGCATTTTTCAGTTTAAAGTGTCTGTTCGCCTCTTCATGGGCCACGTTATGTATGTAATTATGGCAGTTAAGAATTAGACTGGAGATCTTTTAAAGCAATTGATCCATTATCTTAGCAATTTATAGTGTCGAGGCTCAAGCAAGTACGCCGGAAAGAACGGAAATAGATCTTCTTAGATATGTGACTTCTTGGAAACGTTCATTGTTAATTAAAACTTATCGTAATAAATCTACAACTTTGACAAATCCTTTTTGAACGTGATAAAAGGGAGAGAAAGTGCAGCGCTCTGAAGTGTTGTCAATGAGGAAGAAATTACATAACAATTTTGGCCTAGAGGCTGTCACATTAAAACTGAAAATAAACTCTGGATTTTTTTTTTCCCGCACTCAACGGACCTCGCGCTTCATCCGCGATCATTCGAGGAAGAAAAGCACGGAAACATAGGAGGTGCCTGTACAAGTTAAACGGAAAACTGTAAAACGAAGTTTAGATTCCTAGTTTTGCAGATGTGAGGCAAAGATTAATTTCCGCTGAAGTTGGCGGAGAACACCAAATAAGCGCTGGTAGATTGATTGCTCTCTAACTGTAATATTTTTAACACACTATTGTTCGTTCAATTCTATACATCCTGTGTCCTCAAATTCATTTATTATAATTCATTCATTTTTAAAATGTAGGTGACGAGGACTTCTAGTTTTTCGGTTTTCATATGGAAATTTAAGTCGTTCTCCGCAACGAAGTTTATTGTGCAAACAAAAAAGCAAACTGAAAAACTTCCATGCCAGACAAATTATTTTTGTTTCATTTCGCAACGAACTGCTCTCTTGGCATGAAGTCAGAAATCAGAAGTAATTAAAATTTTCATTTCAATAAAAGATATACTTATCAAAATTTCATCTCCCTTTTTAGACCACTTTTTCTATCCGCGATATTAACCAGGTTATCTTTTAATCAGAAAATTGCGCTGAAAGCGAATCTGTTTCAGTTGTCAGTTCTCAGCCGTGTAAACTCCTCAGCATCTGTCTTACGGCCTCATTTATTTCACGCAAGCGCCAACAATAAATGAGAGGGTTGAGAGATGAATTGACAAAGATTAAAGTTGCACCAAGTTCATACGATAAGCGAGTCGCGCTCGTGATGCCTTTGGCCTCTATAACAGCGACGGTACACAAATATGGCGTGAAACAAACAGCTAGTAGGCAATAAACCCAGAATGAACCAACTGCTTGCTTCTTAATTTTTTGTACGTTTATCTCTTGTTCGTCTTTGTCAAAAGCCTGACTGACAGACGAGTTTTGCACTCGTATGACCGACCTGTGACGCAACACGATCCGATAAATGTTCATGTAGGAATACGAAGCAATACAGAGACTTACGCTGATGATAGTGATTGCAACTATCTTCACAAGTTCATGTTGCCATAGCCACAGCGAACCAAATGTTGAACTGGATAACCAAATACCAACGAGAAGCAAAACTGCGCGTCTTATCGTTATGAGCTCTCTGTATCTTAAATGAAGACGAAGAGCTAGATACCGGTCAACACTAACAGCGGTAACAGTTAGCAGAGATACGATACAAAGGGCGTTCGCGGCGATTTCCACCGTAATTCCAGCATCACAGAATAGCGATGGATCCCGTATAACCTTGGCTAATATTTGCGAAAAAAACAGAGGATGGACTATTAAACCAACGCCAAGATCGGAGAGTGCCAAACCGAAAAGAAGCGTGCCAGATGGGGTGTGAAGCGTTGGTGTCCGGCGAATAGCAAAAAGGATTACCAGATTAGATGCAATAGCCGTAATGGAAAACACGATGTTTACAACGCAGTTGAAAATGTACCAAGCGGGAGAAAATTCCCCCATGTTAAAATGCGTGTGGGTAAAATGATAACAAATATCTCTCTCAGAGTCTCCAGTTTTGTTTCCTATCTTTAAAACCATACTCGAGCTTTGATGTCTTTGGGTCCTTGCCCGGATACGAGCTAGTTTCAACTTTATGTCCAAAGAAACAAGAAATCCCTTTTAATCTGAGGTCCAAGCATGAAAAAGTCGAACAAGAAATTCAACAGCTTCTCCAGCAACACTTGTCCGGTGAACAGAAACAACAATGATACTGAAAAGTAGTGAGTATTTGCATCGATTTAAAAGTAGATTTAGAAGAAAAATGTTGACGGCAGCTGTGGGTATTGAGGTGTCAATTGGAGATGATCCAAATGCGGCAATATATGTCGTTACATCTGTCAGTCAATTGTGAGAAAACAAACTTTGCAGTTGATCTGATGAGTTTAAGCTCTTTCCTATCTTTATGAGGTGACTTTCATTTTGCCTGGAAACGGAAATTGAGCAAAAACAGCTTTACCTGACAAGTACGTGACTAATGACTGGGAGTTTAAAATTGCTTCTATGATTACGTTTAAATAAAAAAAAGAAATTGTTTGAATGAGCCTAGGACAAAGCACAGTGATTCATAATTAAAAAAATCCCCGAGGTGAAAAAGGATTGAAATCTCTTTCCTTAATGACGAATCACGACTCGCATATAGACTCGCTTCGAATTGGTTTTACTAAAGAGCGATATCAAATTCTGCTACTCAGGAAAAAAGTTCTTACGTTTTTAAAAATTAGAAGTGCCGGCAAGAATTGATTAGAAACACTTGTATAATTTGCCTTCTTCAGTTCGCAATGCGCATAGAGCTGCCGAGTGGACGAACAACAGGATTCTCGTTTCAAATTCAACGCATTGTCCAAGGGATCAACAAGAAATTGTGGAAAAAAATCAACAACAATTGATAATTAGTAGGTGTCATTATAATCTTGAAGACTTTGTCAGCTGGAAATCAGTCCTTAAAAACGAGGATTAGAGTGGTAAAAAAATAATCTGTGTTGGTTTTGCATGCGCACTTACTTGCTGAAGGGGCCTTTGTCGAGTCGGAGGCACGAGAAATTTTAAAGAAATAAGCATAATGGCTAAGATGTTGCAAAAAATGAACCCGCAAATCTTTATTTATTTACCAGTCATTAAAAAAAAACTTAATTTTTATGCTTGCGTTGTTATCGTCTTTCACGCAGGTCATATTTGATCGATTTATTTATGCTAAGATAGACCGTAGAATGTATTTCGAACACAAGACGCCAAAATGGTGGATGGTATGATGGATCATAAATCCGTTATATAAACATTTTACTCATTATCAGTATTTTTCCTCACCCCTACGAGGCGGAAAAATACTTTGCAACCCGCAAAATATCTGCGAGTGTTATTTTTTTTAACCGTTGAATCAGGCAAAAACGACCAAGAAATATTTTGTGACCGGATCTTTGTTAAAAGAGTGGTAAATTTTCTGCTCAGTGGCGAAAAACGAACGAGTTTCTTGCATGTACAAGACCACGTAGTAGATTCAGCATGCTTGAATCGTTATTTACTAGAATTAACGGCCGGTATTGAAGACTTTTAAAATTCCGAAATTATACGATTATTGAACGTGTACTTTTAGGAAATATCAACACTTAAAAATAATATTAAGTGTTCGAAAAACGAAGCGAAAAACTTGCAAATTTCTAGTATTTACGAGACCCAAGTGGAAGAGTTACCTTACTTGAATTATTGTTTACTAGAAGCGTAGCTTTGTGTTGAAAATTCTGGAAATTGTACGATTTCGAAACATTGAACAGCACTTCTAGGACATATCGACACATAAAAATAATATTTACCGTTTAATGAAGATAACCTAACGTCACAAAGCCTCAGTTCAAGTCGGAAAGCTTAGTTTTGTTTTTAACGAAAACTAGCATCCTGTTTGGGAATGAAGTATCGTCAACTCCAAAATTAATTCCGTCGCTTGAAAGAACAACATGCTCGTTGTTTTTCGAAACTAGTATAATTTAGCACGTATTATTTTCATTTTGAGCTCCAAAAGGTTTATCTCAATCGGGATAGAGCAGGGAAAATCTTGAAAGTTTTGAAACCTCGCGGCTAAACTCAACGGAAACTTTCAGCCGAAGCCTTCGGCTGAAAAGGACGGGTGCAATTTGACGGGTGCAACTTCACGGTGAAATTGCACCCGTCATGTGATGGATGCACGGCTATGCAGTACATAAGTATTTTTGCCATGGCAGCCCTTCGGAAATAGGTAGGCTTTGCGCGCGCGCGCTATGTTATAAAACCAAATTATCTAGGATTTAAGAATTTGTTCATGCTTAGCGTGCGTATATCGAGTTATGGATGCACGCGGGAAATTTGGAGAGCACGAAAAATGCGTAAGAGTAGCTCGAGGCGCAGCTTTAACTCTAGCTTTCGAGTGCTCTCCAAACTTCCCAAGTGCATCCATAACTCGATATACGCACAGCTAAAAGCATGAACAAATTCTTTTATAACAGAGCGACAACAAGAATCTGCGCGAAGAAGCCTTTCATTGTGATAGAGTGCAATTGTGATTGTTTTGGTTTTGGTAAATTCCCAATTAACGACTGTGTATTTTATTCCCCAGGTTGAACAAATTTAATAATGACAGTAAAAATGGAAATTTTACCTAAATGTTGTTAATGACCAATTGGTGACTTTTTTGTTCCCAGTAAATGTCTGTCTTTCGGCCAAAATTTGCTGCAGCTGGTCTTCCGACAAATTTGCGAAACGTGCAACGTGCGAGTTTTTTTCGGCTTTATTTTAGTTGCCTGTTGGATCAGGACCTAAAAGGTCGATGCCGATAGAAAAATTGGGCAGTTCTTCGCTGGTTTCTTCCATATTTCAAAGAGAAGGAAAACTGCTCTGCAGCTTAACAGGACGGAAACTCTGAAGCCAGGTAAAAAAAAAAATGCTCACGTCATCTTATTTACGCACGGGCGTGCGTTAATAAGGATTTTGTTCATAGCGGCTCAAAAGGACTAATATAGGGCAAGCACGCGCGTTATGTTATAATAGTGTAATTGCTGATAATTGCTCAGGTGCTGATAGAGATGCGCGCGATCTGATTGGTCGAGGATTGCGTCACATCTTTCATATGTTTAGTAGAGGCGCTAAATTTCAAAGTGGCTGCCTCACGTTTGGTCAATGTTTGCGAGGGAGTGATGAACGCAATAAAAGAAAATTCAATTACAAAGTGCAGCCACTGAGTTTGGCGGAATATTTTTCAAAAGAAAGTTACCGTATGAAGTTTTTGCAGATTTAAATGAAAAAACCTGTTAAAATCCTTGCTTAGCTAGTAACAAAATATGCGGAATGCTTTCTTCATTGACAGAATTTTCAACAGAATTCGAAAGCACTTGAGTAATTATGCTCAAACAATTATTCGCCTCAGGTTTAGCAAACATTATTGAATAGTTCCCTGGACTTCATCTCGGGCACAACATTCACTGAGCCTAATGCAAATAATAGTTAAAACAACCTAGTTGTCAATCTGTTAATCCCGGGAAAGGGAACAATCATGAGAGACTGAGACATGAATCCAACGAAATGGTGTTATAAGTTTTTTCTTTAATGAAAATGCAGAATATGTAAAGGTGAAGTGATAAAATCCGTTCGTAATGAAAATCTATTTATAAAGGTTCAGAAAATTAAACAAAAAACACAGGAAGCAGGAAGTTTTAGCATTTGACAGATCTGAGGAAAAAAAACGAACGAAAGTTCATATTTTTATTCCATGACGCAATTACAACTGAAACTTGACAGCCTAGAGACGAGTGCTAACGAGCATCTCTGAGTAGAATAAATTATCGACAAATAATAAATGAATTGGTACCCTCAAAAACTGTTTGACTTTTAACCCCACTCATATTCAATCGCCATTTTCTCTTAGGTCTGCGCAGACGAATAGTTTCGCAGTTTTTCTCACTGCCTTACGGATATCTCGCAAACGCCAACAATAAACCAAAGGATTGAGAGAAGAGTTTATAAAAACCAGTGTGGCAGTTATATCATACGCAAACCGAATTCCGAGCGTTAATCCAATCTGAGTTATTGCAGCCACAACGCACAAATATGGCAAGTAGCATACAATGATAAAACAATACACCCAGAACGTACTAAGCGCATGAGATGTAAAACTCGCCATGTTTATTGTCTGTTCTCTGGTCCTTCCCTGTTCCAAGAAACTTTTCAACGCCACCTCGTGATGATAGTGCCGTGAAACAACGCGATAAATTTGAAAATAACAGAACGTAGCGGCTGAAAAACAAACCAAAATTATTATGATCGCATTCCCTTTGACCATGTCGGGTTTATAAAGCCATAATGTACCAGAGAAAGCCCCGATAATCCAGATGTTTACCAAAACGAATATTACACGTTTGATTGTGATAAGTTCCTTGTATCTAAGGTGAAGGCGAAGAGCCAAATACCTGTCCAAGCTAACGGCTATTACAGTCAAAAGAGAAATGATGCATAAAGCGTTTGCCGTAACTTCTACTGTGATTCCAGCTTCGCAGAAAATGTTTTTGTTCTGGGTCACTTTGCCAAACATTTGCGAGAAAAACAGAGGATGAACAAGCACACCGACTCCAAGGTCAGACAGCGCGAGACCAGAGAGGAGTGTGTTGGACGGAGAATGAAGCGAGGGAGTCCTTCGAATGGCGACAAGAACCAATAAATTGGCGAGGCAAGCAGTGATGGAGAAGAGAGCGTTTAACACACAAATTAGTATGCACCAACCAAGATAGATGTCTGCAATTTCGAAGTCGATAGCGCTGAAGTGATAGCACGAAAACGTTTCGTAATCTTGGGTGATGTTTTCCGTTTTTTCCGAAGTATTGGTGTCTGTAACCCTTGGGTTTTTTGGCTCCATACTTCTTAAGTTGCCCGTCAAAGAACTTGTGTTAACAACGGGTCAATTCTCTTCTCATTAAGCGCTGATGCTGAATGGACGTGTGCTAATTTCAATGCGAGCTTTTATCTGGTATTCACTATCTAAAAGAACACAAAAGCGATTGTTGGCTAATCTCAATATTGGCAAACAAAATAAAGCCAGATGTTTATCGCATCGCCTTAAGTCGAATTGCTAGCGGTTTCAGTTGTTCGTTTTCCATATATCTGTTACAGTAACTATGCAACTAAAAGGTAACGTTAAAAATGCATTGTGTTTGTACCAAGTTTTATCCTTAAAGACAGTCTCCGTAAAGAGAGAATCGTAATGGAGGTGTAGCTAACGACAGTCGTTCATTATGCTATAAATGTGTCACCTTCGAAGCACGATGTAGACGAAAATTTTTAATTAGCTTCGGAAACTTGAAATATAAAGAAAAAACTTCAAAATGGTTACAGACAATCATCACTACAATGAGACTTACAAGTTGGAAGGTATTTTTTCGGCCTCCTCGAAAAAAATTAAAATTGTAATTAACAAAATTGATTCCATTTGTCGTTTACTTACCAACGTTAAATTGAATTAGATTAAATGTTTCTTTGAGTAAACAACGATAACGAGCTCTAAAAGCAGTTTAGTACTGGAGTATGATGTACCTTGGTTAGATTTAGCGCTTCAGGATGACTTTCAAAACAGAAAAGCAAGGCAGAAATTCACTATTCTATAAACAATGAGATATCTAAATTGAAACTGAAAAATCGAAGTTATCTGGTAAAAGAATCACGTTTTGACTTATGCTTAACGTCATTATCGACCAAAATGATTAAAAAGACTGTAGTCATGAACATGTGACGAAAATTATATCGCACATCTTGCATTTTAATGTATTATCATATAGAGAACAAGCTGCTCACTATTTAAATACTATTTCCAGACAGGTGCAAATAAGAGCCCGGGAATGAAATTGTTATGGGACCAGCACAATTTGCTCCCTATAAATTAGGGGACTAAATATAAAATCGCTCACTTTCCCTACCCAGTTCTTCCTCCAACCGTACCCGACTTTAAATCCTGTCTCCGGTCTGATGATGAACGAGGATTGGCATTCTATGCATCTCTCTCCTGTTCTCCGCATTTTCTTTTCCCACCCTCCCCACCCCCCTCCTCATCGTACCCCTCTCCCTCCCCCACTCCCTTTTTTCCCCAATGATGTCCTCCTCCTTTCTCAAGCTTCTCGGGTTGGCCTCTGTTTCGTTCAAATGTATCGAAAATACTCTTCGTGCGAACTTCGGGAAGGTCACAAATTTCTGTTTCATTTAGAATATCATTAACTAAGAGTCAGTACTAGTACCCCTGCTCACGTAGGGGGAGGATTGAATTTACTTTACAAAGACTTTACATGTCGAAGGAGAAATTCCTCTTAAAACGCGATGCCTAAGTTTGTGAAGAACCAAAGAGGCACTCAACGCTTTAAATGCTAAAGAGGTTTTACAGCCTGTTCGAGTCGTTTAGTTGGCAAACGGGGGACGGTATAGACGCACATTCTGTGTGGGTGAATTTCGAACTGTTCTGTTTTTGATTCTGCAATCGTTAAGTTGCCTTTTTTTCTGATCAGCCATTGAGATTATTTTGGTTCTGATTTTTTTCTATACCTAACCCTTTAACTCGCAGATCAAATTTGTTATTCTCCTTACTGTCAACCATACAATTCTTATAATGTTAGTTCAGAGAATCTAGTATTGGATCAACTAATTATCCCCAAATTGCTATTTTTCTTTATTCTCATCACTTATCTGGTTGATATTTTATTGATATTGTTAGGAGAAATTCTGTCTTGGTCACTCAAGTGAATTAAAGGGTTAATCAAAAAGTGTTCACCCAATAGATAAAATTTATTCTCCAGAAGCTATTAATTTTCATCTTTCAGTTTAATTGAAAAGTCTCGATGAAATTTTGACATGCACTTACCATGTTCAGGGTGCGAAGATTCCGCTAAGAACGCCGCCATTTTAAATGTGCTGCATGGCAACGAGGCCACTTTCCTTCACCTGCAAAGTGACACTCTTTTTTTCTCATCTAATAGCGATCTTTTGGAAAAGTTAAGACCTACACAAAAACCAACATAAGCCTCACTGTCATGAAAAATCTCCTCTCCGAAACTAGAGGGTGATTTAATAATGAGGGTTTGGGCTAGCTTAACGTTACTTCCTACCGTCAGAGGCCGAAAAAACAGATTTTTCTCTTATTTGACTAAACTGAATTCAAACATTTTGACCGAACGTTTCCATAAAAAAATTTCTGAAATCTTTAAAAGCACCCAAGTTATTTAGAAAAACGTAGTTTCAAATAAAATTTAATAAATCAGGAAGGTGTCATAATCTCGGACCTGAGCGAATTCCCGGGGGGAGATTTCGCGGCAACCGCTCATCTTGGGACTCGTTTTTTAATTTTTTTTGTTTACATCCCTATTCGAAAAAATTCACACGTAGAAGCTCTTTGCCCATGGAAATTAAAAAATCTTTGCTCATGGAAAATATTTGCTCATGGAAAAATTAAAAGGGGAAGAAAGTCCTTGGTAAAAAAAAAAAAAAAAAAAAAAAAAAAAAAAAAAAAAAAAAAAAAACAAGCCCAGAGGAGAAAGGAAAAGTACCATTCTGTCAAGAAAAGAAAACATTTCCTTTGTGAAAGCGACTGGTACTGGCGGAGCTCCACGCTGGCGTCCAGATTTCGAACAAAGGAGTCGCCGTCAAACCAAAATTTGCCCTACATAATTTTAAAAACGAGGTTTCCTTTCATTTACGCAAGTACCAGCCTTGCGACAAATCGTAATTTTGAAAGCTGTCTGTTGATCCTTTTTCTTGCTCCTTAGCGCGCTCCCCGGTTTTTCCATTTTTGCCGGCGGATTTTTCCTTTGGCAACTTTGCCCACTATGTCATCCTCCTTAAAGTTTCACTCAGCGATCGAGATAAAAAAAAAAACGTGTCTGCAATGGATTACTTTTCCCGGGAAATCTTGATCCTCCATCATTGATGCTAGGAGGTACTGTTGTCCCTTTGGTTTGCAGTTTCAGGAGGCGAGGTAATCTCCTGGCGCGGTGCGAGTTGTTTGCGAACCATTATGAGCTAAAATCTCGCATTTGATTTTGGGAGGAATACAACCACTTTTAGCAACTTTATAGGGTATCTAGATTTAACCTATTTTCGTCAAACATTCTAGGAGTAATTACAAACGAAGTGTGTGGGGAAATTTGAAATTTGATTTAAAATATTTGTCCGTGGTGTCCATTTACGCAACACGCCCGGCATAATTTTAGCTACTCCAACTTTAGATGCCGATATCTAGACAACCAATCAGAAAGCCGAAAAAGCCCGACAAAATTTGTTGATTGATGCCTTGTGAATAGGACTATGCAGCCATTTAGCTTGTGCTGCGGCATCTGATACACGATAACTTCAATAGAAGAACCCTTGGTACGTCGTTTCACGCCTCACCGGCTCTTGACTTATCCTTTAAGGAAAAATTGCTAAAATTACAATTTTTAAAACGTCGCTTAAATTATATTTTCATCATAAAGTACAATTAATAAGCTTTCTTTTGATGTATAGTTTGCTTGGATTTTAGTAAAATTAATGCGCGTACGAATTTTTTCTCGAAGGACATCCGCGAAGGTGGGAAGTAACCTTAATCAAATTCGAGCAAGTCATATGCACACTCGCATTATCCTGCCTAATAATCTGAAGCAGACATCCGCTCTTGTATGGCGGAGAAATTACACCTTATATAAACAGATCTGTCTCTGAACTGGCGATTGAAAATTGAAATTGCTTTGAAATCTTAAACCGCACGAAAAAAATTATGCTTACCTCCAAATGGAAACCCTTCATATGATAATTCTCAATATATGTCACTTATCGTTTCAGCTGGGTGATTGCAATTTTAAATTTTGAAAAACTAAAGGCCTTTGTTTGATCAGGTTTGTATGCTACAGCTATTCCCAGCCATAAAAAATTCTTTAAATAGAATGCTTTCTCTGCCATTGTTCTTCGGATAATTTTTATTGTATTCGCGCGCAGTTTTCAGTTTACCTATCAGTTTATCAATCAAGGTCTTTTTCAATATGAAAGTCAGTTTGCATTGAAACAACTTTTAGATTTCAGCATCCATTTTTTTTGAAGAGGAGCGTATTTCATCTTTTTCTCTGCAAACCAAGTCTTGGAGCGTTTTAAAATGTCCTAGAGCATATGAAATGGCGAGGACGAGGTAACTACAAATGTCTTTAAAATATAAGAGTGGATGAACTGATTTAGGAACAACGCGAAAACACACGAACACGCCATGATGCGGCTAAGATATCGATTTATTGAGTTTAAATGTAAATTACTTATTACATATATTTACATCAGTAATAATTTTTATTCTAGAAATGCCATATACGTTCCTCACTCTCTCTTCTAAAGAAGCTCGCTTCCAAGGAAATTTTCTTTATCAGTTCAGTTTTAATTTCTTCATTGAGCAATGCATGTTTACTCCGTCAATCAAACTTGTTTTGCAATTCCTTTGATAACTTCTTTAACTCTGAAAATTATTATGAATTTTTAGATCTTGTTACAATGGTAGTATCCCTTCTAAACCACTACCTTTTTTACTTATCGGACATTGTTATTCATAAAAAAAATGTAGCTGCATCAAGTGCGAGCAGAACAAGCTCGGGAAATTGAATATCAAAGTAAACAAAACATAGACACATTACGAATCTGCGTAGTTAACTAATAGATATTCTCGCGTGACATCCGGCTGTTTTTTCACTCTACTATTATCACTATTACCATCATCACCATCATCATCATCATTATTATTATTATTATTGTTATTATTACTATTTTAATTTTTATACTACCTTTCAGCAGGCTAAGTTCCATCTAACACTTCATCTCGGCCTGGATATTGACCATTAATAAAAGTGTTACTGTTCCCGACCAATGAGAAACAGGTGAAACCTGACACGAGTAGCGCTCGGTTACTTTTAAAATCACTCATGCTCTTATTATATACTTGTTTCTTTTTTTTTCTTCTTTTGTTTAATATTTTTGTTTTTGAATAACCAGATGAGATTTCTCTGCTCTTTGGCAAACCCCTCCTGCTTTGTTCCTCCATATATGTTTAAGCACTCATAATACATATTCTATCTCTATAATAAAAAACTCTTTCTTTGATGCAAGACTTTGCCTACAATGTGTTCAGTTAACTAACATTCTTCTGGCATAAAAATGAGTGTACAGATATCAGGAACATGATCTTGAAGTAATCGAAATATGTCCACTGTGTGCGCTAATATTGATAACTATAACTTGAACGACTCGAGATAATTCTGAATTGGAACACGAGCGTATTTTTGTACATCCCACTTACCACATTTTCTGCTGTGGTTTTTGTTTTCCATGACATAAGGAGAAACTCAGGTAACTTGTCGCTGAAACGACGTCAATTTTTTTTTATTGCTCTGGCAACTTCTCCACAAAATAGTACAAAATTATAGCCTGGTGCTTCTCACTTTCTGCTTTCCAACTGACTTAGATCGCTCTCATTGCGCAACTTGAATAAATAACAATTCACTCATGTGGGTACAATTCTAAGGTGCCATCGTTGTTTCTTCTCCCCTAAATTTGGCGGGGACCATCAGTTTTGCAGTTTTTCTGACTGCATTACGAACATCTCCTAAACGCCAACAGTACACTAGCGGGTTGAGTGAGGAGTTTATGAAAACCCCCACTGCAGTCATATCATAAGCAAACCGTTTTGGAACTGATGGTCCCGTCACTGTTATAACGACCACGACGCAGAAATACGGCAAATAACACAGCATAATCAAACAATAGACCAAAAAGGTGCTGAGGGTGTGCGATTTGAATCTCGCCATGTTCATTGCCTCGCAGTTTTGATCTACAGAACATTTTATGGTCAATTCTGAGTGTATAGCGCGCGTGACAGCGCGATAAATTTGAAAATAAGAAACTATTGCAGCCATAAGGCAAAGTTGAATTATTACGATAACATTCCAATTTACTAGGTTAGGTTTGTAGAGCCACAGTGTACCAGAGTGTGCCCCGATAATCCAGATGATTACTAAAACGACGATTGCACGTTTGATTGTAATGAGTTCCTTATATCTGAGATGAAGGCGAAGAGCCAAATATCTATCAAGGCTAACAGCAGTTACAGTTAAAAGAGAAATTATACAAAGGGCGTTAGCAATCACTTCAATCGCGATTCCTGCTTCGCAGAAAACGCCTTCGTTCTTCGTGATTTTCCCAAGTATTAGCATAAGGAACAGAGGATGAACAAGCAGACCGACTCCCAGATCAGCGAGCGCCAAACCAAATAAAAGCGTGTTAGACGGAGAATGAAGCGAAGGAGTCCGTAGGATGGCAACAAGAACTAATATGTTAGCGAACGAGGCGGTGAGGGCAAATAACACAGTCAGCACACAACTGAGAATATACCAGCCAAGCGAGAAATCTGCATAAGTAAAGTCGATGGTGATGAAATGATAACATGAGAAAGATTCATTTTTCATGGCTGCCGTTCCTTCCATGGTTATACCTGCAATGTCTGTTGTTTGTGCATTCACCTTCTCATGAATCTCCCGAATGATCTTTGTTTCAAGGGCTTAAAACTCCTTTTTTCACAATTATCCAGATGCTCCTTTTCAACTGCGACAAGCTTTTGGACAGTTGTTGTCAGTTACTCTTTCAAAAGTTACGATTTAGCGAGGTACACTTTTCATAGCCTCGATTTTCGTTCAGGTCGCTGGTTCACTATAGCCAAATCTAAGTAAGAAAACACTTATGTTACTTGGGAACAACTCGTAACAGAATCCTTTGACAGTGAGTTAAACAAATATCCATTTCAAGAGGAGACACCGCTAAACTAATGTACCTTATAGAAACCAACATGTATATATGAATTCACACCTATATAAGGTCACGTATGGCTGCTCCAAACTCCCAGCAGCTTGTTATTGGCTATTTGGATAAACACTACTCAGACGTGGACCGGGAACAATCACAATTTTAGCTTTACGTCCACTGTTTTTGAGTCTCCCGGTTTATTAATCACGCAAAATGATTTTCATGACTTAGAGTTCGTTTATTTCTTCAAATTATAATACTAATTGAGGTTATCTCCTGTGATCTTGAGTTGTCAAAAGAAAAAATAATAAAACTTCCAAGTTAGACCGAACATTAAAGCATATCGAGGATGTGCAGATATTAAAATCTATTATCACACTTTCTCATTAAGTATTTGGAAAGGAAATGAAATTTTATTTCGCAAACGCTCTCAAAATTGGCTTCTTAAGCCTTGAAAAATGTTGATCGTTCTTCTTGCTGTGACAGTTTCAACCATCCTAACAAAATAGCTCACGAACGATAAACTAAGCCTCAGGCGATGTTACAGGTTTGAGAATAATTCAAACATTTTTTTTTCAACCGATTCACTTGGAAGACAAAACCTTTTACATAATTAAGGTGAAAGATAATTTCGTTCATTAGGAGAAGTGCAGTTTTTTCATTGTAGGGTTGATAATCGCGGCCGATATTCAGTTTCGCACAATCTCTACCTTAGATTATCAGTAAATGTTTTGTATACGAACACGTATTTTTAAATGCGTCATTGGACGACGTCTGAAGGTTGCAACGTGGTAATTACTTTTTTCAATCTGAATTTTAATGGCATCAATATAAAACCAGTAATTTTTATTTTCCTGTCTTAGTACACCATCATTTGCTATATTATTCCTCGAGCGATTAGGAGATTACGGTTAGGCTTGATGCAAATCACAAGATAGTACATGGGGAAAAACATTGCCAATGAACATTGTCATTTGTCTGTTTATGTCAATAAGCTTCAATCTACGTGAAAATAACATCTGTTTAGGTAGGTTGCTCATTCATATTCATTTGGGAAGTTAAACCTGAAAAAAACGACTTCTCTTTTTCTGCATCATGGAAGATCTAAGTTTCCTATTTCCATTTCGTTATCAGCAATCAGTGTAAACAGTAATAATGATAAGAATCATTAAAACTTCTATAATCATGTAAGTATGGTCAAATGCGTCTTACAGGAAAAAAAAAAATTGGAAAAGTTTCCACAAACAGTTAACTTATGTTAAACTACAGAGGTAGAACACTCTCTATCCATTCCAATCCCTGTCTTCTTGTGGTATCCTACACTCAGTGCGGTTTGACCACTCTCACAAGATATCAAAATGTCAGTCAGTCTCAACTTGATCGCCTTAAAATACAAGTCACAATATTGCAGCTATCCTGAAGGAGCTTCGTCACGTTCAATTTTTCAAGATTGTTATTTACATATTCACATTAACCTTCTCCACTCCAAGCTGTAATTGTACCATTACAGTTCATTCTTACCTGTGCGTTTTTTTTAATTTCCTAGCAAACCATGTTTTCGCCGTTTTTCATTATGGTGCCTAAGACTAAATTAAGACATGGACTGATGTTTTCTCTGCGTGATGTGTTAGTAGCTGAGAATCGCTCTTTGGCGCGGAGACAAACCTTTAATTAATGAAATGAAAACGTTTAGTATTGCCCTTTACAGGTGGAGATATTGTAGTCTTAAGCATCTATTACTAACATCCTGCGGACATATTCAAAATCCGCACTGAGCTTGGCTCAGAAAATATGTAAACTTCGTGCACCACTAGCACGTTCGACGAAAACTGACATTGCTCTTGAATCCTGAAGTTGAAGAGTTCTTTTATAATTTTTGCGGTCAATATACAATGCACATTTTTTTCCCGTTGTTTGTCGTTTCTCATACAAGCAGTTTGTTATAAATTTTTTGCAGAATTTCCTACGGAGCGATGAACGATTGACGATGAACTTATCATCTCAAGATGGCAAACGTTTACCTTTGAAAATTTTTAAGCAAAGGATAAGTTATTTCTTGCAGGATGCTATAAGCCTATAATATTTTACGTGTTTTAGGTGAGTTAATTAACTAAAAATTTGCGTTTTCTTCCTCTTTATCAAACAACTTTTCATGCTTAAATAGATCTACGTGAGGGTGTATCCTATTTTTTCAATTTTGTGGTTCTAATCCTCCAAAACCTTCTCCGCCCTTAACTGACATTTTAATTCTAAATTTCTCTCTTTTCGTATGTTTATATTTTGTGGTTTCCTGTAAATCAAAGGGAATTAACGTAACGAGGTCTTTTAAAATTCTCTTTACCATCCAATACCCTTACACCAATACAAAATCACGATCAAGTTAAACTCGTGTTTAAAAGGAACTGACTCTAAGTTTTACTACGAAACCTTTTCACGTAACCAGAACGTCTTTCTCAATTATGTAATTATATACTAACTCTGACTGTCTCGTGAGGAACTCACTGATTAAGTTCAATAGCTACCATCCTCGTCACGTTTTGTAAAAACACCCACTCCCCTCTCAATGTTGAGTTTTCTTCGGGCAGTCCAATTTTCTCGTTACCAACATTGACAAGGAAGTAGGAGTGACAATATTGGTTTGGCAGGTTGGGGAAAGGGTTATGAAATATTTAAAATGGAACGATGGAAAACGAAGGCGAAATTCTTTGTTTGTGGGCCGATACGGTTTCCGTCAAACATGTGGGATAATAAGTTATTTCAAGTTTTGAGTTAGACAACAAGTTTTGGTTAGACCGAACTAAATTACCTTGGATATACAATATCTTCATTAAATAGTTCGCCTGATCTCCACAGCTTACCAATGTATGTAAGACTTAGGGGACACAACGGAAGAAATATTAAAAAGCTCGACTTCATAATCGGATCATCGTCACTCAAGCTGTTGGTCCTAATACTCAGTCCCCGAGAGATGATTGAGCCTTTTTGAAATTCCATCAATCCCACCACCTCCGGCCGCATCAAATCTAACTGAAGCGAAATTCTTATATTGCAGGACCTAGAAAGAGCGCATGCGCCAGGAAACAACTGCGGTGAGTCCTGCGGTGAGGGCTGGAGCTCCTTCAGATTACCTACTATTAAGCGGAAATTGAGGTTGGAGAAAAAGTCAGCTTTTAATTGACCACAAATGCCGCAAACAGAGACATGCAACCGGATGAAAAACAGTGCTGATGAAGAAGTGACCGAATTCGACTTCAGTCGCGATTAAGAAATCTTCATAGCTTTAAGACGAAATGCAAGACTGTTTACCTAAATAATCACAGAATTGGCCAAGCCGCACTTTAGTTCTGCGTCAGTGGGAGAGTATATAACAAGGTAATTTGGCATTATCAACTTAACTGATTACGCAAGTTGGTCACCGTTAAGAATATCAGATCAAAGCTGACGTCGTCAGAGCAGAGGGCTGATGCTCGAAACTTCAGCTTTGAAACTCTTAACGGTGGCCAGTTTACGTTATCAACTATATTGTTAACATATTGTTGTAAGTTTTTAATTATTAAAAAGGCAAATTGATGATGATAATAAAGAAAGTTACGCGGGTGAAGTCCTTAGGAAGATGGCAATTAAGAGAAATAGCAAACTACTCGAGATATAGAGTAGATTTTTTTCACGGGCGATACATTCCGATTTGGCCGTTCTGTTTGTTTAAATAAGTGATTCGTTTTCTTGAATAGAGCCAGGAGTAGGAGATCAGCTGCCTCTTGAAAATCGCCAGCATCTGTTTTAGCTGACAGATATGTTCACTAGTGCTGCATACAAGGCACAGAAATGAAATGGCTGCATTACGGCGCATTTTGTTGCTCACCTGAGCTGACGGAAGTGTAACTTTTCAACATTGATAGTAACTAGAAATGCAAGTATCTTTGTTTACTCAGGTCAGTCAACTACACTTTTGTAGCGTTTTTACGTCTGACTGAACTTTTGCCCCTACGAAACCTGGTCAAGTCTTTACTTTTCTACTTGAGAGGGGACATTATTGCTATGTAAGTTTCTCTTCTAGTTGAAACATGACCTTGCGGTGGACTGGAACACATTGGTCTTAGCCAGGAGTGGTCTCGGAGGAAAATGCTCATTGCTGCGAGATGGCGGATAGAATAAATAGTGGAGGCGAGATTCGGGATTAGAATAGTCTATTGAGGACCCTCAAGGTCGAGAGAACTCGGTTTCAACAATTTTAACGAATATTACGGATACACTTACCTGCTTTCGTTTAAGCCAATATTTTCACGTAAAGAGACTTTCACTACATTATATTTAGCGCAGAGATGTAAAATATATATAAATGTAGATAGGATGAACAGGATGTCGCTTTCTTATCGACAGAGCGTAATTTTGCTATTGACTCTCAGTTTGAGGCCGGAATACACACTTCTGGAACGAAATATTAGATAAAAAACGAAAAACCTCAAATTCATTATTCACGGGATCTTGACAAAGATTACGACAACGATTACCAGCTGAGTGAGGGGCGGAGAAATTTTGGTGACGGGGTTTTGACCGTAAAATAATATTATCAAGGCCAAACTTCCTCGTTTCCTATGGCAACTGAATCTCAAGAGCTGTGCGTTACCAATTGTTAAACGTGAAACCCCGTTTCCCCTGGAAACGGAGCCAGTTTCCCGTGAAAGCAACACGATTTTAACCTCAAAAAATCGTCCTCAAACTTCCCGCCTCGCTCAACTAAAGTCGACGTAACATCCATTATGCATGATGAGTTGTTCTAAACCTGATTTCTATTAAGAGACGGTTCCTTAAATCAAATTACAACTTTTGAATTTGTATATTTGCGATTTGATTGTATTTACACGAATGTGTGGTTTTAATTAAATTTTTCAAGGGAAACTTCCAGATGTACTTGTATCCTTTTTCATTTCCCACTGATTGTAATCAGCTTGAGGTAAAAAAAAGAGAAAAACTCCGACTCAACAGGAAAACTGCGTGAGCAGTAGTAATAGGATAAGTTAATTTTGGCTGATGACATCGTTTTGAATGAATTTTGATCAGGATTTTCATATCTTGTGGTGTTTTGCACCTGTTTCTATAACAAGGCCCAAGGATGTTATCAACTTAATAAGCTTGACTTGAATATGTAAAGCATGAAGAGGACTTGAAAATTCTATTAGGAAGGCCTCTAACTTTTTCAGGTTGTCACAGGAGCTAAATTGTGGATATAGACAGGGCCGGAATGTAAAGTAATGGTCAACTGGCATAAACTGAAGATCATGGATCCACTTTAATGATGAAGCACAAACTGCGAGCGACTGGATGCTATCTTCAGTCAAATGGACAATAACTTACTCGGCTTTAAATTGGCAAATTACAATTTTAGAATTGGTATATGTATATAAATATATATAGACATATAGTTTAAGAGTGAAACGATCTATAATTTAAAATAGGATTAAAGTAAAACTTGTTAGATAGCAGCAATATAGTATTTTCAGCTAAAAATCATGTTTTACCCATTTTTAAACCTCACCGCTTCGAAAGCAGTCAGTGACTGTAAATGTACTAAAGTTAAAATAATTCGGGATTATAGAGATTTCCTGGTCTCAAACTGGTCAAAAGGTTGTTATCTTCTCGTTTAGATTGCAAAGGTCTTTGACTCCTTCAAACGCAATTTCAATTTAAGCTCGGCTCATCCAAAGTAAATCTTCAAATCTTTCACCATCCACTGTTGGTGATCACCATGCGCTAAAAGCTCACAAATGTCTTTTCCTATAGAATGCGTCGACCAATCATGGCGGTCGTTACAATCGGAATGCCCCAAGAAATTTATTTAAACCAATAGCGTTCTCTTGAAAATCTTGACTCAGAAGTTGTCTGTCTTACTAGCCCTCGTCATTGGCTCGACGTAGGTAAAGGAAGAGACGTTTGCTCCGGAAGCTTTTCCACGCGTTAATAGATGTAATGTAGCCCGGAGGAACATCCTGAATAAGAAACCCCACGTAGCACTGGGATGTGCAAATTCATTAGTACATGTTAATCTCCAGAACAATTTTCAATTGAGTGTCGAAGAAAATTTGGTTTGCGTTTGTTTTGCTCTCTAAGTTCTGTAAGTACAATTTAAAAAGTCGCGCCATCCTTGAAACCATTCAGAAGTCGCTTTTCCTAAGATTAGTCCGTGTTCTTACTCTTAGTTTTCATTTGTTCCCTTGCAATTTTCTGGATGACCAGTTTGATATGATTTCAGTTTTGCCACAATCTGTCTCTAAACGCAGTACTATGTTACATTCGCACCACATCCATGCAAACGAAAATTGCTCTCTTTGTTGTTGCTCAATGTTTGCTGATCCTTTCAGTGGCAATACAGGTGCGCTTGTCTCAGAGACTAACTTAAGTTCTCTTGAAAAATTTCCAACGGGAGCAAACTGAAATAAAATTCAGGGTTTCATTATATGTGAATAGGCTTTAGTTTGCAACAACGAAAGTGATAAAGATCATGCATAAGTTTCAGATATCCGCTAGTACTGTCAAATCTCATTTCATTTGTTTGTATAAATTTCCTTAGGTTTCTTAAGTAACGGGAGCATCTTCCTCAAGAATTATCAGATAATATGTGCACATGGTGCATTCAGACCATCTTAATATCACCAAGGCTGCTTTCGCTCAGAGATTGGTTCTATGCCATGTTTTGTTTTTTGTATACACAGGTGATGCAGTTTGACATGACATAGAAAAATATGCAAAAAAGGAAGGGAAATTCAGAAGTGCGATGGGACAATGGGATGCCATCTGATACAAAGCATTTTGAATAAACATCTGTTATCGTTGAGCAAACATCTTCTCTTCAGCTCACTCTTAATTAAAACTTATGTGATGTTTGGAATCGCTAGAGCCATAGATTTTATCTAAGGGACACGTAACATCAAAGACTTTCTTTATGCAACTCTAACCCTCATCCTTATCAATTTTTTGTTTAAATTCATCTGTTATTAAGTATTATCTTGTTTGAAATCGGTAATTATGGAATTTTTGCCCAATATTACCCTAAACTTGTCAGACGATGCTGTGGGAAAGATTTGCTTCAACATGAACGCAGCTTACTTCAAAATTGGCGACTTCCTGAACTGGTATATCGCAAATTGTGTCGTGGGAACTCTCTTGGCAATCGCTTCCACCTTGGAGAACTTTTGCATCCTACTAACCATTTGGAAAACATCTATTCTAAATACGCCTTCGTATGTTATACTTTTTAGCCTAGCGCTTTCAGACCTTGGGGTCGGTTTATTAAGCCAGCCACTGGCTGTCATCAACTCTGTAGCCAAAATACAAGGACGTATCGGCATGGCTTGTGTTTCTGGAGCTGCTGTTGCTGCCTTGTCCACTTATTTATGCGGTGTTTCTTTGTTATGTGTCACTGCAGTGTCTATCGACCGATATCTGTCACTTTATCTTCACCTAAGATATAAACAGTTAGTGACAAAAGTCCGCGTCCTTCTTCTTGTCGTTCTTATATGGCTGCTCGCAGCACTTGCTCTTATTGCATGGCCGTGGTATCCTTTCATTATAACCCCCATTGCGATAGCTGTTGGTTCACTCTGTATCCTCACCACATCCGGCTGCTTTTTTCGAATCTATCTTGTCTTGCGGTATCACTGCTCGAAAATGCATCATAATATCCGACCTTCGATTGAACAGACCACGTCAAACACACAAGATTCGGCGGTGCACTTTAGGAGGTCAGTAACAGGAATATTCTTGGTTTATATCATCCTTCTCTTCTGTTATCTACCGTACCTGTGCATAGTTTCTGTGATTGCAGTGCAAGGCACAAACACAACTAACCGGCTTTTGTTTGAATTAGCAAGAACCCTAGTCTATGCCAATTCTACCATCAATCCCTTTATATACTGTTGGCGCCTCCAGGACTTGAGAAGAGCCATCAGATTACGTTTTCCTTGCGTTTAATCAGCGGATTTTTGCTCTCTAGTCAGTAGGTATGAAAAGGAAGTATGGATTTAGATCAATTTACACGGCTATGTAAAAAAAATTCAGAGGACTACAGACTATATTGCACTATGTATTAACAGACTACAGAATTTGTTGTACTTTGTATTACCAGAATATATTTTTGCCTCAGTAGGTCAACTTTGAGCAATGTACAGGTTAAGGATTGATATACAAGACTTTAAGCAATTTCTAAGTTAAAACAGAATTAAAGTTTAACTTGTTAAATGAGAACAACGTAATCTCCAGCCAAAATATACATATAGGCCGGAGTGATTCCTACTATTAACCGCACCTAGTCTCAAGAGTGCAAGCGCCTGTATTGAGTCACACGGACCATTGATCACAGAGGCCTTTTTCAGTAGAAAATCATCATTTTGCTGAGTGTACGGTAAACGTTAGCCTTAGCTGGAAAAAATCGACCATCTAAGATTTGCAGGTAAAACTTCTCTGAATAAACACCAATGCGTCGTGTTCGTCGGTTTTGAATGTTTTCTTAATTCACAGGATGGTATTGGATGTTTGACCTATGAGAGAATCTTGATAAGTATCCCAGTTTAGTGCTTTATTAGTTCTTGAATGTCGAAAGGACCTCTCTTCCCATCCTAATTACTGTCTGTGTATGAGTGAAGTTGAATCTTTTCCTGCGTTTTCACACTAGCAGAAGCAAAATTGAATAAATGAATGAATGAATAAATAAATAAATAAATATAAATACTTTTCTCCCAGATTGGCTGCAGCTAAACCTGAGCAAACTTGATTTTTGTTCTCACGAGATATTTTCATTCGAAATATTTTTAACAGGGTACGTTGTCCAGAAGTTCTTGTCTCACTGCAGTCAGTTGGTAAATATTTTCAGTCTTGACCTATTTGACCTAATAATAGTATTCGTTTTTTTTTTTCTGGACTTTATAGAATTAGTAATTAAGTGACAGAGGTTGATGTATTTTTGCTATTTGTATTAAAGCCATGCCAAATCAATGTTTTTGCTGCTGCATAGAGCATTAATACTTTTATTGTTGCTTTTATAGTTTCACAACTTGTTGCGTGTTGTTCCAGAAGTGTGACTTGTATACCAAGTAGTTTCCAGTTTACTAATGAAAAAAGGTGTTACAATTGGTTGGTCTGTCAGTCTCCGAGAACGAACTGTTTGCACTTATTGTAAATTGTCATGACACAATTACCTTTTAACTGTATTTTTGTGAACTCTCTATAGTTTATCTTTGATATATTTGACAGAATTAAACCTCATAGCTTTTATGATGCTCACGTTAGTTTGTTTTGGCCAAGCAACGTACGAACGACAATGGAATTTTGACGAGAAAAATATTTTGACAATGTTTACTAGGTCAAAGGAAATTATGCTAACCATGAAATTACTTGACAGGGGGACAATTGTTTAACTCTTTCAGTTCATTTATTCTACTTCACAGATAACCGCAGAAAATTGATAAAAATCCCGTCTATCGTTACCCAATTGGGATTCTACAACCCGGCGTTTACAGGAGTCTGAGTACTAGGGCTCAGTCTCTCGTCAGCTGTGCATACAAACAAATTGCCACGCACAAGGAGCGAGGGAGGGCTACTGATCAACCTGTGTTTTGCTGAGATTTCAAGTGTTTTTCCTGTACTTGTTCCCATTTGAACATCAGTTGGCTCTAATGGAATGACTCTAGCGAGGAGTGAGAGAGAGTGGACCATTCTAGTAAACGAAGTAAGTGATTTTCAGAGCAAATCAGCTGATCTATGAAAATATCAGTTAGCAACGTATCGTTCGGCATAATAACTTAGTTTTTATTTTTTACTTCTTCTGTTGTAAGAAACAGAGAAACATAACCTCTTTACCTGAGGTACCTATTCATACGTTTCATTTGCTTAAATTTTTAGTGTAGTAAGTCAATTCCTCCGTAAAGATCATGAATTTGCTGGAGGGGCCACAAGAATTACCATCTTCTCAAATAATTTATGAATGCTACAACAATCGATCGACTCCATGTTGTTGAGCGAACACATTTTTCTTTGTCACGTTTTATATTTGGAAAGCTCATAGGTGTACAGAGTCTTAAAGGAACAAGCATGTTTTTTTTAACTACTATGCGCCTCGTTACTCGTTATTTACATTTGTTTTGATTCAGGATGTGAAAGACAATGGATTTAATTGTTTATATCTACAGCTGTCTATGGTTAAAAAATTTTGTAGAATACAAACTATAGTTTGTGAAATTTATAAACTTACTTTTGCTGCAAGGGTGTTCCAGTTTTTATCTACACCCTGTTGAATACAATACATGTAGAAATCCAAACCTCTAATGTGAGGTCAATTTTACCTTCAAAAACTAAATCAGGAGTGTTACTGTTGTTGCTATTACTTTTGGTGCCTATGAAAAAACTGCTTAAAAGCTTCAAATTTTAACTTTACAAAGAAACAATCTAAACTCCCTATAGAAAACCCATCATTCTGATGAAAGAGGGTTGCATGTAAAGTAGAATCCACCCTGATCCCTTCATACAATACTCTTCAAAAGAAAGTTGACAGTCTGTACTCAAAACTTGATCCTCAAGTTTCGAGTTGAGTATCGAGAATCGAGGATCAAGAAATGAAAATATCTTGATTATATCATAGAAAATATCATTGAGTATTGAGAATTGAGAATCGAGGAGCAAGATGTGCCAAGAACTTTTTGAGACTTAACTCAATTGGCAGTTTTGAGGAAATAATTCAGTTCTCACACTCAGTTTAATGTAAAACAGTAAACTGCTCTGTAGTTATTGCTTTTAGATTCGTTTGTTTTCAAAACATCATTTTGTCTAGCAATATACTGTCAGTCTATTAAAAAAGATGATTGTTTTAAATTCTTTATGACATGTTACACATAAACAAAAGCCTTTGTCATACCTGTGGCCATTTCAAAGGGTGTCTACTTTAAGAGCTTTATCTGTGCATACTTCACATGCAGGTGTATATCTCTTATTAATAAAGGGACATTTAAACCTGTACAGTTGACTTCTTGTAACAAGAATCCTCACTAACTTGACTGTGAGTTACATGTAACTCAAACCAAAGTTGATTTTCCTTAGTTTTCTGTTATAAATTGATGTTGATTAAAACCCTTGATACATGTAGTTCAGTCCTTTGATAACTCAAACCTCCCACTAACTGACAGGAACTCTTATTCCCCTTTAGATTTTATTCTTCACAAATTTATCCTCATTTAATAACTAGAACATGTTTACAGTCAGTGATAAGGCAAAAGACAGGTTAAAACAAAGTACATCATGGGCCAAAACTTTGGACCTATTTTGATCCATTGCACTAAACAGCCTGACAGTCTAGTTAAGTTTTGTTAATCTAACTCCAACTTGATTTAACTTGTGTTTTTGTAAAACTGGTAAAATGCTGATACAGGTATATTGCATCTCCACTAATGGTTACTCCATACTGTTGAGCACTGCCTGAGCAGAAATAAAGTAACATTTCCCCCTTTTTAGGAAATTTTTTCCCTCAGCTCCCCAGTATTGTTTCAAACTCCCAAAAAACTCAAACCTTGTTCAATACCTCTGAGTTATCAGTTGTTGAATATACTGAGAGGTGCAAAACATTGTGTTTTAACATGTAGTATAACATCTTTATTATACTAATGGTACAGCTCATTTTTGATTGATTTCTTCTTTTTTTAATGTCAGTTTAACATTTGTAAGAAGAAGTTGAATAGTAAAAGGGAGGCTTTAAAGATCCTAACAAGTGACTTAGAACTTTGTCAGAGGGAAAGGGACATTTACAAAACAAAGATCAAGCAACTGGTAAGATGTATGTGGGGTCAAAAGTCTTACAAATTATTCTGTACATAGCAGTCCTATGTGATTGCTAACTTCTTCAAAAGTGTCTCAGGAAATCTACCTTGTGAAAATTGAATGTAACAGATAAGTTGTTTACAGAATGTGCACAGATCATTAAAGTAACAATAAAACTAATAATAACAATTACTTTATTTTTTGTTACAAAAATGGATTAGCTGGTACAACAAAGTAAAAGCTAATAATTACAAAGTTGTGTTGCAATAATTGATTAATATCCAAATGATATGATAGATTTGAATATGGAAAGCTATTATAAAGAATTTTCTTAGAAAGTCTAGGTTACTGTCAAGTGTTTAGTTACAAGTACAAGATGTGATCCTATTTTGTTTTGTTTTTGTTTTTGTATTGGTATTTGATATTCCTCTTCGTAATTGCCTAGCTCAAAGAGGTTGAGGATTACAAACGCAAGGAGAAAGAGGAACAAGCTCAGAAATCGAATCAGTCAACACCAGTTAAGAAAGTAAGGGAATTATCTCTACTGTGTTATTGATCTCAACACACCATGGATCAGATCAAAAATTATATCACATCCTACATTGTACCATTATCATTCTGTGTGAGCTGATCATACTGTTTAAATAATTTTTTTCAAAATAATCACCACACTTTTTTTGAAAATTTATTTTAAAGTTTCCAAGCAAAAATAAAATAAAACAGAATGTAGTTTCTCTGATAATCAACTATCCTACTCTTACCAGGTTAAATATTTTCTAATCACAGTACAGTCTATATGAAGGTCACATGTAGAGTTAAAGTGGTTTATACATTGCACTAACTTGTTTGAATTTTTTGTTTAAAATTTTTATAAATCAGTGCTGTTTTATATGGTCCCTTTCTCTTGTTCACATGTACATCATTACAATCTGAAACAGAAGAAAAAATAGTGAAAACTGTATTGTACATTTTATGACACTTCTTTAACTATATCACCAGGTGGACTATAACTACAGCTTTGGTATCATTGTTTGAAGTTAAAACCTCAACTCATAGCATACAGTAGCAACCTCTTCTCTATACAAGTTATATGTACATGTATGTATGAGATCCTGACTCCTTTCATTTCAATTTTTTGTAGAGACTGTCTTTCTCTGGTCAAAGTGTTTGGGAGCAAGAACTTAGACATGTGCGAGAGAGAAAACAGAAGGTTGGCTTGATATCTTTTTCTCATCACTGTAATATGCAAAAGGAAAAACTCATTTCCATGGAAATGTACATTCAGGGCCTGAAATTGTGCCTAATAAAGGCACCAATGTGACTAAATTTTTCACTTTGGCAACCAAATCCTGAAAATTAGTTGCCAAATTGGCAACTGGAATGCTTCATCATAACCTTACATGGAGATATAGTAAATTAAAAAGATTTTCAAAGATAAATCTGTGGCAAACTTCTTTGTTAAGTTTGTTTCCAAAACGCAGCACATGCATATCGATCAATAACTAGATGCCATCTTGGATTTAGGTGAGCTTCAACATTGTATTTCATCACTTTGTAGCATGTTAAAGATCTTTTTCCTAACTTAATTTTAGAAGGTCTATCTAGAAATGGTGACCAACTTTTTTAAAATTGGCTATTACTTTGAAAAATGTAGGAGCCAAATGGCTATCAAAAAAGGTTAATTTCATGCCCTGACATTGCACATGTAATTGCTTGGACTCAAAGTATCTCCTTCAGAATTACCCCCCCCCTCCCTTGTTTGTGTTACATATATGGAAAGAAGATGAAATCTAAATTTTATGTAGGGGGTATTAGTCATTTCATTTGATATCAGTCAATATACAAGACTGTGAGTTGCTTTGTGTAAGATACTTACATACATGTTTTTAGCATTGAGTTCAATTTTCTTTGATGTGACAGACACTATCTCAGCTGTTGTGTGAATCACGTGGAGAGAATAAAGCTCTGAAGAAGGATTTTGCAGATTTGCGTCAACTTTACAATGATGCACAGGAAGACATCCAGCTCCTGCGGGAAACTCTAGCCAACCAAAGAAAATCCAATAACAATATTAAGGATTGCAAAGATGGGATGGATCCACGCCAGGATCTCATTTGTCAACTGGAGAAGAGTCAAGAAAAGGTCAGATGAGTATATTTGACTGTAAACTTATTTTCACTATTTATGTCAGGGAGATATGTTGGAGAAAGAGGTCCAGATGCACAAGATGACAAATCAATGTGAAATGCTGTGTGGACAAGCTGTTGCAATAATTTGCATCCAGTAAGACAGGAACTCACAGAAGCATATTGTGGAGACCTATTGCTGCACCACTAAAGTTAAGCATTAAAATGCTCGGTGTGCTGAAGTCTGGATCTTATGATTACCTTACAAGCCCTAGCCAGTGTATTGTGTCATATATTGGGCAAGACACTTTGCTTTCCTTACTGCCAACAGCCCCTCTTTACTATGAGGTATAAATTGGGTTGAAGAGGGAAGTAGTAGCAATAATCTGAAGAGATCCATCTAATCTATTGTGACCATAAGAGTCAGTCCTACATGAAGAATTATCTTAAGCTTGCTTAAAATGGCAGATCAGTCATAGCAATAGGCTTCTCATGGCTAATATAGACTATGTGTTACAATTATTCCCTTTATTACACCCATTTTGAAATCACTGGTGGTCCCTGTAATGGGACCACCACATGTATGATTTCAGCCCAAATTGCACTCCTCTCATTTCAATTACCATTATTAATTGGCTGTTGTTTTTATTGTCATTTGTAGCTTTCTTTCATTTTTATACAGTCATATATAAGAAACTACAGGTATCTACCATGTGAAGTAAGATGTAATGATTGATACTTTTATTTTATACTTTAAACATGGTAACCATGAATATGTAGATAATGGAACTGGAAAGAGACAAACTTGCTACCAGTGATGAGAAAGCCGAAGTTGCAACAGAGGTAAGTGTAATTAGATTTTTTTGACAATAATATACATGTACATGTAAATATAGAATATTTTGAAAATTTTCATAGGACTGTCATTACTCTTAAGAGTCTTAAAGAGGACTTGTAGAATTAATTTAGACTGTCTGAAAATATTTTTTCCAGCGGGAGAGACTTAAGTGTTGCATGCATATGGACTGTATGTTACATTAAAATGTTTGTAATGTTTTCAAAATAATTTTTTTATGTTGTGTCCTTGCATTTAATGAGCTTGGATTAGAAGAATTTCACTCTCTTCTATCCTGTCCATCCTTTTCTTACTAGGCATCAGTCCAGCCAAATTTAAAATTTTTGATAAAAAGGTTAATTTTCAAAAGAAACAGTGGTGCTGCATTGGCATGGGGTGTTATACAATAACTTGGTTTGATAATGTAAATTGGCCACTCTATAGAGTAGTACTCTTTAATGTAGCCAATTTACATTTATTCATCAACTCTGTTTACTTGATAAAACCAAATTACCTCGAACATTTCAACATTGCTCTTCCAAAATTACAGTTTGAATTTTTTTCTTCTTTTAGCGAGATCATTTTAAGGACAAGTCAGAGAGGCTCAATACACAACTGAACTTTATCCTTGGTGCTGATGACAGACGACTGGTTGACATTGACTCAGTTCTCATGGAAAACAGGTCAGTTCAAGGTGATTTAGGGCCACACAATGTACAAGTACCTCTACCTGTATGTTTTTGCAATCAGTCTTCCCCTCACTTTTAAAATAGGGATTTTGTTAAGCCCTTTTTTTTCCTATAGTAATGATATTATGAATCATTGAACATTATATTTTTACTCATGATGTACATGAACTTTCACAACTAATAGAAATACAATGTTTTGTGTCAAAATTTGGAAGGTATTTAAAGGAACAAATAAAGCAGCTGAAGGAAGAGAAAAACATGGCTGTGTCTGCTTTGAACAGATACAAGGTGAGAGTTGTGAACAACAGCTTAATTGATAGTTGGAATATTCATTGTTAGAAATTATTAAACAAGGTTAAGATGCATGATATGTTTTTGTTAAAAATGACATGGTATAATTTATTTCTATTTACTCATACTTGTATAGTCTAGTTATTTAAATATTTTAGAAAATGCAGTGTACAATTATATGCATAAAATAATTCAAGTTTACCATATTTTTCCCTCTCTCAGAACACTTTTGAAAAGCGAAAGAACAAGATAATGCAGGCCCAGATCCAAGGGTCCTACACAAACACAGCCAAACATGGTAAAAAGAAAACAGCAGAAATTATATAATTATTATACTTTTGTGTGTTGATTAACGTTCAGCTTAATAATATGAACCTCAGCTATGCTGGCAATATTGTTGAGGGGAGAGGGGACATTAATCTCCGTATTCACAGTCTTCAAATGTACACAAACAGTACATGACTGTGAAAAAGGATGTAGACTTTTGGATGTGTTTTTAAGATGTGTATGAGGACCTTTTGACATGGATTATACCTTCAAAATGACTATTGTCAGGTCAGTTCTGGGGTCAAGTGATGTACATATACATATACGTATTGGTAAATTCTTTGAGGAGTGAAATAAAGTTTGCATTGATGAATTGATCAAGAGTCATTCTTTTTTACGCAAATACAAGAGATTATTATTGGACTGACGATCTTTTTTTCTTTTTCGTAGCTGTGCCTTCACTCCTCTCTGATCTTGTGGGACATCTCAGCTCTAGTACATCAGTATCCACAGTAGCAGACTTGCAGTTTTTGGCCAACTCTTTATCTGAGACACTTTCTGAAAAGGATACTGCCTTGCAACACCTCAGAAGTGCTAACAAGTGAGATTATGGTAGTTAATCTTTAGTAGGCGAACCATCTCTAATTTTGATGGCGATCCAGAAGTTATTTCCAGAGAAATTGAACATAATGCAAATCATACTTCAAATTTGTAGCTTTTGAACACCCTCAGGCGAGAAACATTTTCAGAGGAGTTTGAACGAATGTCTAAGCTCTGTGCGATTTGCGTGGTTGAATGAATTGTTGCTAAAACATTCTGCTAACGTAACGTTTCCCTGGGTTTGCCAGGGTGGTAGAGTACTAGTTATGACGCTTATCCAACTGTATGCTAGGACTCTAACTATTATCCATATCATGTGTAGGATTTTAGGCCACAGAGTCGCAGAACTTGAAAAGAAACTCAAGACGCTGGAGGTGTCAGGACTGTGGTCGTTACAAGGTTTGTCTCAGAAAGTGAACCATGTAATTGAGTTGTGTTTGTGGGCAAGACATACAAGGTACCTCTCATCACCAGGAATTATAAATGATTACCCGTGAGCTGTTGGGGAAACCTGACGAAATGGGCTTAATTACAATGAAAGAGCATCACATCCAGTAGGGGTGGTAGGTCTGTTCATCTTTTGATCATGTATAGCCATTATGACAACTATGCAAGTCACCTTGATATACAGACTTCCCTTTTACCTTCCTAGACACTGTTTTCTCTGAATTTTTTTGCTTTTTTTATTTCGTTTGGTTCCTTTCCAATGGAGTTCGTCCCGTTGACTTATGACAGATTTCTTTTCCCCAGGTCACCGAGGATATGGCTCAACAGAAGCAGATAAGCTCAGCTGTAATAGAATTCAGTCGCTAATCCCTGACGAAGAACGTCGTTCAAATGGTCACAACAATCAACATGATGAGCTGGAGGACGCCGGGAAGGTGAGCGAGCCGGACTCCCCTTCATCCCCAAGTTGGGATCCCCGGCCACGGAGTCCAATTCTGGATTTACGCCCTTTTCAAAGTGACGTCGAAGAGGGGATGCTAGTTAATGTGGCAGGGAGTCCTGGTGACGGGCTGGAAGGAATAGACTATTTAGAGTTTGTCGAGGAAGAAGACGATGATGGTGATGAGGAAGTAGAAGATTTTCAACCTGAGGAACTCTCTTGCGAGGAACTGCCAGAATCTGAACAACATGAAGATAAAGGTTGTAGAGAAGATGAGCTGAGGGACAGTGAAAGTTCCAATAACATGCTTGGCGAGCCGCGCTGCATTAATAATATGGAAATATCCCACGAAGGGGATGATTCCGTGAGATCGCTTTCCCAAGAATCGAACAATCACAGAAGTCAAAGACAGAACGAGGACAGCGATCCGGATCAGAAATCTGTATCAGATGCTGAGCTGGCTAACTTATTGAAAACACTCAGTTCTGATGAGGGGTAGTTACAGCCTCAGACATAGATGTTCAAATGACGTTACTTAGACTCTTAGCCACGTAAAGGTTACGTCAGTATGCGTACATAGCATCAATCATATTTAAATGTTGCTGCTTATGATGAAATCATGCAGCAGGAAATTTTCTCCAAAGAGTTCCAATGAGACGAAAATTACCATATCTTTTATTTATGTTCAAACTAATATTTGGGACACCTTGGTGTTGTTAGAAAGGCTCCTCCTTCCCTTGTCGCGTCATACTTACATGATACCTCTTTTATCAGCTTAATATATTAAACTTACTTTCGGGAACATGCTTTCTGGTAACTAATTCACCTACAATGGTTCTTTTCAATTGCAACTGGATCAGCGCTGTAAGAAGTCTGCTCGGCAGCTGCCGAGTGGTATCGTCACGCAACGCACTCAGTTCAATTGTTTTATCCCCCTCGTCGTATGGTTTCTCCTTTAAGTTCATTTCTGACGGGTAAGATGCGCGACTTCTCCTAGAGGCGATCTTTTTTTTACAAAAAAAAAGTTTCCCTCTAAAGTCGCGCATCTTACCCGTCAGAAATGAACTTAAAGGAGAAACCATGCGACGAGGGGGATAAAACAATCCTTAAAGAGAGTTGATAACATCGGCTAAGTTTCGGAAGATTCACATGGAAAAGTAGCTCTTTCATTGTCAGTTTTTGGACGAATACAACTGTTTGGTAGTATTGTACCAACTGCGATCACGTGTCCGCAACCATCCGTAATATGTTCAGCGAGGAAGCATAAATATAGGTTCCAAATTTTGATCTAAGTATCGACATTCTGAGGCAGTCAAGATTTATTGGGAAATTGAACTGTGAGTTTCTTTTGGTTAAATGAAAATCAGAATGTCTGAAATCACAAGTATTCCTTGACCAAAATTTCATGTTACGAAGACCAATTACCACTTTATTACATCCATTTTGAAATCGTAAAGTTTAGTCGCTCAGGTACAGGAATTTTAGTCTGTACAAACTTTTTGTTGATCCAGTAGTGAACTGGTTGGTAGAAAGTTGCAAAAGTTGTTTTTCATTTTCTTGCAAATTGATTGGTTTCTTTTACTTCTTGTATTTCAGCAAAGCTTCCTTATTAGCTGAGAAAAAGATGCGATTTAAGGCAAAAAATGGTACGATTCGCGAATAAATCGCGCCACTGAGAGCAAATCAGATTACAAGGATCATCAGTGATTTCAAAATGGATATAGTGTGAATAAATCACAATTAATATTAAAAACAACTTTTTGACTTCCGAAGTCTGAAAGATAAATACGGCGAATGTTCCTCACTTGGAAACTTAGTAAACGTTGAACCTATTCCTTGTCTGTCCCGAATAAGTATTTATTTGTTAAAAAGATCTGATGAACATGATGGAAATTCTCCCTACCTCGAAAGTCCGAAAAAACCTTACGTGTTTCCGCGCAGTATCTGCAATTTCCCGCGTTTTCGTGCGTTGATGTTTACGAAACGTGCGCGTTTCCTCGTTAGGGAGGAGGGCTGGGTAAAACTGGTTCACTCCAACATGGCGGAACATGGCGTGGTAGAAATTGTGAGAACTGCAGGGAAATGACAGCTTGCTTTGGTACAAGGTCCGGAACTGAAGGGCCCTTCAGTTTCTCAGAAACTTTCCATCGCTTAGTAATATTTAGATATAAGATGGAAGGAAGAGAGTTCGCAGAACATAGAGATGAAGACCATGTTTCCCAAGTGCATTCCAAATGTCAACTCGTCAGCAAGAGGTTAGTAAAGAAATCTTTAAAATCTACAAATTTTTTTTCATCAATTTAATCAGTCTATGATTAAATATAACTGAATTAGTTGGCTTAAAATGGGTGAATTAGTCCGCTATTTTGTGAAGGAGTATTGCTGCGTATTTGAATACTTAATCCAGGTTACCTCTGGACACGTGGTGTTGTTGTTGTTGTTGTTATTGTTGTAGTTGTTGTTGTTGTTAAAGGAGCTTTTTCAGGCACGAATGCTGATGTAGTTGTAGTTTTTTTTCGTATGGGGCAGACACTCACTAGGTAGATCCTTCAGTGGATCCTTTAGGTTTGGCGTCATGATCCCAATGAAAGGCTTATAATTAATTAATTTTCAGATTTTGAAAACCTGGATCATCTCATCTGAAAAAGTGGTAGCAGTTTGATTGAACACAATTGCAGACTATGAGATATTCCATCAGCATGTGCAGTCAAATAATTAATTAATTTTAGATTTTGAAAGGATCAAGACAGTTATTGTAAACAGCAGTAGATAATATAAGCTGCAGTCAAAGATGAGCAGCACTCCAAGTTTGGCAACTCAAATTTTGGAAGCGAAGTTTTTGAAAGAAATTAAAAGAGATCACAAGTGCAGTCTTGAGAGAGTTGCTTTAAGTTGGTTGCTTTATCAAAGTTATACCCACATTAACTCAGTAACATTGAAAACAGAGAATACTTTGAATCCATATCTATAATTTTAGCTATAATAGTACAGACATCATATCTACTGATTAGAATTAAATTTGATCTTACTCTGGTATTGTTCAAAGGGTTATTTGTCATTTAAACAATGATAAGTCACTACTCATTGGTTCATTAAAGTAGAAAAAAACTGCACTGTGTGCCTTTTTACTAAACAGTTTAGGGCTCTGCACACAATTCCGAATTTGATGAATTTACACTGGCTCCCTATGGAGCAGCAAATTATTATCAAAGTTTATTATCTACAAACAAGGGTTTGCATTATCCAGCACTTGCATGTATCAGTCATCTGTTGGTCCCTCTCATGCTCACAAGAAGTATCTTAAAGAATTCCAAAAGACCAACTTGAAGACCTAAGGTAACAGGACTTTCTCAGTTGCTGCAACTAGACTATATGGAATAATTTACCTTTATATATTTTAACTAGTCCATCAGTCAGTGACTTTAAATCAATTTTACTGAGTTGTGTGTGTTTTTAAGACTAATCTATTTAGAACTATATGTGGAAAGACTTTTACATTGTCATCATTTATTTTGTAAAAAGGAAAACAGAACATGATTTTTTTATTTTATATATTAGAGTAAATTGTGAGAGAATGTGGCACTTTTTATTACTGAATACTCCATAAGGGTTGAGTTCTTGTAATAGAAACAAGTTTTCTTAGCACAAGGTTTTACTGTAGTTCACAGTAGGACATGGCAAAAATACAACAACACATGGTGAAAATACAGATGGAAGGGTGGCAATGAAAAGGCTGCACTGAATAATCCAAACTTCAGTTTTATTATAGATTTAATGCTTGACTTTAAACCAACAAGTTTTTGAGCACTTCAGATTTTTTTGTCAGTCATGTGCAAACCTTTAAATGGATTTGCTTGCATTATTTTTGTCTTTCTCACACAGCATATGTGACTGGTGCAATGCTCAGATAAGATGGTATAGTTAGTTTGGAATCTAGAAACCAAAAAAAGTGAGACCATAATGGATTGATGGTTACTTATTTGATGGTTTAACTTATAATGAAAACAGAGATTTTGCTTATTTCTTAAAAAAAAAACCAGCATATTATATGTTAAATACTGGCACCATTTGGTGCTCACCATTACATGTATCTGAAAAAAGTATCTCAACTAGAAATCACTTTCATCTTTCTCTCCTCCCTTCCCCTCACAGTGTTATTTGATAACTGATTTAGAGGCTCATGGATTCAGATAATGTATTTACACTCATTAAATATTAACTTTTACCACACATGTATGATAGGACTTTCACATGTGGAGCTAAAACCTCTACTTAGTGATATGGCTTGGTGTGTGCCTGTCCTTGCACATGGATAATAAAAGTCAAGATGTGAATTGGCATAAGGCCTGTCTTCTAGGGGCTCACATGAGTCATTTAGGTTCATCATAATGCACTACAATATGATGACTGACTGACTGACTGACCATCTGACTGACTGATTGACTGGCTGGTTGACTGACAGAGAGACTGACTGGCTGGTTGGCTGTGAAACTGACTGAGAGACGTACTGACTGACTGGACTGATTAACTGACTGACTGACCAGCCAAGTGGCTGGCTCCCTCACTAGTTTACTGACCGGCTTGCAGGCTGATTGGCATTGACTGACTGTTTGACTACCTTTTTGGCTTACTGACTGACTGGCTGACTGACTGATTGTTTGACTAACCTTCTGACTGACTGACTGGCTGGCTAGCCAGCTCACTACTCTGCCGATTGACTAAATAACTCGCTGACTGACTGCTTGCTGACTGACTGACAGATTGACTGACTTACTGGCTGACTGGCGAGCTAGCTCACTGGCCTACTGTTTGACTGAATGACTTGCTGACTGACTGCAGGCTGGCTGACTGACTGACTGACTGATTAGCTGACAGACTGACTGACTGATTAGCTGGCAGACTGACTGACTGATTAGCTGGCTGACTGACTGGCTGACTGATAGACTAACTGCCTGACCAGCTGGCTGGCTGGCTGATTGGCTAGTTGACTTAGAGAATGACTTATTATCATAACTAACTCACTGATTATCCCATAATATTTAACTTTGTAGTGTGTTCTCACTATTTAGTAGTAGTAGCAACAATGTTTTACCATTGAAGACTTACAGCCTATGTTATTTAAACAAAATTTAGTTGTTGTTTAACAAAACTGTGTTCTAAACTATCTTGACAGGTGACATGACTCGGGTCCCAAGGGACATGACTTTGGGCAAGATGACTTTGGGACAACTTGACTGTAAACCCTTGAATTTAGCTTAATCTTATATCTGAACATTTAATTTTGAGAAAAGTGTCAAGAGGACCAAAAGCTAGCCTTTTTTTTTTCTTGGGGGGGGGGGGGGGGGCCCCCGGCGGATTTTGATTAACCCTTTCACTCTCAAGATCTCATAAGTTATTCTCCTCAATGACTGCCATACAATTCTTGTGATTTTCGTTCGGAGAATTTGTTACTGGATCAACTGAAAATCGCCTAATTGATATTTCTCTCTATTCCCATCACTTTTCTGTTTATATTCAATGGATATTGTGCGGAGAAATTCTGTCTTGGTCACTCATGGGTATTAAAGGTTACTGAAAATAGCCCTCTTGTGGAGAATACGTAAGCCCTATTGCTTGCATAAAACCGCGGTTTGGTTTAGACTTCGTGTTAAGAACCGGCCCATAAGGTTTTTATAGCCTTATTCCTAAATATACAACAGGTACGAGAGTGAAATACAAAATGGATAAATAAGCAATAGAAACGAATAAACACAAAAGACACGAAACTATTTAAACTAAATTATGCAGATTCCAGGTTTGCGTTATGTTGCTATTAGAGTTCTTTGCACGGAGTATGTAATTGCATGGAATATTTTAACTACAGTATACAATGCAGTGTTACGTAGCGACATTACTTTAAAAACTTTCGGAACC